ATGATCTTAAAAAATCCTGGTTAAACATTTTCACATTCTTGAATAAAACATACAAAGCAAACTTAAGTAACTACATGTATGATTCTCTATATGTATAAGGCTAAGACACAAAGCTACTTTTCCAGATCTGAATTTTATGGAGAGGTTACCTGTTGTACTGGAACTAACTGCTTCAGGAGTCTGGAGGTAAATCCAGTTACCCCAATAAAAGCCAGTCTGTGATGTACAATATCTCCTTTGTCCTTCTCTTGCTTTGCTTTCCCTCGACTGACATCACCATGGTGGTGAAAATTTATTATGTCACTCAGTGCTTCAAAGGTTCCAGATAATCTTTCCGCCTTATAAGTGGAAAAACATTCAAAAATATTAATAATAGCACAACTGAATCATTGTCTGATCTCTTTACATCTATCTTAACTTTGAACCTTAACATAAAATATCAATTTTTATCAATATGCTTCTGAGTTACAATGTAAGAACTTGAAAAAGTAATCTTAAGGGGTAAATGTTAAGAATCACTGAAAGAAAATAACAGAGCACAATTTTTCAAATCAAAAGGGACAGAAAGAATGAATTGCTTATATTTACAATTTCTCTTGCTCTGGATGATGTATCCTGCCAAATTTCCATAGTAACAATGGCAGTGAAGATCTCCAGGACTTGATTAAGGAGGTACATGAGCTGGGTGACCACACCCTCTGCCCCTGTTTTGAGGAGTGGGACTGCCTTCTCTATGACCAGGGAGCAGTATTGGGGGAGGGTGATCTGCATACTCTGTAGAGACCTCATGTCATCAATGTCTGTCTCCTCTGGGTTTGTCACATCTGGACCCACACTGACACTAGAGTTCCTGGAGTTGGAACTGAAATCAAATTAGATCAATTTCAAATTTACTGTATTTCACTATCCCATAAACATATAAATATTTTTTCACATACTGTGAGTCGTTTTAATTCCACGGTGTTAAAATTTCACGATTTCCCAAAAAGTACCAATCGTAATGGTTTTAATTTCACGCCACAAGAAATTAATTTGAATTTCGTATAAGCATTTAAATGTTTTAAAAACCTAATGACAGCATTCACGATGGGTTTAATTTTGCAGAAAAACGATGAATCATGAACATAGTGAAATTAAAACCATTTTTTTTATTTGCCAATCTACAGTAAGTTATCTGGTTCATACGTGTATATGTATATTTCTCAACAAAAGTCCATTCATGGCATGGAATTTTACCTGACTGATGAAGAGGAGTCTACCTCTCGTCCATCTCCTCTAGGGCGGGTATCCCCCCACCCAGCCAGGGGACTGTGACCATCTGACCTTCCAGACTGGTTAGACAGCAGACTTGGGGAGTTTGAAAATGGAGAAGAGGATGCTGAACTGAAATCTAAAGGAATGTCAAACACTTCAAAATTACATTTTTCTTACAAACTTAAAAATGCAAAGAAAAGCTTCTTAAAAATATCTTAAACATATTTGTACATCATAATCACTTTATCTGATTGAATTGGTATTCAAATATTTGCACAAAATATAGGTACAAGGGATGCAAGATTTCTTTTCTTAATATAGAAATTCAACATAGAAAATCCTTAATGTATACCTTGTTTGCATGTAAATAATGCTGGATCTTGATAATATCGTAACCTTGACCTTAAGGAAGAAGTCAGGTCACCCAGAGTTTTTGCTGCATGAATGGTCAAGTGTGTATTTACATCTGGGACTGCTCCTAGAAGTGCTAACAGATTCTGTAATTAAAAATAAAACAAATAAGTCATCTTTCCTTGCATCTTACTAACCTGAAAGACCTATAAAAATTCATTCAAAAGCAATTTATTGAATATAAATGTATCTGGCAGCAGGACTTTTCTGGTGGAAATTTGGCCAAAGTGGCAATTGAAAATCATGACATCTTTAACCAATTTTCATTATTCCCCATTTCAAAAATGTTAGTAATTGTGAAAACACAAAAAGCATTTCCAAAATGTACACACATTTTATTCATAAAAAAATGTTGTGGAAATTCTGAAAAGCTAAAACTGACATTTTCAAGCATTTAGCATCCTTTTTTTGTCAAAAAGTTATATCTGAAATTCCCAATGAATATTTTAAAAATCTATTCATATTGCCATGTGCTATCTTTCTATAAAGTTAAAGAAAGGCAAGTAGGTGGTACTGACTACTAGCTGGTAAGGGGCTGGTACAAACTAAAACAAATGACTTTTGTTTATCTAACATACATGTATTTTATAAAACATCATTAAAATTCTTTCAAATGAATAATAATAATTTTACTGACTAAGAACATACTTTGCTGTATTTAATACACAAGGCCTGCTGAAACATACCATAAATGTCACAGGTGCTGAAAAAAGAAATCTCAACTGGGACTTGAACCCGGGCCTTTAGTGTATCATGCCAGCACTCTTACCACTGAGCTATTGAGATGATACTCACACACCTATTAACCCAGTAACATATCCCCCCCCCCCCCCTTTGTAGTCATCCCCAAATTCTATGATTCATCGTTTGTGACCGAAATGTTCGGGAAGGAAGTTTGCATTTCTTTTAGGAAATGTTTTGATATCAATAAACTAGTAACTGCAGAGATGAAATGGAACTTACTCTGACAATATTTGGTCTTTGTAAAAATATCTCAGCTGGAAAATCTTGGAAAACGACATCACTCAAAAATTCACAAGAACTAGCCAGCAGATGAGATTCTCTACTCTGCAAGGAGCTGAAAAACAACAACAATGAAAAGAGGGAATATATTAATGATGGTTTGGACATCAGTAATCCTTGACATGGTAAAAATGTTGTATTCAATACATGAGAATAAATTGTCAACAGGAATTAACATTTCAACATTTCTATGATAATGAAGATCTATGATGTATAAATATTAATGCTCTGTTCTTCAACATCACAAGACTGATCTACTTGATACATTATCTCACATTTCTTAAATACTTGCAAGTTTGTTGACTGTATGACATGTCTATCTGTAGAAGTCTGTTTAATACTTACGAGTTTGTTGACTGTATGACATGTCTATCTGTAGAAGTCTGTTTAATACTTACGAGTTTGTTGACTGTATGACATGTCTATCTGTAGAAGTCAGTTTAATACTTACGAGTTTGTTGACTGTATGACATGTCTATCTGTAGAGATCTGTTTAATACTTACGAGTTTGTTGACTGTATGACATGTCTATCTGTAGAAGTCTGTTTAATACTTACGAGTTTGTTGACTGTATAACATGTCTATCTGTAGGAGTCTGTTTAATACTTACGAGTTTGTTGATTGTTTGACATGTCTATCTGTAGGAGTCTGTTTAATACTTACGAGTTTGTTGACTGTTTGATGTGTCTATCTGTAGGAGTCTGTTTAATACTTACGAGTTTGTTGACTGTATGACATGTCTTTCTGTAGGAGTCCATTTAATACTTACGAGTTTGTTGACTGTATAACGTGTCTATCTGTAGGGGTCAGAGCCAACCATGGAAAAGTTGTCACAAGGAATGTGCTTGAAGTGCCTGCATTTATTTTTATTATAGAATGCTTTAAAATGGTTGAGGAAAAAGACAAGTGTAGGATTCTTATGCATGTTACATGATTATTTGCCTTTAGCATAATATTTTCAATTAAAATATCTGAAATCAGACTTTCATCCATATTTTTGCTATTAAGTTTACCATCATTAATTTCCCTTTGTTGGTCTTGAAGACGGTGTACTTTATCTTTGAAATATCCATCAGAATTCTCCCTTCCAGTGATTATATGTGGTGGATCTAAGTTTTCCTGTGTTGGGAGAGTTGATACTGATGTGAGTGATGGAGCTGTTTCAGATGTTGCATCATTGGTTGTAAAAGACATTGGTTCTAAAACAGATGCCAGATAATGTTTAATCTACTTCTGTGAATCATTTGTTTCACTTCCACATGATAATACACTTCTATATAATCATTTTATTAGTACAATAAAACAAAATTGTAAATATACACATCAAAGAATAACACCCATTTAACACACCTTGGGTGAAACCCTGTTTCTGATAAATACATGTTGGACTGAAGGTTTCCTCTGACACCTCTGGCAATCTCATTGTGTTCTCAAGGATTTGGTCAATCACAGGTTGCAAGGACTTTAATACATCTTTCCGAAGCTGGCTCAAAAATTCAATAGCACCAATGTCTTGGAGAATTTGAGCAGCTGCAGAGTGCTGAATAAAAAGTATATAACCTTCAGATAGTGCTTCTACAATTTGAAACTATTGGACATATTGATTCAGTACATGTTAAAATAAAATTACCTTTGATAATCTCAAAATAAGATGCAACACTTCTCCTTGCTTTGGTGGATTAGGGAAATTGAACCACTCAATTAATCTTATCATTAAATGACGTTCATTAACCAAATCTGAGTCACACACTAGATTATGTTCAAGTTTCGATAGCAGGTTTTCTAAACTTCTCACACGAATTTCCTCCAGATTGTGACCTAAAAAAATATGCATCATCATGTATTATCATGCACAAATGAAAAACAAGTTAATGAGGATACAAAGCATTCCCTTCTTAATTAATAATTACTAAAGATTATGAATTTTAGCTCAATGCATATGATAAATTGAAAGTTTGCAGTACCCATTTTATTCTAAAATTACTAGCAGACTAATCAACATTGTTCATCTTGTAAGAAAATCATAACTTTGTTTACAAATGTTAGCTATGTTAAAAATGAACATATCCACTGATATCCTTGTTAAATCCTTGCATTTGCTGCATGAATATAATTTTCACACCTAGCTTTTTGAACATTCCCTGAAAATTAATATCTTGTCTGGTTTGCATCGCCATCTCCGTTTAATATGTGTAAAACATCAAATTCAAGTCATCTTCCCAGGTCCAAACTTGTTTCAAAACATCCGCCGAAAATTTTATCTTCTGTGAAAGAAGAGCTCTGTAAAGGGAATTCACTCTGCATTGTTCAAAGAATGGCCACAGCAGTAGGACGTTGTGTACTAGGGCAGTTGAATAAACTGCGAACATACAGATGTGTTGCAAATGTAACAAGTGTACAATGTAGAAATATCAGTTTTTCACAACGTCTTTTAGGAGGTGAGTGTCATGTAACATTTTAGGTGTTTAGATAAACAATGCCTTCGAGAAGGATATCAGTTGATTAAGTTCACGTTGACTGTTCACCCCCTGACCTTTTATTATCCTTAAAGTAAGCAGTTGTGAAATAGAGTATTATGCATTACGTAACAATATTTATAATCGTATCTTATTACAGAATAAATTATTGGTTGGGGTTAAATATAAAAAAGAAGCATTGTTCAAATCTTGCAAGGTGACACTGCAGGCCAAGGATATACCTGTATGCACCTTTTTTAGAAAATGACTAAAAGGAGCACAAAAATTTATATAACTTATTCTTCATTTGATTACATTAACATATTGTATTTTGTATTTAAACATATATGATAATAGAAAATTTTATGTCTTTTTTCTCATTTAGATAAGCACTTAAGTTTAATTAAAAAAAAGAAAAACAAAGAAAAACACAAAAAATATTGAATATATATATATATATATATATATATATATATATATATATATATATATATATATATATATATATATATATATATATATATATATATATATATATATATATAATTATTGAAAGAGGAACATGAATTGAATATTTTGTGATGGTTCATTTGAGAAATGGCAAAACACATTTGAATAGTTATGTATGATTAAATAAATTTAAGACTTCAAGTTATAAAGGTTTAATCATCATCAACAGGTTCATTACCTTCCTCAATGGTATATGCATTACTCTTTATCTATATACCAACATGACAGGGATATAAAGTGTTTTTAGTCTATCATCTGTCCTTTATCTATCTTTCTATCATTCTGCTCTGAGATCCACAGTTAGAAACAGTAAAACTCATAAAGATGTTTTTATCAAACTCCATACACAAACTAGAATGTGTCCATAGGACATGAATGTCCTCCCTAGGGTTCATTAGTAATGTAAAATGGAAATTTGTATTAGTGTATGAAGTTTGATGAAAATATCTTGAATAGTTTCTGTAAAAGTAATTTTATACACAATAAACAGTAAAGTTAAAGGTCATTGGGAAGGTCAAGGTAAAAAAAAAAAATTGGACACAGTTGACAAATTCTCACCAAGTTATGTATCAGTGCATAAGCTTACATAAAAATATCTTGTCATAATGAATACTTTCTTTGAAACAGAGCTAAGTGCAAATTTAAGAAAAGTGAGGTCAATGTCAAAGGAAAGGCCAAGGTCAAAAAATTTTGATGCAGTTCATAGCACAATCTAAATGTATCAGCAAATGAAGTTAACATTCCTTTCTTTAAACTGAGCTAAACACAAATTTGAGTTAAGTGAATTCAAGGTTAAAGGAAAGACCAGGTCAATATCTTGATGCAGTTGAATATCTTGCCTCAATATGTATAAGCAAATGAACTTTGATAAAAATATCTTGAATAGTTTTTTTGAAACTTAGCTATACACAAATTTATGTTAAAGATTAGTTTTCACCAAAATGTACCAGCATATAAGGTTTGATAAAAATGTCTTTTAAAAGTTTCTTTGAAATTTAGTTAAACACAAATTAAAGAAAAAGTGAGGTTAAAGGAAAGGTCAAGAAAAAGGTCAAGAAATGTTGATGAAGTTGAATACCTCTCAGCAATTAAGGTTTGAAGATAAAATATCTTAAATAGTTTCTATGAAACTGAGCCAAACAATAATTTAAGAAAAGTAAGGTCAAGATGAAAGGAGAAATGTTGATGAATTTGAATAGCTCTGTTCAATATGTATTAGCATAGAAAGTTTGATAAAAATACCTTGAATAGTTTCTTTGAAACTTAGCTCAACACAAATTTAAACAAATGGTCAAGGTCAAAGGAAAGGTCAAGGTAAAAAAATGTTGATGAATTTGAAAAGGTCAAATCAATATGTTATATTGTGTCAGCATGTAAGGTTTGATAAAAAATATTTTTAAAAAGATTCTTTGAAACTTATCTAAACATAAATATTTTATGGTAAAGTCAGGGTGAAGGGAAAGGTCAAGGTAAAATATGTTGATGTAGATGAATAGCTCTCTTCAATATGTATCAGCATATAAGGTTTGATAAAGATATCTTGAATAGGTTCTTTGAAACTGAGCTATACACAACTTTTTGAAAAGTGATGTCAAGGTCAAAGGAAAGGTCAAAGTCTAAAAAATGTTGATGCAGTTGAATAGCTCTCATCAATATGTATCAGCATATGAAGTTTGATAAGAATATTGGTTATAGTTTCTTAGAAACTGAGCTAACCACAAAGTGTAGTGGAAGGACAGACAGAAGAATGGAAGATGGACATGACAAACTCTATTTGCCCTGGCCATATTCATGGGGGGGGGGGGGGGGGTAATTATACATTTTATTTTATTTAGAGAAACTGAACTTTCAGATTTTCTGAACTTGATATTTTCTATGATCTTAACCTCATTTTTCTAGAGTTTGCATTTAGATAAAGTTGTAAGAAACTGTTCAAGATATTTTCATCAAAGCAACCACTTTGTCAATTTTCTAATGTTAAACCTCCCTTTGACCTTGACCTCACTTAAAAAAAATTGTATGTACCTCAATTTCAAGCTATCTGTTCAAAACAAGATATTTTCATCAACATACAAGTGTTAAATTTCCTGACTGACCTAAGTTTATGTCTTTGATATTGCATTTAACATCTTGTTTTTTATTATTTCAGTTAAGTACTTCACAGAAAAACATGAGTGGGTGGAAGTTGATGGGGATATGGGCACCATTGGAATCTCTGAATTTGCCCAGGTTTGTATTTTACGAACTTGACATATTATGTCGCAATGAGGAAAGATCATAAATGACTTAACAGGCTAATAGCAATATTTTTATGAATAAACAGAGCTGCATTTCTCTTAGAAATCTATGTTTTTGAACCTCTGTGCCTCAACAAAGTACTATATTATCTGTATTTGTTTACAGGATCAACTGGGTGAGGTTGTATATGTACAGCTGCCTGAAATGGACACAGAATTAGAACTTGGGCGTAAGTGCCTCTACTGAGAAAAAATGACCAAAAATAGTACATATATGTAGTCAAATTTGCTAAATCATGACTACACTTTTTGTGTGGTTATTCCTACTCTGTTCATGCTGGTGGTTTATACTGTAATTACACAGTGGTGTAGCTTCCATGTATGCTACACCATACATGCAAAAAATAAATGTACATCTATTGTCAAAATAATCTATAAAAGTACTTTCATGTAATTAAGCTATCGATACTTTCTTATTATATTCTTTGAAAAAGATGTGTTTTTGGCTCACATACTAGTGAACATATTTTAAAGGTGCTTAGACACAGATTTGAACATAATATTTTCTCAAATTTTCTGTATAATATCACGACTTATATATTGCAATAGCATTTCACACGAAAATATAATTAAAAACCTATTTTGTCTGGAAATTATTGGAATTACGAATTCCGGGACGCGTTTGATTAACACATCTTTGCACTTACACAAATTTTAACTTTATCATTAATATTTAAGAAAAGAAGCGATTTTGTTATGTATTAATAAAAAATATTACATCTATAATCCAGAAAATTCAGAGTAGAAATGTTCAAAATCAAAACCATCTCATCAGTATTGTCAGTCTGTGCTCTGTGACGTGTACAGAGTTTAACAAATTGAACACACCCGTGAAAGTTAAACTGTTTTTGTAAACTGGGCACGAGCTCTGTTATTGTTAATGTTTACGATTCACCTGGTGTGTTCAATTGTTAAACTCTACACACACCACTGAGCACAGACTTCCAATACTGTGAATGGGTTTTGCTTTCGAACATTTCTACTCTGAATTTTCTGGGTTATAGTTTTAATATTTTTCATTAATACACAACAAAATTGCCACTTTTCTTAAGTATTAAGAATAAAATTAAAATATGTGAAAGCGCAAGGATGTGGCAATCCAATGCGTCCAGAAATTCTAAGTTTTAATAACTTCGAGATGAAATAAGATTTTTATTATATTTTAGTATGAAATGCTATAGCAACATATAAGTCATGAAATTATACAGAAAATTTGAGAAAATATTAACTTCAAATCTGTGTTCAAGCACCTTTAAATGCATGAGAGGTAAACTCCCTTGTCATATTCTAGTTAAAATTACATGTATATCTTTAAAAAAGCATCTTGATGGTAATGACCCCTTCATCCTTAACCTTTGAACTTTTGAATTTCTCAACTTTTGTAAAAATCATTGCTAAAACTTTTTAACTGACCCTCTCTTCAACAATTAAGTTTATAGAGGCTTCTAAATTATGGTACCCCCCTTTATTATAATGTTAAAAGAATTAAAAAAAATTAACTAAAAATCCTGAACCACTAATGAAATAATTCCATATCCAACTACAAAACATTCAATATCCTCTATACATTTAATGGTATAGCAAAAGAGGAGGATATAGTGAAATATATTGTACGAGGTAATAAAAGGTTAAACCTCATTATCTCGAACTCAATTGGCCAAGAAAAAGCTTCAAAATATCCAAAGATTCAAGATATCAAGGTTAAAATACAATGTACATAGATTAAAAAGTGGTTTGGACTTCCACTTCAGTGGTAATATGTGATAATGATGTTTGAGATACTGATGTTTTACTGTACATATATTGGTATTGTAGAGGAGGCGGGAGTATTAGAGAGTGTTAAGGCAGCCAGTGAGGTGTACAGCCCCATCTCAGGGGTGGTCAAAGAAGCCAACACTGCTTTGGAGGACAACCCTAAACTTGTCAATGAATCCTGTTATGAAAAAGGTCAGTATCAGAATTGTTCACCTTTTCCTCCTAGTGGACAAACTGCCTTATAGAAGATGCAGGAAGCCAAGGGGGTATGAAATAGTTGAATCAGAATGTTCACACACATGAGTGTTCTTTTAAAATGATTGTAATCAAATTGTGACTTCTGTACCTTAATGAAATAACAAGATTGTTTAGGGGCCCAAAAATTTGCTTATAACTAGATACTGTTTCCTGACACTAACTCATGTATGTAAAGAGTTTGATTTTTGACAAAGGTCCTTCATATTTATATATAGTATTTAAGTTTAATATTAGGTCAAAGTCAAATATTGCTGACAATAAAAAATTGCTAAAACATGTTACAATGCTTACCCCATAAGGTTGTTGCAATCCACGTAATCCACTCCATTCCATTAAACCGGGTTGTAGAAGTGGGTAAGGGTCAAAACCCATAGCTTGCAATAAATGCCTACCTTGAACCAGTGTCAAATAGAGAAGTGGAATGTTTAGTTGTTGTTAGAGTATTTTAAGAGCTACATTATTTAGTTTTCGTTCTTGGAGTTTTTGTCATTTAGATGTAGGAAAGGATGAGGGATAAGAGAACTGTAATATTGAAATATCCTAACTCCATGTTTCCAGGTTGGCTGTACAAGATGACTGTTGGGGAACCATCTGAGCTTGAGCACCTGATGAAGGAGGATGACTACCTCAAATTCATCAAGGAATAAAATTCTTAATCTATCCAAAAACATGTCTTTGCAAAATAGGACTTTTATTAAGGAAATGAGTTGACGTGATTCTAAATTTGTATGTGTGTGTTTATGTACATTTCACAGTATTTTTAAAGGCCTATCGTTGAAAGTAAGTCCTACACTAGATACTGATCTAATCATGTATAAGAGTATAAGATTATTTTCCTTGGAATTCGGAATACTTTTTTAAAAACATTAAGATATATAAATAATTTAATTCTGGTTATAACGCGGTATTTGATTGTATAAAAAAATTACTTTATATCGTATAAATTGGGTTGCCTACGTCACAATGACTTGCATCAAAAACGTATCGATCCGCCTGACATTACATTTAAATTTTTTACAATTTGAAGTCATTTTTTAAGGGCATTCATCTTTTTTCTTACACTAAATGAATGAAATTAAATTATAAGGAATGAAATTAATAGCTACCAAATTTATACGGTATAAAGTGGGTTTGAACAGTTTACGTTTTTTAATAAACCGCTTTGCAGTTTATAAAGCGTAAACTGCCCCAACCTACTTTATACCGTATAAATTGGGTAGCAATTAAATTCATTTCTTAAATGAAGTTTCTTTTAATGTATGCTATGGATCTCGGTATTTTTTCGTAATTTCATATATATACATTATATTGAAGATTATGTACCGATATTCTGCTTGTCACTCCACATATGTTAAAATGTATTTAATTATGAACCTTGGATTTGAATCCCAATTGTTGACATTCTCTATGAACTTTGTGAATCTCAAATGTACATGCTGTTTTGGAATGCTTATTATGCAATTATTTGTGAAGAATGAAAGGAAGCAATTTTTCTTACAAATTTTAGAAAGCTACAATATGAAAACAATGTGTATTGATAACATGAATCGTAGAATGATCTTGTAGTTTTAAGTTTAACTTAATTAGAGCAGTTGTTTTTCAAAATAAAAGCTAAATGTTTTCTGCACAGCAGAGGTGATAGGAAAATAAAATACAGGAGTAGATATGACTTGTATTGTTATGCTTCAGGTGTAATTGCATGGTACATTTATATACAGAGAAATTCAAGTCAAACTTGAGACCAAGCAATTTTTTAAGATTTTTATTTAAAATTCTTTTGAGTACATGCTGTATATGTATTTGTGACCCAGCTTTCTTTGAATGAGTATGTGCTCTCAAGAAGCTGACTCCCTAACAGACAGTTAATACACCAGGGTTTTATTTTCCTCCTTGATTCTGATTGTTAAGTTAAATTTATAGTAGTGCAATCTTATTTAAAAAGTAAGATGAACAGTATTGATGAGTTGGCTACCCTAATTCACAAGTGCATTCCATACTACAGCAAAATACGGTCACAGGCTACACAGACTATAGATTTTCCTTGCCTTATCTGATATAAATGTGTGTAAAAGCAGTTGTAATGATAAGACCAACCATCTAACAATGACAATGATGCCCCTTCCCCTAGTAACTTCAAATGCTTTTCTGTTACAGAAAACCTTAATCATCTCTTAATGTATTTAATGTAAAGATCAGTATTATTTAGAACACCATCAGACTGACTGTCACAGATCAGGAGTCAGGGTTCGTATTTGAAAGTCAAACAACATCAAACAAGATTAATGCTAAAGTAATATTCCTTGAATTTACTGTTTTAAAGTGTCTTGTTTAGGTATGTGTGCAATTACTTATGTTTGTTTAATATAAATGAAAATAAAGAGATAATTCAAGTGCACAATTTTATTATTATTAGCTCACCTGAGCTGAAAGCTCAAGTGAGCTTTTCTGATCACCTGTTGTCCATCGTCCATCCGTCTGTAAACTTTTCACATTTTCAACTTCTTTTCAAGAACCACTGAGCCAATTTTAACCAATGTTGGTACAGAGCATCCTTGGGTGAAGGGGAGTTTAAATTGTTAAAATGAAGGGCCAACCCCCCTTACAAGGGGAGATAATCAAGAAAAGACAAAAATAGGGTGGGGTCATTAAAAAATCTTCCTCTCAAGAACCACAGAGCCAGAAAAGCTGAAACTTATATGGAAGCATCCTTGGGTAGTGTAGATTTTAAATGTTCAAATCATGGCCCCCGGGGGTAGGGCGGGGCCACAATAGGGAATCAAAGTTTTACATCGAAATATATAGGCAAAATCTTTAAAAATCTTCTTCTCAAGAACCACTGGGCCAGAAAAGCTGAAACTTAAGTGGAAGCATCCTTGGGTAGTGTGGATTCTAAATTGTTCAAATCATGGCCCCCGGGGGTAGGGCGGGGCCACAACAGGGAATCAAAGTTTTACATTGAAATATATAGGCAAAATCTTTAAAAATCTTCTTCTCAAGAACCACTGGGCCAGAAAAGCTGAAACTTATGTTTAAGCATCCTTGGGTAGTGTAGGGCGGGGCCGCAATAAATATTACAAAGGGGAGGTCTTGTGAAGAACAACAGGGCCAAAGTAACTCAGGTGAGCATTGTGGCCCATGGGCCTTTTGTTATTTTATTATTTGGGGGGGGGGGGGGGGGTAGTATTAAAAAAGGCAGTTTATTAAAATAAGAAGAAACAAAACACATACTGCAGATACATGTGCAGTAAACACGCTTATAATGAAATGACACTTATAGGGAAGAGATTGTCATTCCCTGTGGGTTTTAAATATATTGTGAAGCTAACAGGCATAACGAATAACGTTTATAACAAAGCAAATCGCCCGTCCCCAGCACTTCGTTATGAGCGTGTTTTACTGTAGTTATTTAGTTAGAAACTGCTACATTGTATATGATACTGTTATTCATCAAGTATACAAGGTAGAGTTCATTTTTTCAGAGAATTTGCGCAAAATTCCCAAAGGGCATTTATAAGTTCACGAAAAAAAGAAATATATTAATTTTTATATAAAAATTTTCACCTGCCATTTATGATGTCCAGGGGCGGATCTTGGGGGGTCTGCCCCCCCCCCCCAATTTTTCATACTTATTAAATTTCTATGTAAAAATTAGTGACGGTAAAGGTTTTCCAGGTTTGGCTGACAAGCTATGTATTTGTTTTTATTTATTTTACTTGTCAAAGAATTTCAGAGTCTGATATGTGGACCCCCCCCCCCTTCCCTCCCCACCATGGAAAAAAAATCCTAGATCTGCCCCTGATGTCTGTCTTCTTTCTAATGAAAACACACTCCTTCACCATGCAATCCATCCAGACAATATTTGTCAGCTTTATGTTGAAGATGTGAACTGTAATTCTATAATAGAAAATTTCACATGAAGTTTAAGAAGGAGACATAAGGTTTACATTGTAAAACTACTAATGCTCCGTGTAGAGCAGATTTAGGTAGATAACCTCTGTGGACAAGGGTAAAATGTTCATTCATAAAATTTTGAAACCATCTTATTTACTTCTAGAATACAGAAGCATTTAAAATCTATAAAGCAACAGTCCACACAAACCCTTGGACTAAGAATATTTTTTTCCATTCTCAACAAACTAGAGTGTTCATTTATTACTAAAAAAGACGAGATGTGTTTGTGAAACACTGATGCCCCCGAATGGCAACTTATAGCAAAGGTTAAACTTTCTCAAATGCAATTCAAATATGTTGGTACCCAAAGTAAGGTCTTGTCTCGAGGAATAAACCTGTGAAATATGAAAGCCCTAGCAGCAACCATTGAATAAATATGGAAAAGGTTAAAGTTTTTTTCAAAAGTATGTCAAACATCAAGGTCAAGGTCAAATGTGGTCAAAATTAATGGTGCCCAAGTAGAGGCCTTCTCCCCAGAAATATACAAGTGAAATATAAAAGCCGAAGCACCAATCGTTTGAAAGTTATGACCAAGGTTAAAGTTTTCCGAAAGTAGGTCAAACTCCAAGTCAAGGTCAAAGGGTCAAAGTTACTGGTATCCAAAGAAAGGCCTTGTCACAAGGATTATATATGTGAAGTATGAAAGCCCTAGCACCAACCGTTCAAAAGTTATGGCCAAGGTTAAAGTTTTCCAAAAGTAGATCAAACTCCAATGTCAAGGTCAAAGTTATTGGTATCTAAAGGAAGGTCTTCTCACAAGGATTACATACGTGAAGTATGAAAGCCCTAGCACCAACCGTTCAAAAGTTATGGCCAAGGTTAAATTTTTTCAAAAGTAGGTCAAACTCCAAAGTCAAAGTCAAAAGATCAAAGTTGTTGGTATCCAAAGGAAGGTCTTGTCATAAGGATTACACATGTGAAATATGAAGCCCACATTTCACGAACATCACTAGTGACAAGACCTTTTTTCGTGGCCCCATTTGACCTTGACCTTGACGTTTTACTTACTTTTAAAAACTTTAACCTTCGCCATAACTTTTGAACAGTTGGTACTAGGGCATTCAAGTTTCTCAGGTATATTCCTCGAGACAAGAACTTTATTTGGGTACCAACATTTTCGATCTCTTCACCTGGAGTTTGACTTGCATTTGAGAAACTTAAACCTTCGCCATAAACTGCCATACGGGGGCATCAGTGTTTCACAAACACATCTTGTTTATAATTTTAAACGCTGTTGATACTTTTATACACTGAAAAAAGAAAGAGAGGTCAATCATAAGTAAAATGAGATTAAATGCAGGGGACCACTAATTTGTCAAAAATAGTTGTATTAATTATCTATAAAATAGCGGTGAAAATTCTGTGCTATTCTATGTGTAAAATTAAATGTTTAAAGTAGGAAAGTATGCCAGTGCAAACTTGTACTTATTTTCAGTTTTTCTATCAAAACAAATGTGATTCCAATAGACACGTGTTCAGGATCCTCCAACAAATTTATCACAAGGTCTGTATAAAATACCCATGAAATTAAATTCCAAGGCTGTGCCAATGGTTAAAAAAAATTTTTTTAATCATTATTCTTTAAGTTCTCAAAAGAAATTTATTTTGCGATATTATACTAAGCGTATTCACTATTGGAAACCGAGACTCACGGATGGACACATTTTAATTTGATTTGGTTGATCGGTGACTGGAATGAAAAATTCAAATGTTATACACTGTGGATCAGATTATGTTCAGATTTTTATTGCAGAAAGCTAGATATTAACCCCTCCCCCCCCCCCCCCCACACACACACACCAACCAGCGTGTTGATGATGCTACAAACTACGTACATCAGATAATAAAGCGTTGCTTCCTAAGTCGGAATATCGGGTATGTGCTTGTAAAAAAATAATACGTCCATTAGCAAAAGTTATCTTTCTTATGAATATTTTTTCAGTGGACAAAAATGTAATACTATTAAAATTCTACATGTGGTATTTGATATATTAAAGCATTATTAAAATGGTCTATTAAAAGATAGATCTTATTCAATTTATAAGGATTTTAAAACTGGATTTAATTGTTTGTTTGTTTGTTTTTTTTTTTTTTTTGGGGGGGGGGGGGGATGTTCAAATATAATAAAAGAACTGGAAAAGTATATACAAAAGGAAATAGAAGTTAATGTTTCCTTCATATGTCAGATTTAATCGAGGTTACACCATACATCCATGCCTCAGATGATCGAGGTCTTAATTATTGAACTCTGGTAAAAAAAACTAGGAGTAATATTAAGATTTTTTACTTGGAAAGTTATCTCTCATATTAGAGGGACGGTCCCCTTTAAGTGTGTAATGCAGGCCTCTTTCAGAATAACACTCTGGTAGATATTTCTTACGTTCAGAGTTAGGAAAAGGTTGTATAAGCTGTAAATATGGTTTAGCTATTCCTTTACAAATGCCTCATTTCTAAAATCTTTCTGAAAATTTCTGTGAAAAGGTTTTTTTCTTTCTCTTTCTTATCATAATTTCATTCATTTTAACCAAATTCAAAATTAGCAGACGTACAATCATTTCAAACGTAACTCTAGAAGGTATCACATTTTCTCAGGTGTTGTTCATTTTGACGTCCTATTGTCTCATCAGCTGAAGTAAAATTTAAGAAAGTTTTCCTGATTACATGTAATTCTTCCATCATTTTTTCTGAAGCATTCAAATTCACAAAGCATAATAAAATATTTAGCCTGCCACCTTAATTACAGATCCCTGTCTTTCATCAACACGCTTTTGGTCGTGCTACAAAGGGGACTTAGTCTTTTTTTTAAATTTTATTTCGTGATGGTGGTGTTGGGGGTTGGAGTTGGACATACCGTACTTTCACATTTGGTTCGAATAAGTTTTTTAATGCAATAATGTGGGAGACATCGACTGTACACCAACAAAAAATGGGGGAGGGGAAGGGGTATTTGGATGTAAATTTCCTCACTAAATTGACAACAAAAGACTATTCTAAAAAAAAAAATCTAAAATATAAGTGGGGGAGGAGAAGACTGGTACTTACCCCCCCCCCCCCCCCCCGTAACTACTGGACTGTAACTACAATGTGACCCACAAATATATGGTCAATGTAGTGTTCGACATCGCGCTGATAATTAAAGAATGTTTAGCGTGGTCTGCTTTTGCATTTGTTGCGTACACTCCTCAATCACATAATTATAATCACCTGCATTGTAATTACGAAAATAATGATCTAGATCCAATTTTCAAACCGAAGGATTCATTAAGAAAAATTACACGACATAATCTGATATCAGGTTTTCAAATTTGAAAAGTTTTCGTGCGGAAATTACATAATAAAACATAATGAACTTTAAGAAAGCAAAGAAAATAAGGATATTATTTGTAATTTTCAATATTTTTCCCCCATACGTAATGTTTGTCAAATAAAGGTGTCAGTAAATTGTATATAAAATCCATTTCGTGGAAGCATAGTAAAGCATCTGATAGTAACACAATGTACAGAAATCTCAAAGGTAAGAATATATACATCAGTAAAAATGAAATTTCTAACTTTGTTGCATAAAGCATAATATCTGTATGTTCCTTATAACAGCAGTGTTAAGATAGAAGTTAAGTTTTTACGCAAAATTTTGCATTATTTTCCAGCTTAATTACAATTCATATAATGATGCATATAATGGTGAGGCAAGGAGGGAAAACAAATTGAACTGCTAAATTATGCACTACTTTTGTGAATTTAATTACAATTCGTATAACGGAAAAGCTTATTCAAACAATTCATATGTACAATATACAGACGGATTGACAAAATCATTCTGCCTGATTATCTTTACGTCTGTTAGAAAATGAAGGGGAAAATGGGGAGGGGGTGTGCAGACCAAATATCACCGGAAAGTGTGATAGATACATCTTTTTAGCTCACCCGAACCGAAGGCTCAAGTGAGCTTTTCTATCAAAATTTGTCCTGTCGTTGTCGTCGTAAATTTTTCACATTTTCATCTTCTTCTCAAGAACTACTGCACTATTTTTTACCAAACTTGGTACAGAGTATCCTTGGGTAAAGGGGATTCAAACTTGTTCAAATGAAGGGCCACATCCTCTTCCAAGGGGAGATAGCTAGTGAAAATTGGGTGGGGGTATTTAAACAATCTTCTTCTCAAGAACCATTTTGCCAGAATAGTTGAAAATTACCTAAAAGCTTCCTGACATAATGTAGATTCAAATTTATTCAAACCGTGACCCCTGGGGGTAGGGTGGGGCCATAATGGACGATCAAAGTTTTACATAGGAATATGTAGGAAAAATCTTCAAAAATCTTCTCAAGAACAGCAAAGCCAAGATTGGTGATTTTTATATGGAAGCATCCTTAGGTAGTGTAGCTTTAAGTTTGTTCAAATCATGACCCCTGGGGGTTAGGTGGGGCCACAATTGGCTATCAAATTTTTACGTAGGATTACATGTGAAAAAAATCTTTAAAATTATTCTTCTTCTCAAGAACAGTAAAGGAATGATAAGACATATTTATATGGAAGCATCCTCAGTTAGTTTACATTCAAGATTGTTCAAATCATGACCCCCAAGGGTAGGGAGGGGCCATAATTGGTGATCAATGTTATACATGTGAATACATAGGATAAAAATTGTTAAAATCTTCTTCCAAAAGAATAACAGATCCATGATAAGCAATATTAATTCAGTAGCCTCCTCAGGCAAGGTATATATTAAAATTTATTCAAATCATGTCCACTTGGGGTAGGGCGGGGTCACAATAGAAGATCAAATATATCGAAAAAAAATCTTCTAAAGCCATGATTAGTCAAAGAAATATGAAAGCATCCTCAGTTGGTGTATCAATTGTGAATAGATGAAGCCCCTCCTCCCTTTTCCCGGGGGGATGGGGGTGAATGTGATCACTTATATATATAACCTTTTCAATACTAAATTAATTTCTGCTTTTTTCTAGCCAATATGCTCAGATAAGCAATGTGGTCCATGGGCCTCTTGTTTAAAATGTTTTGAGGGCTTTCACTCTAGATTGTTTATGTGATATACTAGTAAATTATTTACATTATAAATATATGTATATTTTGAAGGAATAATTTTCTTGACAAAAAATTAATTCCCAAGGGCGTACATATCCCTAAGGGCGCCATGATTTAAATAAATTTGAATCTGCACAACCAGGATATGCTTGCATAGTAAGGTAATTCAGTGCATTGTGTCCCTTCTGTTCATGAAATGAGTTTTCCTATATATCCTATGTTTAAGCTTTGATCACCTTTTGTGGTCCCACCCTATCCTAGGAGCCACAATTTGAACAAACTTGATTCTGCACTATCTTAGGATGCTTGCATACTGGTATTAATATAACACACCATAACCTTGCTGTTATTGAGAAGATTTCACTATATATTCCAATGCAAAATTACATCCTCTATAGTGGCCTACTCTACCACAGGAAGCCATATGATTTCATCAAACTTGAATTTACTCTATGTCAGAAAGCTTTCAAATAAGTTGCATTTTCTTCTGGCCCAATGCTTTTTGAGATTTTTGAAAGACCTCCTCCATTTCTAACTTTTTTTTAGTTATATCTCCTTGGAAGACCATTTGGTCTTTCATTTGAACAAATCTGAGTCCCCATTTCACAAGAATGATTACCTCTGAATGCTTTGTGCCAACTCTGGTTGAAATTGGCTTTGTGGTACTAGAGAAGTCAAAAAAAAGTAAAAAGTTAACAGACAGCTGGCTGACAGACTATGAATAGTTACATAAATGACAGGTGTCAGATCAGAAAAGCTTACTAAAACCTTTAGTTCATCATTATTTATTACAGTGTATTACTGAGAACAAAACACAAACACACAAACAACAACAAAAACAACAAATAAATAACAAAAAATTGATTCTCTTCTTGAGGATACTAGTGATCAGATTGGAAATGTATAATTCTACTGTATGTTTATTTATCGACTTGCTGATTTTATTACAGTATTCTATACATTGAGTCTGCACATTTCAGCCTTGGTGTTTTGTGCCTTCCTGAGTGCTGTGTTCGTGGTGACCCAGCAAGGCTTCACTAGAAAAGGCCCATGTAAATGGTTGCCAGCTTCAACCCCATGCTTTAAGAACAACGAAGAGCTCAGAGCACCTGCATCCATTAATTCAGATAATTGGCGAGAGAAAAGTAGATATGTGGAAGAGGCTTTGAACACTATTTTGAATAGGAATGCATACTGAAATCAATGTATTCTGTTTCTCTCTCAATGATGAACATGGAAATCCGCACACTTTAAAGGAGAATAAAAAAAAAAATACTGATCTATAAGAGCAATAAATTCTATTTTATTTAAAAAAAATTATTTTGTTTTCTTTGCTTTGGGGATACATGTGCCAGTTAACCCTTTCAGGATAACTGTGGGATGCTCTTTTGTAGAGCAAATTAATATATTTTAGCAAATTTAGACCAGTACGGGGCTAAGATCTGCAGCTATTTTCACCAGAGTACACATGTTACATGTAAATACATGTGGAGAAGAGCAGTACTGTAATTATTATGCAACAGGACACATTTGCAACAATATGATAGTGATTTTTTTTAAGAAAATGGTCAACTAAATGTGACATGGATCCAGATCGTTTTCTAAACCAATATATTCAGATAATGTGTAGATTATATTAAAAGAATATATTTCAATATATAAGAATGGAATTTCCTCAACAATTGCTAGAATCTTGGCATAGAAAAAAATTATTTTGTTCATCTTAGTAAATAATTGTACACATGCTGGTCCATTCAGTATTCAAACAAAATACTTTTTCTTGAGGAAAAACTGTACAGTTCAATAATTTTTGCAACATGTTCAAGTAATGCCTTGCATTACAAAGTTACAATTTCTAAGTAGTAAGTGTCATTCTGCATTTTAATCCATACAAACAAAAGTCAATTACTACAACCATGTACGATAAAAAATAAAAATACTCTAACATGGATTTAAGATGCTGTGGAATATTTGTATTTTGTTGGGGTTTAATTTTTGTACCTCTTCCAAATGAATATACATCCCTAACAAATACAGATCTATAGGATTTAAATGCACGTGATTCAAATAGGATTTTCATCCACAAAACTATATCACCACCAACCTAGCTGTAAAATTTATGCAAGAATACTGGCCCCTATAAATTTAAAGGATCAAACTGCATTTTTCAGGGATAAGGTAGGATGGGTGTCCATTTGCAGATTTTTCTGAGTTAAAAATGTTGAGCTCAATGGAAATTCTAGATATATACAGGTATGAAGTTCATGAATAAATGAGAACAATTAAGGATTTCTTCCATATCTTTTATCTAAAATCAATTTCTCTCACAAAGAGTGAAATAAAATCTCAACCTGACAAAATGTGATTCTGGTCAAAAATTCAATACATATTACCGGTAGTATTTTACCATGGTAAAGTTACTTGTTTTAAAACATCACTACACTTGGCATCTATTTTCAGATCAGCAAGTTTATCTGCTCGGTTAGGTCCAATGTTTAAAAGTGAAATGGGTTTTCTCATTTCTGAGGCCCGCAGTACAAATCTGTAACCAGAGTATACCTATAGAAAGAAATAAAAAAAAACATATTAAAACGGAACTTTCCGTAATGCTTCTGTTTATTCTTTTTGATTAAGATTTACAGAGTATGAAAGTATGAATTAGAACCTCAATTTAGATTTAGATAATTGTGTGCATGCAGAACCAGGTATCTCTAATAGGACTGTAGCTCTACTGGTCTGAGTGAAACTGGACTGGAAATACTTTTTTTTGTTTCACAGAATTATGCATCCTGATATTTTTCTAAATTTAAAATTATCAAATTTTATTAAAATCAAAACAAACCTGCATGAAGAGTAATATCTATTTTAGTAAACTTGGCAACACCATTCACCAATTGAAAATCTTAAACTGATACAAAGAATTATGGATCTACTGCAGAACTCTATAGGTGTGTCAACAAAATCAGACCAAAACTGTAGGAGGAGTAGCATTTTGAAAGGACTTCTAAAAATTTCTATTTTTTGTAACCATGCTATCAGAACAGACATATCATGGAGAAGAATACCTGTGTACCAAGTTTATAGGAATGGGACCACATTTAGGAAGACATAATATTTTGAAAGAATTTCATAGAATTTTCTATTTTTAGTTAACATACAGAGTTTATCTAAAAACCTGAGGAAAAAAACAAACAAACAGCATTAACATAATGTCTAATTGTGTACCAAGCTTTATTGAAATGGCACCAAAACTTAAAGAGTTTTGTTTTGAATTTTTATTTTTTAAAATCTCCATTTGTAACAATGGCAACACCATTCACTGAAATCAAAAACCAATAAAAAGAATTATGTACCTTGGAGTTATCTACTTGTATACTAAGGAGTTTTCTTTTAAAATTGGATTGTAGGAGGAGTAGCATTTTGAAAAACTAACTACAGACCGACAGACAACAGACCCTTTTAAAACATCACAATAATTCTTGCTGTTCAACCAGTAGAGCTAAAATATGGAACACTGTCTGATCAGTAGTCCAAGGTATTGACTTTTCATATATTTTTATATATTGAATATAAATTATTTAATGCCAAAATTCAACTTGTCCTTCAAGTTTTCATATGTCTTAATTAGCTTATATTTCTCAGTCTGTTTAGATTCAACCCCATCCCCAAAAATCCACTAAATCATAAAGAACACAGAGGATAGGTGGGACTGAGTTTGCTTTACTCAGATTGGTTCATTCCCTTACCTCTAATGATGAACCAACAACAAGAACTTGATCACATTCCTGCACTTTTTCAAAAACAAAGTTTACAGTACTTTTTGGAACATTATCTCCAAAAAAGATGATCTCTGGTTTCAAGGGTCCTGAGCATTTGGGACAAAGTGGAGTCTGGAAAAGATAAGGGGATTCTGTTAAAGTGCCAATACATTGTCTTATATTAAAATATTTTGTATTGTTAAGTATACAATTCTGCCTCCATATAAATTCACACTAATTATAGTTCTGTTAGAAGTACATTGTACGTGTCCTCCCAATATTGTTTAAACTTAATGGTACACTACCTTGGTTACTGACAGCACACGTACCTTGGCCAAATCGGCCAATTACATCTTAGGTTAGAGAGGAGTACATGTATCATAATCAACAAAGGTGAGCTGAATTACCTAGGTATTCCTAAGGTAATATAAATGACATTTGATGAGTTAATTTGAAAAATAGTTAACCTGGAATCCTTCTATTTCCTCCTGGGATAACTGTATGTCACCATCTGGTGCTAATTCATTTGAAAAAGCTCTCCAAGTTGGATTAAGTGTCTCTATCATTACTTGTAACTCACTTCTTGTTACTTTATAATCACACCTCATGCATGCAACTCTGTGAGTGCTGCCATGAAGCTCAGTCAGTTTGGTGCTCCCTGCCTTATAATGCAATGCATCCACATTCTGAGTCACCAGCCAGCAAACTTTGCCCAAGTCCTCTAATTTCTTAAGAAATTTGTGTGAAATATTTGGTTGAACTGATGAAAACACAGGCCAGCCTATGAAATTTCTAGCCCAGTATCTCTGTCGGATTTTTTCACTTTTCACAAAATCCTGATAAATAACAGGCCTGCTTTTGCTTGTGGCATACAGGCCAACTCCTTGAGATCTGTAATCCGGAATTCCACTTTCTGTTGAAATACCAGCACCTGTCAAAACTAAAATATTCCGTCCTCTGTCAATGAACTCGGAAAGGATTTGTACGTCATTACGTGTGACACTTTTGTATTTAGGAACAAATCTTTCTGTGGTTGTGGCATAACTTCTGATTACGGAAAGTGAAAACTGACGGGCTTTATTTGTTACAATTCTGCCTGTATACTGTACCATTACAAAAACTAACGTAAAAATCTTAAAATGACATTCACTCACATCGACTGAGTCGCTGGGTTACGAAACGTCAGATTATTGGAATCCTGATCCCGATGTTCTCAATCCATGTATTTTGAAAAAAAATTCGATTTTTATGAATAACTGTCCTTTGAAAGTATGGGTAAAATATAATCTTATGACATAAGATGTAGTTTTGTTTTTTGTTCTGTTTTTTTTTCCTCTAAATCGCATCTTTAGTAATTTTAATCGAGATCAGAGGACACATATACGCTACTTTCACTTTTACCAAAATTGCATACATGTGCATCGTATCCATGATTAAAACAATTCTTTCGACTAAAATTATTCTGCAACGAAGATTTTCATTTAGCTTTGGAATCCGAGGTATGTAACCACATTATTAAATCTATGCAGTTACTTTTTTAAAATAAAAAGGAACGGCTTTACTTTACCGTCCCCAGAAAACGCGCTAAAATATAGTGTCGCCGTAGGCGACTTTAATACATATGAGATCGCGTGAGGTTTTAAGCCTTTTTCATGTTTTTGAGCCCAAAATCGAATTCCATGGCTAAAAGTTTAGTTTAAAACTTCTTTTTTTAAACGAAGTTTTTAACCTCGTTCTTTGGAAAAAAGCAATAAATTTTCAATAAATATTGTTTATTCAGTGAAAAGGAGACAAAAAATAAATGTCAAGGAAGCGCGTGCGGCTCATGCTTAGTGCCGTTTCTTTCGTATTTAAACATTTTTTCGTGTAAACAAACAAATGAGATGTCGTTGAAGCTAAATTAAGATCTTGCGAAAAATACAGAAGCAACTGAATTCTTGATTTATCTAAAAGAACAATTAAGACACTATCCCTAATCTCTCGAATGGTACATGTATGCAAGGACTAACCCAATTCTCCCGAGTGGATGCTAGACTAACCCATGTGTGAGGACTAGCCCTAATCTCTTGGATGGATGCTAGACTAACCCTAATCAGTCGAAAACTTGTGCAAGGACTAGTTCCCAAATCTTTCAAGTGGGTGCAAGACTTACCCTTATCGGTAACGTGAGGTAAATCTTACGTCATAGTGCAAAGAGCGCGCATATCTTGCGGATCTGGGGACCGGTAAAGTAAAGTCTACCCAATAAAAAATATATGTAAGCTGCTAATAACTCATTAATAACTGTTTTCATTACTATATTAGCACAGGAGTCGGCAATTTTGTCACTGGTAGGATTTATGCCTGTTTATCATTTATTTTCAATTTATTTACAAAATTGCCGACTCCTGTGTTATGTACAGACTGGGCGAGGGCTTCTTTCAGAACACACTAAGAAATTCTTTGTCAATCAACCTCAACTATCAGACATTTTAATTAGCAAACTTGATTGTGATAGAATTCGGCCGAGCCGAACCAAGCCGGGTAAACCCCGGTACGCTCTTAGAATCAAGCAAACAGGCTCATGTAAAGTAATAGAAATATTGTATTTCTATCGTAAAACATTATCTAGCATAGAAAAGGACTACACTTTTTGCAAATATGTTCATTTCACAAGTGTACCTTAATCACGTCATAAAACAAACAACTTTCAACACTACTATCCCCAAGGACGCCATGTTGAAGCCGCCCGAGCCTATCAAATTTTTCCGGCTCAATCAGCTCACCCGGCTTAATGCGTGCGCAATACCTGCTCAGAATCAAGTGTGTCGCCGGTCATTGCCGGTTTACCCGGGCGCCGGATGGTCAGAGTCAAGTATGCTATATGACTATCATTTGTTGTCTGCTCCAAGAAATATTTGAGATTTGCTTGCAATTCAATACTTAGAAAAATGCTTTTTATACCCCCGTATTGAAGATTCGGGGGTATATAGTTTTTGCCCTGTCCGTCCGTCTGTCTGTTTGTCCGCAAAAAAATTAACATTGCCCATAACTTTTGATTGGTTGGAGCTATGGCTTTCATATTTCACATGTGTATTCCTTGTGACAAGACCTTTCTTTGGATACCACCATATTTGACCTTTTGACCTTGACCTTGGAGTTTGACCCAGTTTTGCAAAATTTTACCCAACTTTAACCTTGGCCATAACTTTTGAACAATTGGTGCTAGAGCTTTCATACTTCACATGTGTAATCCTTGTGACAAGACCTTTCTTTGGATACCAACAACTTTGACCCTTTGACCTTGACCTTGGAGTTTGACCTACTTTTGGAAAACTTTAACATTGGCCATAACTTTTGAACGGTTGGTGCTAAGGCTTTCATACTTCACATATGTAATCCTTGTGACAAGACCTTCCTTTAGATACCAACAACTTTGACCCTTTGACTTTGACCTTGGAGTTTTATCTATTTTTGAAATATTTTAACCTTGGCCATAACTATTGAACAGTTGGTGCTAGGGCTTTCATACTTCACATATGTTATCCTTGTGACAAGACCTTCCTTTAGATACCAACAACTTTGACCCTTTGACTTTGACCTTGGAGTTTGACCTACTTTTGAAAAACTTTTACCTTGGCCATAACTTTTGAACGGTTGATGCTAGGGCTTTCATATTTCACATCTGTAATCCTTGTGACAAGTCCTTCCTTTGGATACCAACAGCTTTGACCCTTTGACCTTGACCATGGAATTTGACCTACTTTTGGAAAACTTTAACCTTTGTCATAAATTTTAAACGATTGGTGCTTTGACTTTCATATTTCACCTGTGTATTTCTTGGGAGAAGGCCTTTTCTTGGGCACCATTAATTTTGACCATTTGACCTTGATGTTTGACATACTTTTGAAAAAATGGTTCATCTTTTCCATATCTATTCAATGGTTGCTGCTAGGGCTTTCATATTTTACAGGTATATTCCTCGAGACAAGACCTTACTTTGCGTACCAACATATTTGATTTGCATTTGAGAAAGTTAAACCTTTGCTGTAAGTTGCCATACAGAGGCATCAGTGTTTCACAAACACATCTTGTTTATGTCTTGGAATTACTATAATAAGATTTTTTTCAGTTTTTGTGGTCTTTTGGCCAAAGGTCAGGGTCAAGTTATTTCACAGTTATGCATAACTCATGTTTTTTAAATCGATTGACTTACTGTGGTAATAACTACTAAGAAGATGGAGAACTGTTAAAAAAAGACACCTGTAAATTTAGGGGATTCTCAAACAGAATTAAGTGAAAGTAAATGGTCAAGATTATTGCTTTGACCATTGTGATGTAATTATTTGAACAAATCAATAGACTTTACCTTTATTACTTAGGTGTTGGATGGTTAAAGATGTATGAAGGTAAAGGCACTCATAAATTTGGAGTCACTTTGTAAAAGTTATTTATGTAATAACATGTATATATTTTAACCTACAATATTAATATTTTTACTTGTACTTTTAATGAAGATTAAGAATGGTGAAAAGCATTTGCTGGTTTTGTCACATGGATAGAGGTCAATGCCAAAGAGTCACAACTCTTAATATGGCTTTTACATATAAAGTTACTCAAGTATTAAAAAAAACAAACAAAAAAATAAAAAACAAAAAACAAAAAAAACCACTTGCTCTACATAGTTGAACACAGATTAGAACTAAAAAAAAAAATTTAAAATCATCTGGCAAAGATTGAGGTCAAAATTGTTTATTTTTTCCATGAGCACAAATTTGTTACATACACATGATACAAAATACTGAGTATTTTACATTTTAAAAAAGACACCAGAGTGTACTGGACTTTTGAGGTCACTTGCTCAAAGATCAAAGTCAAAAGATTAAGGTATTTTATACTATAGGGCTCTTTTTACTTTGTCCATTTTCTATTTCAATCAGTCTATTTTTTTATGCCCCTGGATCGAAAGATCCCGGGGGTATATTGTTTTTGTCCTGTCTGTCTGTTTGTCTGTTTATCTGTTTGTCTGTTTGTCCGTTTGTCTGTTTGTCTGTCCATTTGTCTGTTTGTCTGTCTGTCTGTTGTCAACTTTAACCTTGCCCATAACTTTTGATTGGTTGGAGCTATGACTTTCATATTTCACATGTGTATTCCTTGTGACAAGACCTTTCTTTGGGTACCATCATATTTGACCTTTTGACCTTGACCTTGGAGTTTGACCCACTTTTGCAAAATTTTATGAGACTTTAACCTTGGCCATAACTTCTGAACAGTTAGTGCTTGGGGTTTCAAACTTCACATGTGTATTGTATGTTACAAGGCCTTTCTTTGGATACCAACAACTTTGACCTTTTGACCTTGACCTTGGAGTTTGACCTACTTTTGAAAAACTTTAACCTTGGCCATAACTTTTGAACAGTTGGTGCTTAGGGTTTCAAACTTCACATGTGTATTCCTTGTGACAATACCTTCCTTTGGATATCAACCACTTTGACCCTTTGACCTTGACCTAGGAGTTTGACCTACTTTTGGAAAACTTTAACCTTGGCCATAACTTTTGAATGGTTGGAGCTAGGGCTTTCATACTTCACATATGTAATCCTTGCGACAAGACCTTCCTTTGGATACCAACCACCACTTTGACCTTTTGACCTTGACCTAGGAGTTTGACCTACTTTTGAAAAACTTTAACCTTGGCCATAACTTTTGAATGGTTGATGCTAGGACTTTCACACTTCACATATGTAATCCTTGTGACAAGACCTTCCTTTGGATACCAACCACTTTGACCCTTTGACCTTGACCTTGGAGTTTGACCTACTTTTGAAAAACTTTAACCTTGGCCATAACTTTTGAATGGTTGGTGCTAGGGCTTTCATACTTCACATATGTAATCCTTGTGACAAGACCTTTCTTTGCGTATCAACATTTTTTATCTTTTGGCCTAGATTTTGACTTGCATTTGAAGAAACTTTAACCTTCGCCATAAGCTGCCATATGGGGGCATCAGTGTTTCACAAACACATCTTGTTTAACTTACATTTCATCTTCATTTTTTATTGATTTGATAGTGATAAAGCATAGTAAAACATATACCTAATGAGATTAGACATGATTAGATGTCTTAATGAACTTTTAAATTAGAAGAGTAATACAGCACGTAACAACACCTAGCACGGCATCTACTTAAGATTACTTAAGATTTCTAGATCTCAATAAATTAGAATATTAAAAATAAAAAAAAATCTACGAGAACATGCATTTCATGTCTTTAAATCAGGCTAAACTTATGGGTAGAGAAGACTGAAGTCACGTAATTCTTAATTTAAAAGAGAAATTATTATGTCACTTCCCTATTGTTAATATTATCAATTTGTAAATTATGCACATTTCTTTTTTTCAATATTTCTTTTTGAAAAACACATCTTCTATTCTGGTTGAAAAATAGCCAAAAAGTCCTTAAATCTTTTTACCTCATGTGTTTTCTAAATCATGCATGACTGTAAAAGATGAGATTATCCTTGTCAAATTCCAAATTCTGGTCTGGAGTGTAACATTTTTCTCCTTCTCCAATTACAATATACATGTATATTAAATATTTTAAGAATTGATATATTTGTAGGTAGTTTATTTTCTTTCCTCCATCAGAACACATTTTGTGCCACGGCTTGTTCTGAGATGGATTTAAAATCAGTTGTTAGAAAACTACAACAGTTTGCAGACCCTAGTTTAGCCGAGTCCTGGGACAATGTTGGTCTGCTTGTAGAACCTACACCTCCACATGAGGTGAGTACAGTCAGCGTGGTTTTAATGTTTCTAATTATCTCTGATATCAGTATATCAAGACTAAGATTTCTTATTATGGACAAAAAGATTCCATTTCAAAATTATCTGTTAGATGTGAATGTATTCTGTGAATTAATGCACTATAGTTTCAAGGAAAATCATGCTAAAATATTTCACAATTTTCAAGAAATAACTTTCCAAGGCTTTCCCTCTAGGTAAAAAAGGTGATGTTAACAAATGACCTGACAGAGGCAGTGTATCAGGAGGCAAAGGCCTGGAAAGCTAACCTGATTATTTCCTATCATCCACCCATCTTTGTTCCTATGAAGAAACTAGAGCAAAGAAAATGGAAAGATAGGATCATTACAGGTTGTATAGAGAATCGGATAGCCATATATTCTCCGCATACAAGTTATGATGCACTAGCTGGTGGTGTTAATGACTGGTTGATGGAAGCATTTGGTAGGTTCATGTATGTAATTTGGGCATGAATTAAAATTTTTGCTTGTTTCCCATTCATCACTGACCATTAATTGTGAGCTTTGCTTCAGCAGGTAGAAAAATTTATTTTTCAGCCTCATGGAAAAATTTGAAATAGAAATTATATTATTTAGTTTCATGCTCAAATATAGATAAAACAATTAGTATGAGAATTACACTGCAAAATTCTTTTTAGTCAGGGTAATTTGTTTTGGTTAATCACAAAGGGAGACAACCAAAAAAAATAAATGAAATGTTACAGTTTGAAATATATTGATAGATTTACAAAATAGAATCTCAATCCTTGTTTCTTATGGGAATGCTTCTTGATGAAAGATACAAAGAGCACAAGTCCAGTGACCCCATCAGTGGCATCAACAGGACCACACAACAAAAGGATGCAGATAACGGTTCCCAGATCCACCCAGGATGCTTTATTTAAAGCTGTCAATGGCATTCAAAATACCCTGGTCACCATGCAGGAATTGTATGTAGTTTTTATCCTACATAATTATTGAATTTATTATCAAACCTTGGACCCTTGGTGACTGCATATCTATTAAAAATGATGTAATTTTCTCTTTAGTCTATATATTATTGCGGTCATGAAATGCATCATTATCCTCAAATTCTGAAAATTTCTTCAGAAATGGATAAAAGTTTACATTGTTTTTCAAGATTTTGCATAAAGCCCAACCTCTGATTCAAAATGTGCTTTCATATCATGAATTCTAAGAACTGCTTTTGGGGATTATAAAACATTTTTTATTTTTTGGATCGAGGGGTTGGGTCATATTTTATTTCTTTGCTGAAGGTACTTAAATACACCCGTTAACTGCAAAATTCAAGAATTTTTATATTTTATAAAGCCTGTTTTTTAATACCTGGACTCTCAGAGAAAACTTTTTTTTTATAGTAAATCAAAGCACAAAGTCTCTACTTTATATTGATGTTTGAAATGTTTGAAATAGGACACTGGGTCTTGGTCAGTTATTGGTATATGGGCAGGGCCATTTTATAGTTTCACTTTGAAACTAGCTCTTTATTAAATACAGTGGAGCCATGATAATCCAGATGCCAATAATCTGGATGCTTCATTCTCCGGAAGAAGTTTGTTGAGAACAATTTATATTAATATATACCAAATATGTTTCATTAATTGTGACGCTCCGGAACTCAAGTGTCCGGATTAACAAAGCTTGACTGTATTTACATCAGCTGAAGTGCAAAAATTTTTCAAAAGGTGAATTAAGTTTGAATGACACAAAATATCTAATATTTTATTCATGACAAGTTATGAATAAATTCACTGAATAATTACAAATTACTTATAGAAACCAGGACTTATCACAGATCAATATTCTCTGCTCCAATGGTACCATACCAGCAATACTACAAAATACACAAGATTTCAGTGATAAAATCCAAAGTACTGAGTTATTGGAATTGCAGAAAGTAAGTACATTTTAATAAAGATAGAAAAATAAATAGTAAGTTCTCTCTTGCATTTTTTTGCACAAGAACATGCCAAAAATAATAATTAGAGAATTAATCACATTGCAGCAAATAAACAATCTATATTTTGGTGTAGGCACCTAAACCAGGTTATGGAATGGGCAGAATAGGGAAATTAACTTCTCCAATTTCTGTCTCTGAGGCAGTAGAGAGAGTGAAAAGACATCTTGGACTAGCACATGTCAGACTAGCTACAGGTACCAAAATAAATTCTCCATTTAAAAAAAAAATCTCTGAGGTTTGATCTACAGTTTATACTGTTTGTAACAAAATTTCTTGAAGTAAATCTTGCTGTCACTTAAAATTCAATTTAGCAGGGTTTTTTCAGATGGCGTATTTCACACTTTACAGTTTTAAATTAAATTCACCTTTTAAAAAATCCTCATAAGTTATCCAGTTAAGTCCGTAATTGATAATATTGCATAAAAACTGGGGCCTGTCTGTCCTGCACCTTTTGTACTATTGGAGGTATACCATATTAAAAATTATGCTTGATTTTAAATTTATGTGCACAAGATATTTTTGATAGCCTGAAAAAGGATTTCTTATTTTCATTTTTACTTTTCACCTATATAGATGATGTCAACTCTTGTTCATTTCATCCATACTTTTTTTTAGGGGTGGGATGTGAAAACATCTCTTCTGTAGCTGTATGTGCTGGATCAGGCAGTAGTGTTTTAAAGAATCTAGATGTGTCACTGTATGTCACTGGAGAAATGGGTCATCATGATGTTCTTCATGCAGTTCATTCTGGAACATCTGTCATATTGTGTGATCATAGCAACACAGAGAGGGGGTTTCTCAAAGTATTACAGAGAACACTAACTGAACTTTTCCAAACTAAAATTGAATTTCAGGTTTCAACATTTGATCAAGACCCTTTAGTTATTGTATGATCTATAATAAATTGATGTTGACATGAGGTGTTTTTATTAGTTCATTTTAATTTTGGTGGCTTCAATGTGAAAGAGTTGAAAATTATTCTGAGAGTAGAATATATGATTTTCACTTCACTGAACAAACTCAAGCATTTTAATAAAAAAAATTTAATATATGTTACAGAAAAATATGGAAGCTCCTGTGTGATATAAAAAATGGCAATGACAAACAACCTTACCCAAGATCAAACCAAGCATAACATTCGGGTTAAAATCAGGCTAATTGCATCATCCATTGTTTACCGGTAATATATAATACCGGTAATCTGCTATTTGTGTGTCCAACAGAATTTTTACCACAATATTTTCAGTTCCTGCAATTCTTCACTTTTCAAGAATTTCATATACAGTTGAACTTCAGTATCTCAAATTCCTTAGATTGGAAGTCCCAACCACTTTTTCTCTTTGTTTTTCACCATTCATATCTCTGCCCTTGGCTATCTCAAGGTCTTTCCACAGTTCACTAAGTTCAAAATAAGGTTTGACAGTATTCAGTTCAGGTGGTAAATTCATATACTGGTGTCTATATATACATGTATTTTAAAATTACAAAACATAGGTAATCAATGATTATGAAGCTCACCAAGATGAATGTTGTCTATAACTAAGACAGAGTATCACATCAAACAAATGTTCTGTAGTTTGCATCTGTTGATGCATCATCGGATGAGTACAAGTTTGGTCTGGGTACGATTTATAGTTACCTGGGAATGGACCTGCTCAAAAACTAACAAATCTTTCTCTTTAAAATCTAGCAACTGAAGCAAGCCTGGTAGTGTGCATCCCTAGATGCATCGTCCATGCAAGTTTAGTCACCTTAAACTTATACTTGCTTGGGAATGAACTTGCCAAACTTTCACCTTTTCTAAAAACATTATCCTGGTCATATTCTTATGGAAAAATTTGGCTAAAAATGCAGTATCTGAAACCTGACTGTTACAAGGAAACGGATATATCATCAATGCAGCTCTGATCAATATAGGGCATAGAGTTACTTAGAAATAAACCTGCTCCAAAAACGGCGGTGATGACAGTGACACCAATGGTATAGCATAACTTGAGGTGAGATAAAAATAATGGAAAAACATACTGGTATGTAGGTTTTATTAATCTCTAGGACAATTCATAACAAATATGAGATCTAATCAGTCTCAGATAGAGATGGTCTGGATGTGCAAAGCAAGGAAAAGATGCATGTTGCAATTTTTGAGAAATTCAAATATCCATTGATATTTTTACATTTAAACCAAGAAAAACACACAAGATATCTAAAACTTCCTAATAGCAATCATAAAACAATTTTCACCCAAAGATTTATTTGTTAATTAATAGAAGTTACATTTAAGTTGTGTAAAACATGATGAGAACAAACCTTCAGTGAGAACCAAATTGCTTGACAAGTCAGTGTAATGGGTTTCCTTTCATTCAAGCCAGATAATAATTGACTTGTTGGTTGAATTTATGATAGAATACAGCTTATGGTTTATGAAGGTACAAGATATTTGCTATATTGTGTGTAAATATTTTGCATGTAAGGACAATTCAAGTATTGAAGCATGTTATACATGTACTTGTAACAGTATTGATACCATACCATTAACAGTACAGAAAATGACTTATCTGGTACAACACACAGTTAATAATTACACACAGAAAACTTGACAGGAATTTTCCTAAACATTTAATTAGGAACAAGTTCAATCATTTAAAAATTCAGTGCATCAAAACTTATCCAAGTCTAAGTCAAAGACTGAACAAAAGGGAGCATGCAGGAAATAATGCTTATTTTACACAGAAGTTCATCATCTGATAATTTTACTTCCTAATCATGAGAAAAATGTTTCAATAGTTTTACACATACACATGGTCATTGTTCTGGATGCAGTTGAGGTGGCTGTAAGCCAACATTTTTCAAGCAAAATAGTTGTAAAAAAGATATGCAATGCCCTCTATTCAGAACAAAAATGTTAAATATACATGACTTACTTAAACAACTGTATTTAAGACTTGGAAGAATGAGTATTGTAAGCATCACAGATAGGGCAAAATAGATACTAGTACATGTATTAAATTCTCACAGTAAAATTTATTTACATGTATGCAATCATGGTGATAATGAAAAATCTGTTTAAAGTACATTTAAAGCAGTATAATAAATTGTATTTACTCATGTATTGTACAATATGATATACCAGGTAATACATCCTTAAAACCAAGACTACATGTATTAATTTTTGATTATTTGAAGGACTGAGTAAACCCTGTGGCCTGTCAAAATTACGTTTCACTGACTTTTGCTAAAGGTGAATATAAGCCTGTGTAATAATGTAACAAATTACATGTTCAAACAGGTCTTGTATTCTAAAAAAAAGATTTATACACGGAAATCTTAAGCAGTTACTCTGATTTTCTTAAAAACAACCTTTTCAACAATTAAAATATTCTAAAACTGGAGTGACGTGTCCAGCCAATCAAAACGAAAAACATGACAACTAGTACAGACATGAAATTCATCATCTGACCATGTTATGGTCTTCAGCTTATGTTCTTCATCGTGAATTCCCTCTGCAGAGTGGGCACAGCGATAGCCTTCTTTATTTAAGTCATAGCTCAAACAGCTTGCAAGAATATCCATCACAACACTAGGTAACCCTTTGATATTTTCACATGGAATATGAAGATGGTATTTGCCAAAGCAGGATTCGAAAGACTTGTATGTTCGGAACTTTCTGTAGTATTGTTTATATACTTGTTTGGAAAATTGCAGGTCCCTAGGAATTGGCTGATTTTTGGTAGTAGCAACCCTGACCATTGAAATTATGGCACCACTCTCTACCACCTGTTCTCTAGCAAGGTCTATTAATTTTGCTTTAACAGCACTGTAATCTTGAATTTTATCACGGATGTTTTGCCGGACAACATATTCTGCAAATAATGGAGGTGAGTTCTTTAGGGTGTCAATAAGTGGTGTAATCCCATAATACATAGCCTCTTGTAAAACTGCTTCTGCAAGTGCAACAGGGGGTAAGTCCTGGTCATTTCTCAGAAAATTTAAAATGTGGTTAAAATGAGTACCATCTCTGTCAATGAAGTAGTTTCCATCACTATCTTTGTCAATGACATGCCGACCACTGAACATCACAGCTAGCATTGAATCTGGGTACTTCAGCAATGTTGACAGACGAGTGGCAAATATTTTTCCTCCCACATTTAAGTTTATCACAGACGGAAACTGTAAGAAAAAATACAAATTGAATAATAGTTTTCCTGAAATAAGCTGTTTCATCCCATAATATGAGTCAATATAATTCCAACCCGTAGTGCTTTTTTTTTTTTTAAATTGTTGCATAACCCAATTCCATGAAGAAATCATAAAAATTCCGAAAATGAATCTTAAAAAGAGGACTCTAAAATGATATGTGTAGTAAAAATTCACACGCAGCTCAATGCTCCTCTGCTTATTCAAAATATCTTGTATCTTGTATTCAAAGAAAATGAGAGATGCCAGATCAGACCATGCACACACACTTATATATAGAATGTACTGAATAAAACTTATTGCCAAATCTGACAGGACCCAAATAGGTATAACATACTGTTACAACACATATAATTACAGACAGCACATTTAGAGTAATTACCCGAGTGTATAATAACTGATGATAAGAATCGGATTGGAACGAAAATCCTATTTTGCTTTAAACTGACCAAGGGCCGGATGTTCAAAAGTTGATTGACTTTAACACACTAGATAACACAAAGATAAGACAGTGTTAAAATTAACCATCTTTCGAACAACCGTGACTGGAATAGAGAGACACATGCTGAATAGTAGTTACTACTTTAGTACTTATTCAGCAGGTCCAGTGCAATCAGTACATTTAGCTACGTAGCTAAAATTACCTACTGTAGCTTTATTTACCTACCTCGGGTGGCTTTATTTAGCTATTTCAAGGCAACTTTTCACAATTTTTGCTTTTTATTTTAAAAAGACAAAATGTCGCAAGTAAATGTCTACTAATATTTATTCTAGGTATTATTTAAAATGCAATCTAAAGCAGAGATAGTTTTAACATTGCTGCGTTTGAACACTTTTAAGAAAAATATGTATTTCCATTGTTTGAGTAACTGTGCACCACCTTGTGTGCGATGAGGCTTGGATAAGTATGATTACTTCACATTGTGCTCATGTTAACCAAAACTGGTTTTCTTTGTTATGTCACTCAAGAAGTAACTGTTAGATCACAAAGTAACTGTTGTATATAGCCCCAAACTTTTTAGAACTTTGATTGCAATTGCGCAGAAAAAGACTTATCTCCAAGAGTGATTTTTTCATGAATTGTTTTTAGATGAGTTCAAAGTTGAAAATTATCACTGCATCAAAGTGCAATTTTCTGCACTTTCTGGGAAAAATGCTAATTTAATAAATAAGTTTGATTTAGTAGCTAAATAAAGCTACTTCAGGTAGGTAAATAAAGCTATGTAGGTAAATCCAGCTACATAGCTAAATCTATTGATTGTACCAGACCTGTTCAGATTGTGTCAATGATTGATGTACCCACCGAATTGTTATTGTCGGTCATACGATACGGATCCATACTGCTTCACTGAAAAATTCTTGTTGTTAGTGAACTGCTACATAATTTTGTTGTTTTCTTTCAGTGTATACGTGCAAACAAAGTAAAAATATGTCAATTTTTTTCAGCTGAGATCTGCCATTGTTGTTGTTTTGGAGTTTGATTTAACAGTATGTCGAACCCGGTCAAAATACCATGTACATGTTAGTAAAAGTAACCGGAGAAAAACAGTTAGACAGCACATAATACATAAAAAATATAAATACACATAAAATATATATTTACCACTGCACAAAAGATAAGTGAATACATATATTTAACGAAAAAAAATCGGGGGGGGGGGGGGGGGTGCCGAAAACTGGATCTAGAAAAGTAGATAAGATTGAGTTAGGAAGAGGAAATGGGGATGGGGGTGTACAAGCTGCTTTCCTTCAAACAAATGTTTATGTCTTATCAACTCACAAATAAGGAATGAATGTTTCCTGGTGGGATCCAGTATCATTTTTTTATGTCGCCTGCAGAGCGACACTTAGAGATCACTTTGCCAGACTTCTGTTTAGCAGCCCGTCCGTCTGTCTGTCACATCCTATATCTTGAGAATGGATAGAGGTGGGAATTTGATATTTTGCTCATATATTGCTTGGAACAACCGAACAACGTGGCTTTTGCATAGGCGTCGGAAGCAAATTCAAAGTGGGGTGGCTAATTGAAAGTGGGGGGGGGGGTAGATAGAACGTTCTATCGTTAAAATGATATTGTCCTGCGGACCCGGTTTAACGATAGAATTCGTTCCGTGTATTGGCAATGTTGCAAAATAAACACGGGCGATAACTCGAACTCTGTGCATTTTCTATGAACAATCCAGAGAGTTCCGAATGTCAACATGGCGTTAAATTTGAAGCGAGGAAAAAACGTTGACAAAATGAGTTGAATTTTCGTATTTATATGGATTATTTATTAGGTTAAAAGGCATATACAATCTCAAAAAGGTTTGTTATGATTGATTTGGTAGTTATTTTCAGTGCAACTCCTTTTGTATTCTTCAAAATCATTTCGGAGTGGATCCACTCCGATTTGCTACATTGCAAGTATATGGGACGTATTCTAACTGTGGTGAGGGCTTGTCCCGAGACACAGTTAGATTATTCTAACTAGGGGGGGGGGGGGCTAACCCAAGGAAAAAAGGTAAGCCCCAATTTTCAATGCCTATATTATGTCTATCTTTGCAAAAAAAGTGGGGGGGGGGGGGGCTAAGCCCCCCCCCCCCTAGCCCCCCCCCCGGTTCCGACGCCTATGTTTTGGATTACTCATCCCTTCACCTTTGAACTTGACCTCTGACCTACTTTTCAAAATACACTACAGAACAGATATACAAATATTTTGTGAGTTTCAGAGGTTATTCTGTATACTAATTAGCATGTAGACTGATTGTCCTAAAACAATTTTGAAAAATACCAATGCTACAATCCAAGTGACCTTGATCTTTGACCTAAAATTTCAAGAACACTCCGATCCGTTGATTTAACTTTTTTTTTTTAATTTTGAGAGACTGTGCTTTGACAACTAGCATATATATGATATTATTAGAACCTCATGACACTTTATTTCAATTTAATTCATCTTAGCTTTGACAGAGGGTTGAGGATTCCTATTTCATTGTCACATTTTTACAGATATTATTTTAACGATGTTCTACTATCCGTGGATAATTTTTATTTGCATGAACTAAAATGTTCAATTGTAAATATTAAATTGCACACACTTTTAAAAATTGCACACAGTTTAGCCTTAATTTAGCTTAATTAATGTATTTAATAAAGCTAAAAAAATATTTAATAATAATTTTATTTATGATGCTCAGTATAGCAGGTGACACATACGTTCCTTGGAACACTCTAGTTGTTACTTTACTGACTACTAGTATATAAATCTTACAAAGCTGAAAATCGTAACACAAGATACAAGATATAAGTATACTTTATGATAGTATATATGCTTTTGGGTTCCATACTTTCATTTATTGATGATAACTTCATGGAGAATGAAAACGAGGATAAATATCTTTAGTGCTTGAAGTCAGCAGCAAATATACATATGTAGGGATGCATTCTAAGTATATATGTTGTATTTTTTACTATTTTTTAACACAAATTGCACATTACAAAATGAAACCGATTTAACAAAATTATTTCTGCCTTAAATAGTCTATATCAATATAAAGAAAAAATCCCCTGGGACCAGACAGACTATCCACTTCATTCAAAACCTGAAATACACCAGAGTTGTGATAAATGTACGAGGGTGTCGGGTAAAATCGTGGACAAGTAGAGTGAAAAATAATCAACAATGCTTTCTAAAATATTACTATTCATTAGTACATTTTTCTTCAATATACGTTGCAAATTTCCTATAGATATATACTCAAATAAACAAAATACGGTTATGTTATATGTGATATCGCCTTACGGCGCATGGATAAAAGGTCAAAGTGTTTAAAGCAACGTCATGTTTCATCTTTGCATAAAAATGTTGGATAAGCCCCTCTTCAATTCTGGAAATTTCACTGATGCACACACTCGAAATCTTTATTCCTTCATAAGACTTGTAGTATTAAAGTTGAGATATTCACATATGTATTGTGCAATAAAAATAAAGCCATTTAATTCTAATCATCATTGCCTTCCTTACAGTTTCAAAAATTTCAATTAGGACATTTTTTGCCGTTTTGAAGCAGTTAATTTAATGCTGCAGCAATTTGAAAACACCTTCATTCATGTATACACGCATTTGATTTTAGAGAATTTGAAAATTTAGGATCTACCTCATATTGTGTTGTGAATACCCCGATTTCATAGCCTCAGGCGACATTTGAGATTTATTACAAACCTACCCAAGCATCTCAATATAAATATTTTTGTAGAAGCTCTCATATTTGGTATCACGAACATCAATATGAACTGGTGTAGACTTACACTACAATTGGGACACAGCACACTGTTGTTATAATTTTAAACGTCATCCATGATAAGAAGAATTTCGTTTCTGAAAAATTTGGAGAAGACGAATTTAAAATGGAATTTTCCATTTTATCGATCACAACACACCGGTACCGTTGTCAGCCCCGAGAAAGACGGGGGGCTTTTGTCAGATCAGGAGGTCTCGCCTGGGACTCTGGACTTTGACGATGCCGTGAAAGCTTGCCGATCTCAGACGACTTGGGATCTTTTGCGAGCTCTTCTTATTTTCAAAGTCTGTTCGTTTGAGAAATTTGTCGAAAATAATTATACGGTAAGTTTTAAAAGAAATAATTAATGAAATTATGTGACTAAATGAAACCGTATATAAGCTTACATCCATGAAAAGAGGAATGTTCTCTACCTGGAAGATTTTGCAGCTTTATATACATATACATGTGTATAATTATAAATATGCAATGGTTTTCCAAGATATCATTTGATTGAATATGATAGCACTGATTTAAAGTAAATAGCTACTTGTCAGAGCGAAAATTTGGAATCATTTTAACATTTCTGCTACAACTATGAAATATGGTAATATTACTAGGTAAATCTTTGCTACGCTAAATTACACTTCCAATATCCCCCCCTCCCCCCCAATTCATTGCTGTAACTTTCCTTGTTTAGATTCTTACGTAAAGAAAGTTTTTTATACAGATTTTGTCATGGAGCCGTAGTCTAATGGGCCGACCGCTATTCAACACGATAATGCGTCCAACAATCTATAAACAATTTGTGGGAGGCGATGACGTCACATCTTTCCAGGCAACTGTTAATCGTCTGCAAGCTGCAGGAATGGGGCCACTCGTCATGGTGACACTGGAAGAAGACGTTAAAGACGACGGACCGTAAGGAGAGAGAGAGAGAGATTTGTTGAAAAATGACTGTTTTATTCATGAAGATCTTTAATATATTGATATACATATTTTCATAAAATTTCAATTTAGGGTAAAGTTACCGAGTTCTCTGACAATTTTGGGACTCGGTGTATTTTATGTTTTCCTATTTTACAGAGATGCTGATCAGCTTTTTGACAGAAATTTGAAGATAATGGTCGACTGTATGGAAGTGACATCTTCTCTTGGAAGCCAGAATCCAATGATGCAAATCAAACCGTCTGGACTGTTCCCTCTTCATCTCTGTGTTCGTATGATCATTTTACATTTATCCGCAGGAAGTTCAATAACCCATTTTTCTCAAATAACTATAAATGATCTCTTATAAAGAAAATATAAGAAGCCCAGGTACATTGTCACGAGTCTTAAGTCTGTACAAAGGTTGTCAGTGTCAAATTTTACCCAGCAAGTGTTAATTATGACAGGAAAAATAGATAACATTAAAAAAAACTTGCATGAATCAAATTACTTTTTACAAACTATGATTGTTAATTTTTTACCACAAGGTTCATTTTCATTTTCGACAAAACAGAGAATGGTTTCGAGTGAAGTTCCATATCCCAACAAGAAACCAGAAGTGGTAGAGAAAGTAGCGAACGCCATGCATACATCCAAAGAGGTAGGAATATATTATTCTGACAATTTCGATTCTCGAGCCGCCGAAATATGGCTGAGATATTGCCAACATGTCGTTAAGCAATAATTAATCAAGCGAGTTAACTCTGGAATATTCTTAAAATGTCTTTGTGTGAAAATGGATAACTGTTCAAAAGTACCAATTTACGATTAAACAAAATCTGTTCTTGTAGATAACAGAGCTGGGAAACTTGTCATCTGTCGAACTCACACAACTGAACAAAGCGTTACAGAGGGTGAAACAGATTTGCAAGGTAACACTGATTTTGTGGTTTTAACCTGCCTAATTTTGACAATAATAAAACCAAAAGTGTTGAACTTATATTTAATAAGTTTTAATTATAGGTTGCCATGGAGAAAAACGTGATCATAATGGTGGATGCAGAGTACACGTATTTGAACCCGTGTCTAAATTTATTGGCTCTTGCCATGATGCTGAACAGTAACGGTTCCGCTCCACTTGTATTTTATACCCACCAAAATTACCTCAAGGTCAGTTGTCTTGAAATTTGTGTCTTAAAATATTTTTGTTTGAAGAAAATGTAATAAAGTTTATTTTTTAGGAAACTCCAGATATTCTGTCGAAAGACATCGCATTGGTACAGGCACATGGTGTATCCTTTGGTTCCAAACTTGTGCGCGGTGCTTACTTGTATAAAGAAAGATCGCTGGCGAAGGAGAAAGGCTACTCCGATCCTGTTTGCGAAACTTTCGAGAAAACTACCGAAAATTACAATCGTTCTATGGACATTATGTTGGATAACATTGCGAAGTATCCTGGGAAATTCAGCACGATAATTGCTTCGCACAACGAGGATACCATTAAAAGAGGAATATCCAAGTGAGTGTGTAACTTGTGACCCTCCCCAGTATAACTTTGTTGACATACTATTTTTCTTTTTTTTTCTTTTTTGCTACGTAGAAACAAAATGTAATGTTGTCTGTTTCTTGAATGATATTTTTTAAAATAAAGCGTAAGAGCATTTATCTCATAAAACATAATTTTGCTTCATGTCCTTGTACAGTTCTTAACTTATATTTTCACTAAACAGTAACTAGTAGGAACAGCAAAACAGCTCACTAGATGTTGATGATTGAATATGATTAAATAAGGATACCGGTATCTATGTTTAGAGAAATAATAGAAGGTATCTGTGTTACCTAAGTGTTCTTTTTGAATCCTACTGTGATGATAAAACTTACAAGATATATACTAGTACAATGTATATAAAAAATCATGCATATATACATACAAATGATTTTATAAACGGTATTTCAGATTGACTGAGCTTGGAATTCCTCGAAGAGGCACAGAGCAAAAGGTTTTCTTTGGTCAACTTTATGGAATGTCTGATTTCATTTCACAATCTCTAGGTAACACATTCATAAATTTTACAAAAATTTAGCAAGCGATATCAACCCCTTGCAACAAGGTTGCCTGTGGATGTCGTTATTGTGGACAGTAAAAAAGTACTATTTAGTACTTTCAATCTCCATTACGCCACAGAGATTGAAGATGCCTTGAAGAAAGCCTTTTGAATTAGGGATCAAGGTCAAGGTTAAGGTCAAGTTCAAAACAGTGAGATTTTGACAATTTTGGAGAAAAAGGTTTTAGAGTCCGACACCTACTTGTGAGACATTTAAACAACATGCACAGAGGAAGATGGATATTGAATACCTTAAATTGCACAAAAGCGCAAAAGGAATATTGGACACGGTCAGTCGTTATTAAGGAGATGTAGAGTTCCATTTGACCTTTTAGACTGACATTCTCTTAAGGACAAATATTATAGATTTCATAAACATGGAGAAATCAAAACGTTAAAAAATGTTTATAATGTTTTAAAATAATGCATGTTTGCTTTGTCATTCTTCACATAGAGAATAACAGGAAGATAATTTTGTTCAAGTAATAGATATAGCAATATTATACGAATCTTGTGTTATTTCCAATAAAACTTGTGATGTAGCTGAAAACTCTTGTGACTGATATTCAAAAACTTTAATTTATATTAAGTTTTGAATAATCACAAGATTTTGCATATAAATCACAAAATCACAAGCTTTGTATGGTATTGCAATGTTTAACACGCCATAGGCGATTGTTCCTTGAATTTAGCGTACACAAAATATGTTCAAACTTTGATTAATAAATATCTTGCATTTCATCAGGTCAGGCTGGCTACATGATTCACAAGTCCATTCCTTATGGCACCATTGACGAAGCTCTTCCCTACCTGTCCAGACGAGTCAGTGAAAATAGTTCCATATTTGGTGGAATCAGACGAGAGCGCAAAATCATCCGCAAAGCCCTTGCTGACCGTTTACGTTTACGTTCGTAACGATACGGTGATCCTCTCTATGGTGGAACGTAATCTTTTAGAATATGAATGGACAAACATCAAATTATATGCTTCAAGATATCTTCTTCCATTTTGCCCATATAAAACCAACAAATAAAAAGTATGCTAAAATGTTAAAACTATGACTATAATGTTTTTAATTATGTTTCGGTAAATGATCACTAAAATTTAGTGTTTTTTTAATTCCTATTACTATTGATTATTTGTTTATTTTGTTAACCTCTGCTATTATACACCAAATACATCCTAAAATTTAATGATATTAACCCCCACCCCCGAAAGTTAAAAAGGGTTAAATAATAAATTGTAAAATAAATAACTATAAAACTTCGACAATTTTTTTTTTTGCCTTTTGTAATTACTTGTACATATTTTAATTGCATATTGTATTATATGTATATTTACATGCATTAATTTCATATATGTATCGAGCTTTAAGTATATAATTTATTGATTCTACAATCTTCTTAAGTTATCGTAAACATCTTTATTACATTTATTTAAATAAAATTGTAGATTGAAATTTTTTCTCGTTTTTAAAAAATTATCTGTAGAAACATCATTGTACTAAAGTAACTAAACGCATATTTACTTTATCAGACATGAAAATCCAAGGAATTTTTAGGAAATTTGAAACCACAAAATTTCACCAAAATCGAAATCAACAACATCAAAACGACTTTTCAACTTTATACAACCATTCCCCACGATAGATTTAAGTCCAAGCTTTTTGACATCAATGACAGCTGGTTTTTCAAAAAAAAAAATCAGAACTCGTAAATTTACTTGTCATTGGTCATTTGCAACATTATTTTGTTAAAACAATATTCTGATTGTACACACAAGTACTCTGAAGTTGACATTAAAAAGATGCTTGTGTTTCTGATTGACAATATCTGTGTAGTTTTTGGAGACCAGGTCTTCCAACAATCTGTCGGAATTCCCATGGATACCAATTGCAACCCGTTATTAGCAAATCTATTTTTGTATTCATATCGAGCAGAATTTATTCAAAATCCTAAACATGAGAAGAAAAAGCAAAAAAAAAAAACACTTGCTGTGGCCTTCAACTCAACATTTAGATATATCGACGACGTATTATTAATCAACAACTGCTACTTCCATTCATATGTCGACTCGATATATCCCAGTGAGCTTCAAATAAAAGATACCACAAAGTCTGACATATCTGATTCATATCTGGATATTTTACTAGAAAAAGACTTTAATGGTAACCTTACAACCAAGCTTTATGATAAACGTGATGACTTCAACTTTTGAATCGTCAACTTCCCTTACTTATGTAGCAATATACCCTTATCACCCGCATATGAGGTTTATGTCTCTCAGTTGATTCGATACACAAGAGCATGCTCTACGTACGAACAATTTCTAAAAACAAGGCAAGCTATTGACAATTAAAGTGATAAAACAAGAATATCAACAGTCATCATTTCGCAAGTTCTATGGTCGATACAATGGCCTTGTCAGCAAATTAAATCTATCATTAAGTCAAATGCTGACTGATGTTTTTCATACTAATTGTTAAGCCATTTTTTCAACACTGAATTGTCTACGGATTTTTCTGTTTTCCCGATCATGATAAGGAGCACACGGCGGGTGTGACCGGTCGGCAAGGGATGCTCACTCCTCCATAGCACCTGATCCAACCTCTGATGTTTTAGAGGTCCGTGTTTGCTCCGCTCCTGATTTGTATTGTTTGAATGGACTTTTAAGCTTGAATACTGTTCTTTATCTCCATATTTCATTGAAAGAGTGAAAAATCATAGGAGATTCACAAAGTTTCTGGACTTCATTCATCATGATAATATGCTCTTTTTACCTCGGAAATATAGCTGAAATACTGCCGACTCGACGTAAAACAACAGACAATTGATCAACCCAGACTGTTATAAGTATTATTAAGCAGTCCAACTGAACAACAGATATAACGTTACAGTTTAGAATGATTGGTACACATAAGGTCCGTACTGACGCTGTAATTAATACCATGCAATCAACCTCATACAATTTTTATTGTATGAAATTCACTGTACACACGCTGTAATGAATTGTATACATTTTTTCTATTTTCCCTCCAAAATCATACATTTACAACAAAGTTGTATTGAAGACTACATCCAGACAAGTCAAACGTAGTTGTCGTAATGAAACTTATGGACAATACCTTGTATAATGCAACTAAGAATGTTAAGGCGGTATGTATGGACCTTTAGTTCATGTCATTTCGAAAGACAGACCAGGAAATATATTTACGTTACATTTATTTACAAAATGCGAAACAAAATGCGAAAATGCAATAAAAAAGAGTAAATATTATGCCTAATATTGTAAACAATAGACCAGCTGAAACCACATGCATTTTGAAAAGATACGTTATAATATACCCCTTTCTAGGTTAAAGAACGCGCGGATTTCTATAATAGATGCTTATTTTTGTGTAAATATAGGTGGTTTCAAATTTCTCGTAAAAAGAGACCCTTTCATATATTGTTCCTTATATTTAGGGGATGATATCGTGTGTTTACTGCAATAAAATTTTTGAATGCCTTACTAAGTGAAATCACATATGATATAACAATGGGAAAAAAGTATAAATATGAAATGCTGAAAAGATGTTAAGTATATACTAAAAAGCTGAGGGGGTGGGAGAGAGGAAGAAATAAGTTTAAGACAAATCACAAACTCACAGCAAATCAGGGAACTCACCTCACCCAAATTTCCTTTTATTTCCTTTTATTTAATGTAAATAAGGAGTCCCTTATTTACATTTGAGAAAAATGGAACAGTTTTGATAAGAATAATTTTGTAACTATAATGCCACTAAATACTTATTCTTTCATGCATTTATCTTTCATAGGGAAATTAAGGTGTATTTGTTTTACATGTTGCTCAAGAAAACTATACATTGTTAGTCTCCCCTTTACGTGCAACATCAAAACTTGTTCCCTTCTGTAAATAAATAGGTTCTCTGCTACTTTCCTATCTTTTTTTTTTTTTTACTGAGATTTGCAATAATAATTTGTAGACAAATACCCAAACGTTAATTTTCCCCGTTTTGACCTCGAATAACACCCATACCTTGTGTATGCCCTTTCTTCCGTTTGACACATGCTGCGTTCACATGCTCTTGAGATTATGCGGACTATAAGTCCATTATGCATTACCCCAAAACGTTCTTCCAATAAGAATGAAAAGAAGTAGGTATACTTGAATAAATGGTGTGTCATGGCCCTGAAGTTTCCTAATCCACTGTGGTCTTTTTACTGTTTGCCACCTGTAAAAAATGTGAAAATCGGACAAATATCAAATAATTTACATACGCGTCCAAATAGCACAGCATGAATTACCAAGAGACTTTTGTTTTGTTTTGTTTTGTTTTTTTTTTTTTTTTTTTTTTTGTTTTTTGTTTTTTTGTTTTTTTTTTGATTTTTTTTTTTTTTTTTTTTTTTTACAAAAGTTAAAATTCTTTGCAAATGATTTTTCTGCATGTTGAACTTTAAGTTTAATTGACTATCTATAATATACGATATGAAACTGAGTGATATCACAGCCCCTTGTATCTTTCTCTGTCATTTGATAGCTAAACAGTTTCTATGTCCGTATCAATTTTCAACTCTGGAACAAGTGTGAATCAAGTTACATCAGATTCGCTATGTTTTGACGGTGACCAAAATGGAAAGGGGGAGGGGGAGTGTCAATCGCCCATGTCTTTATTTTTATTTTCGAAAAAATATGTGTACCATATGTGGAAATAATCACCTACCTAACACCTTTCCCCCAAAATGCAGTAAACCAGGCAAATTTTATTGAAAAGTTATTGTTATATTTGCTCTGCAGTGTCCTGGGTAAATGGCAGGAATCTATTTATGTAAGCTGGTCTGAAAAAAATATCTACTCCACAGTTTATTGCTGATACTCGAATTTGTTGGCCATGGATGACATTTGGGTCTATTACGAATTACCCAAGCGTCCCAAACAAAATATTTTTGTAAAGCTCTTTTTCTGGATATCAGAAACCTGGATATGATCTGCTGTAGACTGACACTAGCATGATAAACATAAAAAGTTTTTACTGAATTTTCAACTTCAGCAATGCTAAGTAGAATTTCAGTGCTAAAAAATCTCAAAGAAGGGAATCTAAAGTGGTGCTTTCCATTTTATCGTCATCAACACACTATTGCGGATCCTAATAAGGACCATGTACGTGTTCCAGAAAATACTGCGCAACTTCTGGAGTTTGAAGATGCTGTCAAAGCTTGCCAATCGCAGACAAGCTTGGAACTTTTGAGAGCTCTTCTTATTTTCAACGTTTGTTCGGTTGAGAAATTTGTTAAAAACAATTACAAGGTAAGACGTTAAATGTTTCAATAGTAAGTGTAAAGTATACTATAGGTAGAATTGGTAATTTTTCCAATAATGTTCTTTGGATAATTTTGAAATGATATCACATAAGATTTCAGTGTTTTCAAGTATCATTTCACATACAAAAAAAGTTTCCGATAGAATTACTTTAGAACTGGTTAACTTTCATCGTACATTTACCACCCCTTTTAAAGTATCATGTACGACCGAACTAGGACTTGCAAATTCGCTTTCTCTTTTTGTGAAATCTTGACTAAGTAGTCTAACAAACAACCAAAATTTTAAAAACCAATAGAATAAAAAAATATTTTTGGACCTAGAGCGATGATTTTGAAAAAGAATGGCGACTTTTTATAGCTAAAAAATACCGATAAATATTTTTGAGATAAACTAATGGATAATTACAAATCGAACGCTCTCATAACGACAAAAATAGTTTATATCATAGTAAGTGAATAAAATAGATATGCTACACATGAAACATGTGCCATTCTGCAATACACAATAAAAGGAATTCTTGAATTATGAAAATGGTAATAATAAAAACAGATTTTCGTTTCCAAAGCAACGACACATGTCATTCTCAAATCCAATTTTAATAATTTTATATTTGATTCAATTAAGATTCTCTCATGGAGTCGTCGACTAATGGGCAGACCATTATTCAATATGATTATGCGTCCTACCTTCTACAGACAATTTGTGGGAGGTCATGATCTTACATCCCTTCAAACGACGGTGGATCGTCTGCAAGCTGCAGGAATTGGACCATTCGTCATGGTGGCACTGGAGGAAGACGTTAAAGATGACGGACCGTAAGAGAAAGATTTTTTTTCTTTCTTTTACAAATATTGTTTTATTGCTGAAGCTTAATAATGGCTGTACATTTGCAGATCATTAATAAATTCTACAGAAAATTAATTTTATAATATTTTTTAAATTTTATTTAAGAGATGATTTTATCTAATCAAAACAAGAATTTTTTTTACATATTATAAAGGAGCGTATTTTACAGAGATGCTGATCAGATATTTGAAAAAAATCTTAAGATAATGCTGGACTGTGTGGAAATGACGTCAAAACTGGGGAGCCAGAATCCAATGATCCACATCAAAACGTCTGGATTGTTCCCTCTTGATTTTTGTGTTTGTATTGAAAATTTACGTTTCAACCATTCTCATCATGTTTATTAGATTTTATCCTTGATAAAAATACATAATGCAATGTAAAACTGGCATACTTATGTAACTTATATATGTTGCCATCGCTCTAAAATTCACACGGATGGAATAATATATAGTAAAGACGTAATCAAGGTGTTTTTATTTAATAATGGAATAAATTGAAGCTTTCTTTGCAATTTTTATTTCTTTCTCTCTAAATTGTATTTGTTTAATTTTTTTTGTTTTTTAAAATCAAAACGACAACATAGAAAGCGATTTCAGTGGAAATTCCACGTCCAAATGCCCAACAAAATGTAGTGGAGAAAATTGCGAACTCCATGAACACCTCCAATGAGGTAGGAAATATATGCTCATACAATCTTATTCCAGCAGTTAATTCCAAAGAAATCATTTATGTTTTGAAAACTTTCACACGGAAAGAAAATACATTTAAATTCATGAGATTATTTGAAAACAAATGTATTTCTCTGGCAGATAACAGAGCTGGGAAACCTGTCATCTGTAAAACTCGAACAGTTGAACAAAGCGTTATACAGAATGAAACAGATTTGTGAGGTAACGTCTTAAAAAGTGAAGAGTATTTAAAGAAAGTGTTTTATACATAAAATCATTTTTTTTAAATTAAAGGTTGCTAAGGGGAAAAACGTAATAGTTATGGTGGATGCAGAGTACACTTACCTGAACCCGTGTCTAAATTTAATGACGCTGGCCATGATGCTGAACAGTAACGGTTCCGCTCCACTTGTATTTTATACCTACCAAAATTACCTCAAGGTCAGTTGTCTTCGATTTCTTTAGATCATACAATAAGCTTCATTTTAGAAAACTTGTCTCAATTTTATTCTTGACAGGAAACTCCAAATATTCTTGCAAAGGACATCGCATTAGTCCAAGCACATGGCGTATCCTTTGGTGCTAAACTTGTGCGTGGTGCTTATTTGCATAAAGAAAGGTCGCTGGCAAAGGAGAAAGGTTATCCTGATCCCGTTTGCGAAACATTCGACAAAACGTCCGAGAATTACAATCGTTCCATGGACATTATGTTGGATAACATCGCAGAGTATCCTGGGAAATTCAGCACGATAATTGCTTCGCACAACGAAGCCACTCTTAAGAGAGCAATATATAGGTAAGCGTGCAAACTATTCAAAGAACGAATACAGTGTAGATGTGACCCATGATGACTACATATTTATTACAAAATGACGTAATTTAAGATGTGCACTTGTCGGTGACAGCTTTAAGTTCTCGATGTTATATTTCATCTACAAAGAGCCTTGGAAAGAAGGGATGTGAATAAACTTTGAGTGTAACACTAACAAGAAAATATATGTGTATGAAAAAATCGATTCTGGGGCAAATATAATAGGCGTTCATTTCTCGATTTACATATCATCGTCTCCAAAACAGAAAATTGAAAAAAAAATTGTTTAAAAAAAAAAACAAAAACAAAAGCCAAAAATAAAACAGTTAGATGATGGCGTGACATTGATCTGAAAAGTTGGCAATGTTTTGCTGAATGCCAAATCCTTTGTCCGAACTGATGTAAAACATGTATCTATATAAGAAAAGGTTTTACTTTGTTGTATGGATACTAGCTGTAAAGCTCATTGATACCTAACTATCTTCAGCTAAATTCCGATCTAAATTTTCGATACAAACTGTATTCGGAAATTTTCCAAAAATTACTTTTCCTATGTGGCGGTACTGAAATGATTTCCACATTGCTCATATTAAGACTCAATATTAAATAATCAAAATGTGTAATGTTTGAAATCGTGTTTCAGAATGACAGACTTGGGAATACCACGAAGAAGTACGGAACAGAAAGTTTTCTTTGGTCAGACTTATGGAATGTCCGACTTCGTATCCCTGTCTTTGGGTAAAGTATTCATAACAGACAAAAGAATTTACACATACAATATTCACTGTATGTTTGATTAAAAAAGCATAGATTGCATTAAATATGAAACTATCCTTAATTTCAAGTCATAGTCCCAAAGGCTATGTATTAAATTTAGATACGAAATTTGCTTTTCTTTTCCTATCAGGTCAGACTGGCTATATGATCCACAAATCAATACCTTATGGCACTGTTGATGAAGTTCTTCCCTATCTGTCCCGAAGGGTTAATGAAAATAGTTCCATTTTCGGTGGAATGAGACGAGAACGCAGTATCATCCGAAGAGCCCTTGCAGATCGTGTTCTGTCAAAAACGTGAACTCATAGTGAACAAATCCGAAGGACACATCGTGTGCTGTCACAAACTTAAACTCATGGTGATCACTCTATTAGCAATACTTTTAACTGCATTTTTTACTTGAGATTGATCTAGATATGTAATGATTTGATCAATAAAGAATTTTGCATTGCTCTCCTAGGGAGTTCTTTCGTTTTATAAACACGAAAACACAAAGACTGTGCTGCAATATACTTCTCTTTGTTTCCGGTCCATTATTATATATATATTTTTAAAATTAACCTTTGAATTTTTATTAACCATTATTATTTGGAAAATTTGCGTTTGTGTAATTTAGAATAAGGCTTTAACCGAAAATCTATTGACTGTGCATGTAAATGATATGCAGAATGTCGAACACTACAGACACAATTACAAAAGGAAATTATCAGATTACAAAAGCATGTATTTGTCCATGTCTATTTCAAATTCTTTCATCAGGTATTCAATTACAAAGACAAGATCCTTTCCTAATTCAGCTTTTTGCATGTTTTGACTAGTGAATTTACCACATGAAATTTACCAAAAATATAACCAACTAATCGTAAAAAGGCAAAATTCTCTCAATTTTGAAATACTTTAACTGGGGGAGGGGGCTGGGGAGGAAAGGGATCGCCGAAGCTTTCCTAAATTTTTCCAAAAACAATAGCTCCTATATGAGACTCATCGTAATCTTAACAGCAGAAAACTCTAGATACATGCACAGATGTATGTCAATTAATTGCATTTAGCCTCACCACATTTATTTCCTTTCACTCAGGCAAAAAATAGCTTAAGTAACTAATAATAGATTCCTCACCCAAAAACTACTTTTTTCTGATGATAAATGGTCTGCTTGGAATTTTTAAATATAAAAGGGAGGGGAAAATAGCATCACCCAGATTTAAAGCATTTTTTCAGAGTTTTACATTTACAAAAGTATGAAACTTGATTTTTTTCTAAACTTGTACCAAGTTCAGTTGCTATCAAATCAGAAATTGTAGGAGGAGTGTCATTTTGAAAGATTTTCACATTTCCTCAGTAGCTACATGTATGGTAACACTGACGACTAAAATTATGTGTCTTAGTTTGCATCATTGTTCTTTTTTGTTTTTTGTTTAGTATGGTGTAATACATTTCTGTTCCACGTTTCATTGAAATTAGAATCTGTAAGAGGGATAGGGTTTTAAAAGAATTTTACAGAAATTTCTATATTTGGAGCTATTGCAACACCATTAGATGGAATCATAAACCGTTACACTGAATTGTATCTTAGTGTTTAGTCTACATCCTCATCTTATGTACCAGGATTTATTGAAATCAGACCAAAACAGGAGCGTTTTGAAAGAATTTCACAGAAATTTTCTTTATCAACAATAGCAACAAAATTCTTCTAATTCAAAGATCGATTCAAGAACTGTGTATACATTAGTTCAGTCTTTGTATCAAGTTTTACTGAAATCGGACCAAAAATTCCGGGAAATTAGAGTTTTGAAAGAATTTCACAGAAATTTTTGCTTAGTTAATATGACTTCACTGTTCTACAACATCAAAAAACTTATTTTAAAAAATTACGTAGCTTAGTGTAGTCTACTTGTGTACGAATTTTTTTTTTTACAAATACAAGCAAGACGCAAACTGTAGGAGGAAAGACGGGAGGCGACATTTTGCAACCGTATAAGCTCTTCTAGACTTTGATTAGTAAAGCTAAAAATGAAATTCCTACAATTTAAAATTACACTTCACGAAACAAACACAAGAAATATCATTGTTAATGTTACTATAATGTAGTTGTGTATGTGTTTAGGTGATACTGAGTAAATGTATAATTAACAGTTAAGCATTATTAGTGATCAAGGTAAGTTTTTAATCGGTATAAAAATAATTTCATTCTGGTTCAATATTTTCACAAAATGTAATGCTAAAACCTTCTCGACTTAATATGTCAATGACAGGTTTTAGATCCTCACAAACGATTAATTTTGATTTATCGTCTTCCTCTGTTTTGTCACTTTCGTACAGCTTTCTTTGCCCTGGAGGTGGAATATATTTTCCAAGAAGTACTCCGATGATGTCTATCATGTTTAACTCAGTGTCATACCCATTTCTTATGACATACGCAGCACTATCCCCACATTCTGAAAAGTCACCATCCATTCCTTCAATGAAAAAAACTGTATATGTGCAATTATTTGTATGATCATTGCAATGTTCTATACCTTTAATAATGCCGTCCGTCCAGCGAGTCCTTGCACCCTTTTTATGAACAATTTCATACATCAGTTTATCTGACTCATGTTCATACAGTCTTGCAGACACCTTCTCTTCGCTAGGATTTCTAAAAACTTGATCAAAATTATCATAGAGCTTGCGATTGGTTAGAACGAGAGAAAGATCTCTTGGATGAAAATTTCTAGTACATACTCCGACTTGTCGCACACATTGGTTTTCTTGAAATCTAGCATACATGTATTCCTTTGGCTGGTACACGTGATTGCAGCTAAATACAACAAGATTATCTTTTTCTCCCATTTTCTTCATCTTAGCAAAACCTCCAACTGTTCCTTGGTGTTCCCTTTGCATGACTGTACCACTTGTATCGTTTTCCTGACGACGGAATGATAAACATACATCACCTTGCTTAACAAATGAATGTGGCTTTACATCCCATTCTCCGGGCGTGGAGATCAATTCGGTCTTCCAGGTAAATTCGCCGCTATTTCGAACTATTTGCAACTCCTGCCAAATATTGTCTATCACCTTTTCGCAAGTTTTTTCATGTACATGTATCTGAAACTTGTCCATATAAAAGCCGTAACTAACTATGGATTGTTTGTGCCTGAAATAAACATGCAAAATGAGAGTTTAATAAACTGAATCGCTCAATTTCTCATATCATCAGATGTGTAATTCATTTCGAAAAGTGACAATTCATTCTTCTGACATAAAAAGTAAAACGTACTTACTGATCCAGGACCATCTTCATCATTTTAGGGATGACTCGACTCGGTTTTATTTCGGATTTCCTTTTTCCAGACGTGTACTTACGTCGATTTAGTCTCTTACAGATTGCATTCTTTTGAATCAATAGCGATCTGTTTATGGATAAGTTTTTCCGAGTTTTTGCTATCTTTTCAATAAAGCTCAGCAATTTTTCTTCCAGGAGTGACGTAACAGCCTCACGCACATCCTCTTTTTTATTTGACACTTGTACTAATTGTACATTTTTAACAGATATTTCTTCACTTAATATCTTACATCTAGGATCAGTCACCAGTAAGACCACCTGCGAAATACCATCACGATGTTTCGCTAAAACAGGCAAAGTTCTTCGCAGCTAGAAAAAGAAACGTAAAATTCAGAATCATTGTAAATAATCAGCTTTTATTTGCGGAAGAAAGTTTGTATATATTTCATTTACTTTTTCGACATTTTCAGATGATGTGGAGCCTTCTTCTGAAGTCATAAAACAAACGATGCATATCGGAAAATGGTCCTCAAGACTTTTTTCAAATGTTGATTCTTCGATGGCTGTTAATAATACGAAATGTTTACTTTAATAAATACACCGTTAATCTTTAAACATCACTGTAACGATTTTAAAATAATTGTCTTTAAGAAATATGCTAGTTACCTTCCTCACTGTAAAAACGTTTATGTGAGAGCAAGTCGATATTGTTTTTAGAAATTATTCCGCGTGTCATAATTAGTGGGAATGACCAATACGTGTCGTCACTGGTATCAATGTCCCCTTGTTTTGAAGATTTATCTATATCTGCCACCCTTTCGAGTAGTTTTCGTATCAAAGACACATGGTAATCATAACGTGGGAAGTCTTGTGAATCATAGCAGAGGAAGACTGAAAAGAAAAAAAAATTAACATTGAATATTTTATGGACAAATATGCATATTTTATCACCCTGGAGCTACTTTTAAGTAGAAAATCAATTGCAGTGCTTACTTGCATCAGTGAAATCCCAGTTTTCAACGGCAAACAATTCTGCTTCAATATTTGACCAATCTGCATATTCTTTAAGTCGAAATGAGAATGTTTTAGGAAATTCTTCACTTATATTCCTATCAAGATAGAACCGCAGAGCTGATTTTAATTCCAACATTTCTTTCTTGTTTTTCCACGTGAGAAAACTTTTGAAAAACCCTTTAAAATCATCCAATTTTGAAAGAAAATAAAATGCCATAGATTCCCTCTCAAATTTTTCAGCGGATTTTTCACATGGATAAATTGAAGAAGATAATATGTATAGCTGCATAAAAAGCTTTGACAGAAATTCAGAATCTTTCATTAAAGGGGACTTTTCAAGTATATCTTTATCAATTCCACATAACCCACAGGCTATCCTCTGTATGATCGCAAGGTGATATTGTTCATCTATTACTAGTTGTCTTTCTGCTTTACTGCCTTGTCCAAGTTCTGCAAATGTCACTAAGGCCGACACACTGATATTGTCCAAGAGCAAGCCAGGGTCATGAGAAAGGAGCCATTTCAGAGCTGGTAACCGCAGATGGTTTTCCAAAGACAATGACATCCATTTCAAATGCTTCATAATGTCTTCCTCTGATTGAAAAAATGAATCGCTACATGAAGAATGTTTCGGAATTTTTCGCATATTTCTCAAACAAAGGATATTATTCATTGCGCGTTTTTTATCTTGACTTTCCAAACCAAGAGTATCACATTCCCCTACAACCATAGCAACACTGCATATCCTACAGAATACTTCAAAATCAGTTTCCACTATCTTTTTGAGCACTTCATCAAAGTAATAATCTGGGGTTTGAAACTCCTTCGTGTACCCTACATTCCATCTCTGAAGCATTGAGCAAAACAAAGGGAATCCCATACTTACATCATATGGATTTTGGGTAATTCCGTATCGCGTCCTCAATTTCACTTGGTCCATTGAATTCCACTGTATTTTGTAGTAGAACATGTCTAAATTTTTTATCGGATGACTTGACGTAGAGTTCAGAGTAACTATAACAAATCTTTTCTTTTGTTGTTCATCGCATGCATCCTGTATAACTTTGATCCAGTTTGGATCAGAGAGATCAACATTATCAAGGATTATGTAAGTTTTGTCATGGTTCTTTTCCCATTGTGAAGGATGGGTAATGAAAGCTATATTTTCTGCATTTGCACAGTTATGCATGACAATAACTGCACAATGCGTCTTTCCACTGCCTCGACACCCTTGTATGGACATACATCTATGTTGGTACAATATACTTCTAATATCTTCAAAAAGAGAAATTTCTACGTGATGAGAATAAAAGTGCTGAACTATGGATGTCCAAGGTATCTGAAATATGTATTTAAAATACTGAGAAAGTAGCAAGAAATGCATTTATATACTCCTATTTATTACAATATTTTAGGCTGTAATTTTTCTTCATTTTCACAAACTTATGAACCCATTTATATATGATTATTAATAAATGGGAAAACTTGAAAGATAAAATATCTATCTGTTTGTATTAAAACCGAAAGAGAAAAGAAAAGGAAAAATTCTGTAGGTTTCAAGATTATACAGGTCATCTGCGAGAACACCTCCGGACACTTTTTATCTGTTTACATGTCAACGGTGGCCATTTTGAAAATTTAAATTGTTGACTGCACAACTAGGGTTGCTGAGCATCATTTAAGTTTCATTAAGATTGTCCAAGTCATATCCGAGAAAATGCTCGGACAAAATTATAGGTCTAGCAATAACAATACATGTCGTCCCGACTACGTTCGGGATGACATAAATATATAAACGATTACATACAACCTTCTAGTAAAATATCATATTGAAAAAAATCAAACTAATGTTGCATATGTACAAAGAAAATCCATTACACCGAAAAAGATTATGAATCTGAATGCAAATTTTTAAAGAGGATAAAATGGCGGCCTTGTAATCTTCGTCCGGGTTGGCGATAAAGTACACGTTATATACGAATATAGTCAGATTAAGACAAAAAAAATAAATACTTTTCTTAATCCAAAGATAGAATATTCATTCTTAAGTATTATAAATATAATCTAAAATCACAGGAAAGATGATAAAACCTTGATTACCTGTTCATTTGATTCTTCCATCTTCTTGTTTATTTACCTTGCTGGCACGTCACTATTTCCCGTGACTGCATTGATTATTTTATATTTAAATTTAGCTCTGGGTATTTCCACTGTTGCAATACATAGTAAACAAGCGAAAATAAAATAAAATCTCTGATAGCAAAATGAAACGTAGATCTTTATTTCTGATATGAAAAGTCACAGATTATATCGCACGGCGTCCAATATAAAAATGTGCAGTGATCTTCCTATTGTTATAGTCCTCCAATGTTTCATATAATCCTTCAAAACCATTGTGGGCATTAAATAAGATTTTTTATTGTAAAATTATTATTTTAAAATTAAGGAAACATCAATATACATGATATGTAGATGGTAAATAATAACATACTTATTTATGTATGTTCGTGTAAAATGTTACATTTAACGTTTAAATCTTAATTAAAACTTTCTTTAAGTTTGAATAAAGATTCTTCTGATGTAACTCAGTTCAATATTCATTTTACATTACATTTTAAAAAAAAAAACCCTTATAATCACAGAGATTATCACGTACCATAATACTGCCCATCCTTCATGATAACATAACGATGAACTAATATTTCCATTACCTTGAGTTTCAGTAATAAAATAACAAATTCAATAAAGTTTAATTGTGTACACCCTTTTCAATCATGGATGTAGGAGCATTTTTAAAAACTTTTTATTAGAGGCATTTATGTATTGCAATATGAAAATATCAAACCTCTTTTTTTTTTTTTAATGAATCTTCATTAATTAAAGGGATAACACTGTGAATGGCATGGGTTTAGTAAAGGCTTTGTCTTAAGTCTTGAATATTTAAAATTTTTACTTCTCTGAATCTTTGAAAGTCACACTTTGAATTATTTCAATAGTCATGTTTGTTTAAAGCGTAAAATGATAATAGATTGAAATTGAATCCTCAAAGCCACATAAGTTAAAGGGGAAGATATCTTTTCTCTGGTACCAGAGCATCAGTAGTACCAACAAAATATTCACGGTATAAAGATTAAACATGAGGAATTTAACGATGATATTTTAAGACATTCAACACACAGCTGTTCTGTACGGAACATCGATGATCAGACCTCAAATTACACCAAATCTTTCACCTTTGTGAAAAATACCTGCACCAATCTGCCAATCAAAACAAGTCAGATGAACCGAAATCTTGTAGATTCGTCATAAAGATGTGATCAGCAGATCAAACACTGAATAAAAAAACTCCTTAGACATTGTTGCGTCATCTGTTAACATTGTCTGGACAGTTTTTGAACATGTCATTATTCACACAAAACCGGAAATGGACGGGGGAAGTGCAGTGATATATAATTGAGAGGCATGTTAGGGACACTGCACCGTGCAGGTCTCCCTGGGTCACAAAACAGAAAGAGAGTAAGTAATAAGGCACCTGACAAGAATGGCCAAGTTATAAATCTTAATTAAATCTATAATTATGTTCACAGAATTCAGTTATGATTTGAAAAGAACCTTAAATGATGCCTTCATTTATTAGATATGCAGGAAAACTATATCTATTTAATTTCATAATCTTATCTGTTTAATTTCAATAATTTTATATTAAAATAAATCTATAAATAAAATCTTTAAAAAATTATTTCTATCATTTATTCACAATGTATTTTTTTTTTCAGTTGACCATGCATGTCGTTGGTATATTCGCCTTTCTTTGTTTTGCTGGGGCAAATGGCCTAGTGATACGTAAGTCTTAAGTCAGATAACACTTAAATATACAAGTAAGTTATTTCCAAATTGTATTTGAAAGATATTTATTTGAAAACTGATTTGAAAAGCAGCATTTTTGAAAACTGTGATTACTGAACAATTCTTATTGATAACTGTAACATAAAAATAGAAACAGTTTTGAGAAAGAAATTTTCTCATAGGTCTCCTTAATACCTTTTGTTAAAAAGCTAGAGCATTTAAGCAAACCCAGGTTATTAAATATATCGTTTAGTGAGATTCTTATGAATTACTAAGTATTGATAGACTATATTTATTGTGTTTGATACGAAAAAGGAATTGAAAGAAAAGACATTAAGAAACATGAACATATATAAATATTTACAATTTCTTTTATTATTCTTCAACTAAATTAACATATAAATTTCTAAGATCCAAATGGCCAAGGAACCCCCACAACTGTCGTTAAGTCCCTGAATGGGGAAACAGTTATGCAATCCGGACCTCCAATCACCCATCCAGAGCAATCCAGACAAAATGAGAACCAATTCGTCAGAGACCCAACCATATTTAATCCTAAGAGATCCAGACTTAATTCAATTCAAACTGATCCAACGAATGCAATGATGAACAACATGGTTCGAATGATGAACCCAATGGCACCTGAGACTATTCGACAGGAACAAAAGCCTTCCATGTCTGACAGGTCAAAGATGATGATGAATATGATAAAAAATATGCCTAACATGGCAAGTGTGATGGGAGATAGAACAGCAATGGCCGATCTTATGAATGCGATGTCATCAGCATCTGAGATAATGGCCAAAATGCAGAACAATATGAAAATGAATCAAGCCAGAAAATCTAATGTGCAGTCTCCGTATGAAACAGACTACTATATGCCCATCATGACGAATAAGATGACAAATATGCCCACAATGGTTTCTAATGACATGATGAAAAATGCACCCTTCATGCCTCCTGCTTCTGAAATGATGGGAAATATGCCCTCCATGCCCCCTGCTGCTGAAATGATGACAAATGTTCCCTCCATGCCCTCTGCTGCTGAAATGATGACAAATGTGCCCTCCATGCCCTCTGCTGCTGAAAAGATGACAATTATATCCTCTATGCCCCCTGCTGCTGAAATGATGACGAATATGCCTTCCATGCCCAATATGCCTCCTGCTGCTGAAATGATAATGCAAAAGGGCCAAATGTCTGATATTATGTCTAAAGTATCCCAAGTACCTTTCGGTATTAAAATGATGGGATTCAGTCCACAACAACGCAGTAAGTACAACTACTTCTGTTTGTGATAATTCTTGTATATATTTTTTTCTAATTTGATTGTTGTAGATCAAATAATATCGGCATAATATTCAATATAATTTACACAAATTGAACACTAGTATATAATTATAGCCTTGTGACAAACAATTCTTACAAATCATTATCGAAAGCTTAAAGACAATGATTCCGTCATCTGAGCGTTAAGATAGTAGGGAAATCACACAGATAATCTTCATTTTTATATTAATGTTGTTTACATCTTAGTTTTTTCCTCTATTTCAGGATATTAAGATGCTAGAATTATATTGTCCACATGCTACATGTATCTATTCACTGAAAACAGCCTGGATATTTTTCAATTCTTATTTTCTGTTTTTGCAATTTTATCTACATGATTATACTTAAAGATGTGTTACAAAGAAAACAGAGTAATTCAATATCTGACATGTCTTTTTACCATTTCCAATTGTATTACTTGTAACATCCCGATCTGAGACGATTCATACTGTAAATGTATAAAAATGTATAATAACATTCTAACTCGATATTTTCATTCAAACATTAAAACACCTTAAAATTCTAGGAAAACTTATTCGTATCTGATTTTTTCTTCTTCTTTTTTTTGTTTTTGTTTTTTTTTTTTTTGTTTTTTTTTTGTTTTTTGTTTTGTTTTGCTTTTTAATGTAATGTCAGAGTGTTCAAGGAGAGAAGCTATTTCATAAATCACATTGTAAACTGACATACAGACATATATATATTTAATGTGTATTTATAAAGAGAAAAGAACTACTACAATTAATAGTAAGAAAGTTAAACTTCAAAATTATCATAATTACATCAATTTCGTTTGACATCATATTTCAGGTAAAGAAATCAAAAACTTTTAGGGATGGTAATCGAATAGAGAATTGGCAATCGGTTAACTACAAGACGTTCCGATCGATTAACCGGTTAATCGTATCAAAATACTTCTTGAAATTTTTAAGTAAGCTATATTCCTCTATTGAAGTAAGTTCTTTTCGTATATACAAGCAGACTGAAAAAGAAGTTAACTTAGTATCATTCTATTTATGCTTGATTCAAAAAACACTATAAATATTTCATTTAAATTTCAGTGGACAAGAAATTATTTTTAGAATGCTGTGAAACATGCCTGAGATATCAGAGACATTGACAATTTTTCAGACCAGATGTTACACAAGTTCATTCTGCATTGTGACCAAAAATCAAATCAAGTCTTACATCACTAAGATTTACAATGCTTGTTTAATATAATTTCGTAGACAACTGCATAGGAAAGATTGGTTAAGATACACATTTTAATCTGTTCACAGTAATCGTTGGTGATTTAATTAATATCATTCAAGAAATACAGGACAGACTGGGTAACGAAATGGTTTTCAACATTATCAATTACTTCAAAATCTGACCAGTTACCCACATGATTTTAATTACCTCCGAATTTATGTCAACATCAACATATCAAAGGGTTTTTTAAAGTTAAAATTGAATTTTATGGAAATTGCGTTCAACTTTAAACATTTTTTTTTCAACAAACCGATTACAGATTTTCCAACCGATTACCATTGTGTCGACCGAGTAACCGGTTAACCGATTATAGATTGCCATCCCTAATACTTTTAAAATCTTTCACTGGAAAGTTTGAAACGGCCACCATAATTGAATGCGCATAGCGAGAAAGTGTTTCTTTCTTTTGAGACTTTTTAATATCTCTAGAATCAGAGACCTGCAATAGAAAAAGATGAAATCTCCCAAAGCATGCTTTATACAGATGATTTCAAAATTTCAAAGCAAAGAGAAAAAAAATTCATATGAATCTTTTGCATACCATAGTCTGTTGAAGAGAAGTAAGAAAAAATGGCTGTTAAAACATTTGACTTTATTGATATTGTTTGCAGAACAATAAAGTGAAAATGTTGACTACCAGAGGCCCGTTTCACAAAGCTAACTTAGGAATAAGTTATATCTTAAGACAGAACTTTTTCCTAAGTTCATTACTTATCCGTTTCACTTACCTCGTCTTATCTTAGGATATTCCTAAGTTATGTCGTAACTTTATGACAAGCAAATCAATGACTTAAAAAGATATTAAATATGACGGCTGTAGATACATGAACAAGGATTCTTACAGAGAGATACTGTGTGTATTCCTATAAAGAAAAACTCCAAAGGACGACTAGTATATGAATGATTGTGATCCCTTCAGGTTATAACTGCTTTACTTTGTATGTAATACATGTAGCTAAGAAAGGGATTTTAGAATTGTAAGAGATGTGTCTGTATCACTAGGCAAAATTAACCCAAGGTATATAAAAACGTCCATTGATAAAACTGGAACTACAAATTCATTGCTCTTATAGAATGTTTGATTTCTCAAGAATTCGTGGATTTTCCAATGTAACTACGAAATAGACAGTACACATGTTGGATTAATTTCCCATCATTTAAAGAGCACGATAAAACTGATTGTATCTTTTCTCCCCTGGGAGGGAGGAGGCGTTGAAGTGCAAGACTTTGACTTTTCCCCTCTGTTTCCGTTACAGAATATTAGGTCCCATTGTCCCTTTTTGGGCTGATTTGTCACGGTATAATTATGCATTGAGATGATAGTATATTTCCTTTTTTCAACTTTTTCTACTACTGTAAATCACTTTTTATTCGAAAGAATTTTGTTTTCGCGAATATTTTATTCATGTGTATACTTTTACTGTAGAGTATTATATAATACAATAACCTCAGCTAACGAAAATTTTGTCTCGCTTATTAATGGCAGATAGCTATCTCGAGTAAAAAAGGTGTCGCGAAAATATAGTGATCTACAGTAGTATTGTTATTTCCACAGTTGCGAATTTGGAATTTCTTTTCTATCGAAAAATTCTTATCTTAAATATGCGAGATAGTCTTACACGGTAAATATGCACAACTACATGTAGCATGGAGCACTCATTCGAGAAGAAATGAAAAAGGCCTCTGTTCGATTGCTAGCCCTTCGAAGCAATCGTTTTAAATTTATTCCATTTACTAATTAAAACGGTACTAGTAGAAATATATAAAGTAGGGAAAGAATAAAAAAAAAAAAACAATTGCAAAACCTCAGATACCTTATACAGAGCAAAATAAAAGGCAAACATATATCAACACAAAGAAATTTTTTTTAAAAATACATGTCTTGTGACCCGGGGGGGGGGGGTCATGTGTTTGTGAGTGTGTGTGGTGTGTGTGTGAGGGCGTGTGTGCTTATTATTTCAAGCAGGAAACTCGTCAAACTTAAACCATACTTCTGTCCAAGTCTTTTGAATGTGGTGGGTAACCCCTAACCTCCCGCCCCTCCCCTTTTCAATAAAGCTGAAATTTTTTTCATTACTTCAAATAACCCGACTCAAACTAAAGATTTTTCTCATACTGACATCCTCCAAACAGTATGCTGAGAATTGTAGATAGAATGGAGAAGTTATTTCATTAGTCCGTAAACAACATAAGAACTGTCTTAGGATAAATTTAAGTTAAGAATGTTTTGTGAAACAGCTGTGGCAAATCTTAGGAACTTCCTAAGTTATAGCTTAGGCATATCTTAAGTTATGTCTTACAACATATCTTAGGAAAACTTTGTGAAACAGGCCCCAGGTGTTTTACGCGAGCATATTTTGGTATAATATTTAAACCCAGTGATATAAACGCACATCTCAATATTGCATTCACTCTATCTGCTATTTCATTGTACCCAAAAATAACCTTAAATCTTGCCAATAATTTGCAAACAATTATTTTCGTAACATAATATCGGCGATGCATCACCGATACTCCAGCTTCAATTTCTGCGGCCAACAATGCAGTACCTGTAATAGGAACAATATCGTTCTCCCCGATCATTGAAACAACTACCTCTCCTCAGATATTATATCGTGAACCACCCCTATACAAACGGAATGTGTTTTTTGAAGACCAAACCAAGATTTGCAGAAAAACTAATATCATCATCATGTTTCAAAAATTCGTGAAAATACAAGTGAGTGACCAAGAATGACAACTGAAGTTTTGTCCATTGTAGACGTGATAAAATATTTTTACTTATCAAATACTTGATAACAAAATAATCACAAACTTAAGAAGAAAAAAAAACGTCAGTGCTCTAAAGACATGAAACAAAATAACCATTATCATACATCAATATACAATAATTCAGACTTAAACATTATAGGAGGATATTTATCGATTACGATAAAAAAATCTTAAGTAAACTTAAATTTATCAAGAAAGTTTTCATAACAAATGTGCATTTTTCTGGAAAAAAAAAGTTTAGAGAAAAAAACGTTCAAGAACTGCTCAAGTCCTTTGAATCTTGATAAATAATTCTTTGTTCATCAAATCCCCAATCTTAATCATGACCATATCATGTCAACATGAACTTGCGCAAATTAGTGACATGACGTGCTCATAATAATAATAAAAAAAACTCATCAAATTCCAGGAAAATACGAGTATATATTTATGTCTCAAACAAATGAGTCTGGATTATGTCGTGTGCAGAAATAAATGTTTGCAGTGTTAATACGTTTTTGGCATGGGTGAAACAGTAAAGAATTTTAAATGTAGATTGAAAGATGAAAAACCTTCAAACAACTCAATGTGAAAGTCTTTAACTGATAGTGAAGATAATATCATTTAATTGCATTAATATTTATTATTCATACTGTATGCATACGGTATAAATCTCACCTGATTGGACGAATTGTGTCAGTCGTAGATAATAAAAAACGACATTAATTTAGCATGTTGTAGATCCAAGTTTGTTTGATTTCTCTTTCATCCCCCAATTGGTAGTTAATTTTTCTGTTTCGATTTATGACACAATCTTAATTGCCTGTATGTTAGTCATGATATTAACTTAATTAGATTGTACCTATAATTTAATTATAATTTACGTTCGATAAACGCTAGTATGGAGTATAAAGAGATTGTGTAGCATTTATTGTGTTTTAGTTGAAAAATAATAATATACAATTTTCATTGTCTTCTTGGCTTGGATTTGTGAGTGCTTTTATTACCAATCTGAAAAGAACAAGAGGCACATGGGCCACATAGCTCACCTGAGTAACTTTGGACATGCTGTTCTTTACCCGATTTTCCCCCTTGTAATACTTATTGCGGCCCCGCCCTAACCCTGGGGGTCATGATTTTAACAATTTAGAATCTACACTACCCCAGGATGCTTCCATATAAGTTTCAGTTTTTCTGGCCCAGTTGTTCTTGAGAAAAAGATTTTTAAAGATTCTTCTTACATATTTCAATGTAAAACTTGGATTCCTTATTGTGGCCCCGCCCTATCCCCGGGGGTCATGATTTGAACAATTTAGAATCTACAATACCCCAGGATGCTCCCACATAAGTTTCAGCTTTTCTGGCCTTGTGGTTCTTGAGAAGAAGATTTTTAAAGATTTTTCCTATTTATTTCAATGTAAAACTTGGATTCCCTATTGTGGCCTCGCCCTACCCCCAGGGGTCATGATTTTGACAATTTAAAATCTACACTATCCCAGAATGCTTCCACATAAGTTTCAGCTTTTTTGGCCTTGTGGTTCTTGAGAAGATTTTTTAATGACCCCACCCTATTTTTGTCTTTTCTTGATTATCTCCCCTAGTAAGGGGGTTTGGCCCTTTATTTTAACAATTTAAATTCCCCTTCACCCAAGGATACTTTGTACCAAGTTTGGTTAAAATTGGCCTAGTGGTTCTTGAGAAGAAGTTGAAAATGTGAAAAGTTTACAGACGGACGGACGACGGACAACGGGTGATCAGAAAAGCTCACTTGAAATGGAAAAAAAATGTTAAATCGTATTAATTTTTTTTTAAACGTATGAAATGATTTAATGATATCAACAAAGTAAAATAAAACGATACTTACATTTCATTGATGGACCTTAAAACAGAAAAAAATGGAACTCTTACAAAAGCACTAATAATTCTTATTAAAGTAACAATGAGAAAAACACTAGAATAACATTATAAATGATCATTAAAAGTAGTTTTACCTGCTTTCTTTCCACCGCCCATCATTCCGCCCATTCCAGATCCCATCATTCCGCCCATTCCAGATCCCATCATTCCATTCATTCCAGATCCCATCATGCCTCCCATGCCAGATCCCATCATTCCTCCCATTTTGGATCCCATCATTCCACTCATTCCAGATCCCATCATTCCTTCCATTTCGGGTCCCATCATGCCTCCCATAGCTGGTCCCATCATTCCTCCCATTTTGGATCCCATCATTCCTCCCATTCCAGATCCCATCATTCCTTCCATTTCGGGCCCCATCATGCCTCCCATAGCTGGTCCCATCATTCCTCCCATTTTGGATCCCATCATTCCTCCCATTCCAGATCCCATCATTCCTTCCATTTCGGGTCCCATCATTCCACCCATTCCTGGCCCCATGCCAGAGGGCATCATCATAGTCTTAGGAGTTGACATTATATTTGGAATCATATTCATAGATGGCATCATCATATTTGGGGGGCGCATAATCATTGGCATCGTCATTGAGCCTTGACGTCCTGCATTCATTCTTTTCATCATGGAAGCAGCTGCCATGATCATACCCATATTAATAGGTGACATTCCCCCCGTTCCGGGCCCAATACCCATACCACCTGTCCCTCCCATGTTTTGTCCCATACCATTCATGCCACTACCCATGCCTGGGGTCATGACCATCATGTCACCAGCGCCTTTTCCTCCAGAGGACATCATTGAACCCCCTGCACCTCCTCCTACCATAACCATCATCTTAGGTCCAGCTCCACCTGCCCCACCAGCAGCTCCACCAGCTGCAACACCTTCTACTTCACTGCCTTCAATTTCTGCAGGCTGAGCGGGCTCTGGTGGTTGAGGTGGAGATGGCATCGATGCTTCACCTCCCATATTTCCACCCATACCCATTCCCATACCAGCGCCCATATTTCCTGCAGATGGCATCGCCATGCTTTCAGCAGGTGACATCATTCCTCCTCCTTGCATCATTCCTGCTCCACTTTGTCCTATTCCCTTACCCTGCATCATTCCTCCACCTGGCATCATTATTCCTCCTCCTGGCATCATCATTCCTCCTCCTGGCATCATCATTCCTCCACCTGGCATCATGCCTCCATTCATGCCATTCATCATACTTCCAGACATTCCACTCTGTGCAGATCCCATGGCTCCAGGCATCATCGGAGCAGGTTCGGGAGCTGGAATCATAGCACCTGGCATAGATCCAGACGGTGCAGGTTGTCCCATAGTACCAGAACTTGTTGCTGGAGCAGATGACATCATAGCACCTGGTGTCATTCCAGATGCTGGTTCAGGGGCTGGCATCATAGATGTTGGTGTCATTCCAGGTGCTTGCATCACCATACCAGGCATCATTGCAGATGGGGATGATGCTGATGGCATCATTGGTCCTTGCATCATTCCGGGTGCTGGTTCAGGAGCTGGACTCATATTTCCAGGCATTGTTCCGGGGAAAGCTCCAGGTGCTGTCATCATTGTTCCTGGAATCGCACCAGGAGATGAAGGTCCTGACATCATGGCGCCGGGAATCATTCCCGATGCTGGCTCAGGTGCTGGTGCAATACCACCAGGCATCATTCCAGAGGGAGCCCCAGGTGCTTGCATCATTGTTCCTGACATAGCACCAGAGGACGGTGCTTGCATCATGGCATTTGGCATCATTCCTTGTGCTGGGGCTGGGACCATTGATCCTGGCATCATTCCTGGCATAGCTCCTGGTGTCATCATTGGCATGGCTCCAGGTTGAGATGGTTCAGGGGCTGGGATCATTGATTCTGGCATAGTTCCCGGCATAGCTCCTGGTGTCATCATGGGCATGGCTCCAGGTTGTGATGGTTCAGGGGCTGGGATCATTGATCCTGGCATAGTTCCCGGCATAGCTCCTGGTGTCATGGGCATAGCTCCTGGTATCATGGGCATAGCTCCTGGTATCATGGGCATAGCTCCTGGTATCATGGGCATAGCTCCCGGATGTGATGGTTCGGGGGCTGGTATCATCGAACCTGGCATCATTGTGCCAGAAGCACCGTTATTTCCTGGCATCATTGATCCAGCACTACCCATCATGCCAATGGGCATATTTCCTAATGGCATCATGTTTCCACCTGGCATTCTATTACCTGCAGCGCCATTCCCCGACATACCACTACCAGGCATTGCGCCAGGCATCTGGTTTCTGCCCCGTCCTGTAAAAATACATAGACCTCTACTTTATCAGTATTTATTTAATTTCCTCAAATGATCATCTATATTGCTATAAATACGTTAAAATGTTCATATGCTACTGATGATCAGTTATACTAAATTAAACAATAATCAAATCTTTTGTTATGTAAAATGAATTTATGTCTTATTTTAAGAATCCTTGATTCTATCTTTGAGGAATCTTTAATAGAGTACTAACCATATGCAGCCACCTGGGCACCTGTTATTGCTAGAATTGCTATTAAACACACGGGATAGGACGTCATCTGAAAAAAAAATGATTTTAAAAAATGTCAAAACATAATTTCACTCCATAGAATCGAGAAAAATGTGAGAAAAATGTATTAAAAAAAAAAAAAAAAAAAAAAAAGTAAGAAATTAAAAAACAAATATTCTTTTAAAGGCATAAATGAATAATGGAAATTTAATCTAAAGGAATTGCATACTTGTTTTTCCAAAAATATGCCGAAAAGAAATTATTTTACAATTGAATACTTCATAGCTTATATTCTGAATACAAGAATTCTGATTCTGAGTTCAAGATAAATACAGACTATTTCTTCCCGAAAAATGAACGGTTCGTCATCTAAGTACAGAATTGTGGAAAGAAAAAAATAATTAAATTTCTAAGTCATTCTTAATTGCATTAAAAAGATTGACGGGCTTAGATTTTCAGAGAAAATTTGAAGCACAACAATCATTTCCTTAAAAATGAGTCCTCATGATTCTGTCTTAGAGGGCCATTTTATACAGCCTGTATGTAGTTGAACTCTTTTAAATGAGGATTAGAATTTACAGAAATCAACTTAGAATATGATAACAAAGGGAACACATTTTTAAAATTTTTTCCATGTACCTTTTTAATAAATGTATTCTTTTTTGGCATTGTTTGTTTCTCGCAGATTGACTGTACACTAGCTTTATCTTACCTTTATTTTTGGTAGTGGTCTAATGCTATCGTTTTCACAAGAAGACGCTAGTCTTTACCTGAATTTTGTTTTTATAGCTCTTATCTGATATTTCCGCAAGATCTTGCAGCGACACTAAGGCTTGGACACTAATTTACAACTTCCAACATACACTGCAACACGGAGTCTTAAAAATCTTACACAAGATGGCGATAAAACGGGGAGGCTTACATATGTTATGTAGTAAAGAAATCACGAAGATCTGGTACAAATGGGGTCTCTTATTGGGCCAAGATGAAAAGACTAGAAACGGTCGCCATGCCTGTAGAACACGGCGTCCTTACAACTGGTAAATAAAATTATACAACAAACATAAACTTGATGAGGTAATACAAGGTTTTAGGTTAACGACATTCAGGAGATAAAACAGGAATATTTCTTTTTTCAAAAAATATTACTCATCCTTCAAATCTTTTCTGTTGCATGGAAGCAATGCTTGTTTATCACGTATGCACGAGTATGAACACATGACTTGGGTACACAAAGTGCATACCATTCTTATTTGCAAAATTAAACATGCTGTTGCATTTGGCATTTTTGACAAAAACGTCGTAAATTTTGAAGAAGGATGGTGGTGACCTACAGTAAATCTTCAGCATAGCAAACCTTCCTCGGGAATGATTTAAGGTCTGATGACACGTTGCTCGAATTTCTGCTTTGTATCTCTTCGTAATATATAAAAAAAAATCATATTTATCATTATCTTGTGATTTTAAATTGTTTTCAGCTATTTTCAAAATGTCTAAGTAGATAGAGACACCAAAAAATTGTGATATTGGCAATTCATCAGATTTCTAATAGAGTTATGTAGGGAACACCATCCTCTGGTATCGTACACAAATGCCTGGTAGGGTACCTTAATTTTTTGTGGGGAAACCTGTTAAAGTAGGAGTACTTCAATAACAAATTCTTGGAAAAAAATATATGTTATTGAGGAAACTGTCATCTGACCTTAAGTATACAGTGTGGTAAACATTCCCCTAAAAATAAATGCGATATAGTTCACCTACCCCTAGAACGTTTAGCATATATGGTAAGCATTCTTTCAGAGGATGTTTCTCTGTATACGTATTGTAAACATTTTCACATAAATAGACCCCCCCCCCTCCCCCGAATTGATTCAATATCTGAAATTATCAAAATGCAATAATTGGTAGCTTAATGAAAACGACACTGTCATTTGAACAGGGTCTGTAATATGAAATGCTACAAATAGAGGCCTTTTAATGGGTACAAACAGATCAAGGTACAATGGTGAATGATTACGGTTCGGAATAAATACCATACAGTAAACCCTTGCATATAGTAAACCTTTCTGTATGGTAAATCCTACGGGAAATTATTTACTAAGCGAAGGTTTTCTATATGACACCGATAAATGCTACTGTTGATTATAATTTATATAGGAGGTCTATGTATAAACTGTCGACAATGGAGGTGGTTCCAGATCATTTTCCATATCAATATCAGGCGTATACTTTTGTGCAACGCCTGACGATTTACGTTACTGCAAATTGTGTTTAAATACATGTTTGTATTAGACTTACATTTGCAAGCCTTTTTTAAACCTTTAAAAAAGACATTTTCTAAGAAAGAACAGAAGATATACTAGAAAAAAAAATTGCTAACGCACCACCACAGAATATTAATATTTACTTTGCCAAAACTTGTTTTATTCTGTATTTGATGTATAAATATGTTACAATAGTTAGAAATGATACGTTTAAATGCCCAAATTGATAAGTGAATACACTATTCACAGAAGGGTAACCGTATCTTAGAAATGAATGCAAATTGCGCTAGCACATTTTGGAAAAATAAATTTCTATTTTCTTCTTTGAGCTTGTGTTATTTTTGTTTGCATCTATCAGATACTTGGGAAGAAATTGATACCGCATGCGGCGTTTGGCCATAGAAGAACGGGGTAGTGCAGTCAGAATGGTGTCTGCAGGGTGTTCCTCAAAGAGAGGTTTGTAAAAAAAAAATTAAAACAATTAAAAGTATTTTGATTCTTTTGGTTAAAAAATGCTGCCATTAGATCAACAAATATAAAAATGTTTTCTTTAAATGGTCAGAACATTCAATAGACATCAAACGACTATTGTACCGCATTTGTGGCAACGAAATGTAATGGACCAGGTGCGGATGCCAAAGCACTAGATGACTACTAGGCAATCTGATAGACACATCGTTTTACACCATTTCAAAGACATAGACTCCACCCTGTTGCAACCTCACTAAGCACCACCGGTAAGTCCGTAACCACCAACTTCATATCAGTTTACAAATGATGTGCAATCAGCTTCCAGAAATTGGTTTGCGGACAAGAAGGCCACTCGAGGGTCTGTTTTGACTCCAAGGCAACTGCAAATTCGGCTGCATTGGGTAAAATGGCATATTACTAGTACATTTACTTGTGACGATTAGATAAATTTTCTGTTCACAGATGTGTATATTGAGTGGTGCGTCAGCAATTTTGTCTAGTGTATCTATCCTAAAAGTGCTAACTGTGTCAAGATCTGTTTCGATGTGCCCACGTCAAACATCAAATGATCTGACCTGCTGAAAATATAACATGTCAAAGTCAAAACATACATTTTGTCAGGTTTGATGTGTAAAACATCCAACATAATGATCACCCGACGGATTGGCCACCGGAAAACGGCTCAATAGACCACCTATTTAAATCGTTATCGGTTCGAAATCCTGCAGTGGTTTGCCTCTCATTTCTTCGGATTTCTTTGTGGCCCGACTCTCCATCTTCTTTGCTCAGGGTAGGTAGAACTTAAGAAATAAATTAACTTTTTTAACAAAATTTTTAAAAAAGCTTTTAGGGATCCATGCAAACTGAATGCTTTTTGAAAGGGAGTAGTGTTGAAATATATCATTGCATGAAAAAGACCTTATAAAATCTTTTATGTATTTTTTCAAATATCGATAATTTTTTTTTTCTTTTTTCAGATGTTTTTCTCTCTTGTTGCCGTGTCTTGCGTTATAACTTTGGCTAATGCAGTAGCTTACGGTCCAGGTAAAGGAGTACCTTACACTTTTAGTTAAAAATACAATCTTCTTAGAATTTATAGACAAAAAGGCTAGAAAAAAAACAACAACACGTGCTTCTTAATGCACCAACTTTAATCACCACACTTTTGATTCGTCATAGAAAAGAATAAATCAAGTACAAGTTACACTAATCTTTTATTTTACATGTATCAATTGGTGTTCATTTTTATTGTATTTTAAGGGTACTTATAAAATATAACAAAATAGGAATACTTTTAAAAAAGATTTGTTAGGTATATTAAACCCCTGAAAAAAATAATTGACGGTGTGTTACAGAATGGATTAAACGCCATCACTGTGAAATACGGAATCCGCTTTGACAGTAGTGTAGGTTGTACATACATGTGACTGAATTTTCTGTACAAGTACCTATAATTCATTCATTAAAGAGTCTTTAAAAAAAACAACAACATAATTTCAGTTACAGCGACAGAATTTTACATATCAATTCTCATAAAATTATTTATATTAGCTTAGGAAATGACAAGAGCTTAAAAAGAAGCCATAACGAATGCTTATTATTTTTCTAGGAGGTATGGGAATGAACGGCGGCATGGGAGGAGGAATGATGAACGGCGGCATGGGAGGAGGCATGAACGGCGGCATGGGAGGAGGCATGAACGGCGGCATGGGAGGAGGAATGAACGGCGGCATGGGAGGAGGAATGAACAAAATGATGATGATGATGCCAGCAAATGGAGGAATGGGTTCTATGATGATGCCAGCTATGGGCAGTATGATGAACGGAGGAATGGGAGGCAACATGGGCAAAAGTAATATGATGATGCCCATGGAAATGATGAATATGATGAAAGGTGCAATGGGGGGAAATATGGGTGGAATGAACGGTATGATGATGCCAGCTAACATGGGCGGTATGGTGGCTGCCGGAAATATGGGCAGCATGGGAGGTATGGGCGGTATGAAATGTGAGTACTAGAATATATTTTTTTCCAAAATACCGAAAATTCTAACAAAAACTTTTATACGAAGATTAAATCGCAAAGTATAATGATGCAAAACAAAAGACATTTTGTTTTAACTACCATGTTTCTTAATGGACTTTTGATTTTATTTCAGCTGGCTATGCTGGATAAGAGATTCATTGTAGATTTATTTCAACATATGTAAAAGACCCCGAGGAGTTTTCCCTGTTTTTGCCTTGCTACATCTGTATCACAAATAAATTAATGTCGCTTTATATCTTATTTCATTTTCAAAGAGAGGAATTTGTTTTTATATATTTCTCTGCAATCGGAAAGAATTTTGACATGGTTGTCTGTCTGTCAGTTCGTTTGTCTGTTTGTGTGTCCATCAATAAATCGTGTTTGACTGTTAGATCAATGAGGTAGTGAAATCATGTACAGGCCATTACTTTGGGCCCCATGATAGAAAAGAATTAAAAGCTTGAGTATGTTACAGTTAATGATTATGAAGTGTGACTTGACTTTCACTCAAAGAAAAATCTCTATAGAGTTAAGGTCAATATCTTGAAATCAAAGTCAATCAAAAAAGGAAATTGGTATACCTTTGGAAGGAGGAATATCTTATCTATGTCAGAAAATCTAGTAAAGTTAAGATTATCATATGAATTTTCTATTCTGTGGTTTGAACTTAAAAAATAAGAAAAACGTATTAGCGATAGCCGCATGACGTTTAGAATTCTTAATATTTACCACTTGATACCATTTTACAGAATAAATAAACAGTTGAGTATCATACAAGTGTACACGATTCTCTAAAACGGAAAGGATAGATCGAAAGGAGAAAATAGGATTAATTTGCAAATAGTAAGAAGAGATTTTACATATGTCTCTGCAACCGGGAATAATTTTGACATGATTTTCTGTCGATGGATTCGTTTGTTTGTGTGTCCATCACAAAATCGTGTTTGACCATGTTCAGTAACAATGAGGTAGTGAAATTATGTACAGCTCATTACTTTCCGTTTTAGAGAATCATGTAAACCTGTATGTTTTGGCATGTGAATAAATTAATAAATTTTATTTGAAGAGATATTTTCTTATTGTTTGCTTAAGATAAAGTTCTAGATAATAATACATGTAAAACCAGTACCTCTTACTATTTCTTGTAGGAGTGTACACAAAAATTACATCTCTCTAAAAGCTGATTTCATTTTCTCTTAGAAATTATGCAATCTGGAATATAAATCAAGGCCGTTGCTACCATTAAGGCAAATGAGACAAATACCTTAGTAAATTCTTTTGAGTTCTTTGGAAAGCGAAAAAGTTTTACTTTAATCTTTAATTAATTATGTGTGTCTTTATTCTTATCAATACTTTCAACTTGAACTTCGATTTCTGTAAACCGATTATCCCACCAAGCGCTTGATTATAGCTTAGAACGGAAAAATAATTCAAAATGTGAAAACTTTCGAAGATTGTATTTAATTTACTAAAACCTAGGTTTCGGGAACTTCCCCTCTTCCCCCGGGAACCCCTATCAGGACAGTACCTGGACCAACTTGAGACTCAGAGCCCCCAGATCCCTTATCTAAATAAAAAGTTCAGCCTAGTTACGGTCTTATAAATGACTTATAATCGATTACATACCTTTAGCAGACGTTACAGATCTACCACTGAGTGAGACCTTAAAAACCGAGGTTCCTTGTTACGGTAGACCTTGGCACAATAAAGATCCCTCGCTGCTCAGTGGCTTTGGGTGCCGAGTAAAGGTTTTTTGAAGTCTTTAGAAATTGGATGCCCTTTACCGGTATATGGTGACGTCTTTATTCTCGAATGGGACGCAGAACAACATACAGTCAATCAATCTACCACTGAGTTGTCACGGAGTAACATCAACTCTTAAACTTCATACATATCTAAATATTTAAACCATCAGTGAATAATTTTATTTAAATAAGAATAAAGCAATAATAAAGCAGTAAGTAACACAAGTTATTTCCATGTATTTCAAAAGGTTGATCTTTCACAGGTTAAAATCAAGACTTATTTGGTTGAAATTTTCAAAAAAAATGTATACCCCTTTGGAATCAAACAACTGAGAACATTCACTGCAAAATTCATGACTGCACTCTGGATAGTAATATAAATAGTAATATAAACTCTGTAAAAACATAATTTTATTCGAACCCTCTACCTTTCCAGAGAAAAAGTTTGTTCTTTCATATGTTGGTTCCTCTACCTGTGAAAAAAACTTCCGACAAATATACTGAGGATTTTTTAGTCATTATAGTCGTGATAGCCATCACACATCATACAAAATTAAGTAATTAACTTTTATTGAGTCTCAAGTTGGAAAAAAATATCACCTGGCATTAACATTTTAACTACGTAACAGATTTGCATTGATAAGTAGATAACACCTTTTGTTTTACAGATCTGTCAATGTTTTTCTGCTTTGCCGAAAGCAATTGTCCAAGGGATCTTTGGTTGTCATCAAATTTTATATAGTTTTGCCAAAAGCTGTTGACCCCTCTTGGTTTTAAGGTCTGCTGTCTACAGATTTGCATTTTCATCGAGCTCAAATGTTAAAATTAAAATTTATATCTTGGAAACCTATTGGTCGACGTACAATGTATCAAGCGTCATACATGTTCTCGTTTTGTTTGTTTGTTGTTTAACGTCCCTCTCGAGAATTTTTCACTCATATGGAGACGCCTACACTTGCCGGTGGAGAGCTGCAAATTTTGACCTATACTCGCCACTCAGGGCCATTGAGCAGTGAGGGATCTTTTTCTTGCCAGCACCTACTGCGACACGGGACCTCGGTTTATACGATCTCATTCGAAGGGCCGGTCTCCACATCCCACAGTGGGATTCGTACCCTCGACGTAAGGATCAACTCCTTACTCGGGCGACATGTACTCGTAGTTTGTCTATGGATTTATGATAAGTGAAAAAGAAAAAAAAATGACCAAAGTGCATATACCTTTGGAGATCTTTCCTTATTTTACATTGTATATAACAAAAGAGGCATCATAACATTCTTTGACAAAGAGACTCTTATTACTATACTTTACTCTAATTTACCCCCTAAAGGTACATTGCTACTATTATTGTTATTGAGAAGTTTAAAAATTAAAAATTATTGACTGTGTAGCACCTGAGACCAATGTCTCTGAATCCTAGGCAAAGCTGTGTCAATTAGATTATGATAGTCCATACGGAAATACCGTTTGAACGTTTCCCTAAAATGAGCAACATCTAACCAGGTTACAGGCACCTAGTATCAAAGAGGGAGGTGTGATCCGTCCCCCCCCCCCCCCCCAAGAATTTTGCTATTAACAAAGTATGGAAATTTTCTTTTAAAGACCAAAAATTTCCAAAGCAATTGATTTGTATATGTGTTCTGCGATTCTTTTGCTATACATTTTGCATTTCTTTCTTCACTGGAGAATGATGACAATTTAGATTTAATGAAATATATGGAGATAACGAACAGTATTCAAGCTCAAATGTCCATTAAACAATACAAATCAGGAGCAGAGCAAACACGGACCTCTAAAATGTCAGAGGTGGGATCGGGTGCCATGGAGAATTTCAACAAACAAAATAGAGGGAACTTTAAAAATTAACGTCACAGAGTTTGAATAGACGAATGTTAACCTTTACATCAACACGTCTCTGAAAGGACTTATGAATATATGTAAAACTACAAATAAGGAAAACAACACGTGAGCTCAAATAAAGTCTTTAATTATAACAAAAAAAAACCGCTGGGCAAACAATGCATTGTTCTCTTTAGAGAGAGCCTTCTGAACGGTACAATAAAAGTACTACAAGTCTACAAGCCTAACACCAGCAAGGATTTTGTCTTTTTCGGGCCACTTCTCAATGTTTGCAGTTATCATTATTATTATTTTATGATGTCTATATTTTCCCTACTTGTGGTCATTTTTAGTTCAACTTCCTTTTTTTTCATTTTTTTCGTGAGAATTTTCCTTCGATTAAAGAAACGAAATGCATAAATTTTCTGACATCGTATAACCAGTTTGACATTTAGTGTTCCAACTTCCATTTGAACATTGAAAAGTACTTGTTATTTCACAAAGTTTGTGAATATTTCAAAACTGTCCATTTAATTTGTGAAGTTCATAAAAACTTATTTTCTACAAATTTTGATCCAAGTTTGTTTAAAATTCTTTTCTGAAATTTTCGGAGATTGAAAGTTGTTCAAGCTTTATGCACTGTGTCTTACTCATTAAGTTTTCATAGGTATCCTAAGAAAATCTGTGTTGTTTTACAAAATCCAACCAAAATATAATACTTATATTCAATAGATACAGATGAAATTTTTTCTATGTATTATTTACACACTTGTTTAAAAAAAGAAGAAGAAACACAAAACAAACAAAACAAAATCAGATTGATTTTATACTTAGTATTTAGTAGAATCATATTTTGTTTGATATATCAAATCATAGGACTTTAATGAGATGCGTTTTAATTGAATTGGGAGATATGGGGGCGATTTAATAAGACAAAAAGTTTTTTCTGAAAGTTGCATAGACGATAACAAGTAAATGCTGATTTTGCAATCTTAATGAATTTTCTTTCATATTTGATTTGCTTAAAAATGTTATTACAAACGATTAAAAGTGCTAGAAAGTGGTGCATGTGACGTGTATTGAAATTCAAAGAGAGAGGCGTATAAGGTCTTGTTGGAGAGTTATAAAACAATGTTAAGGTGTGCCTTTACACGACCCACGCTATGCATCAAAACATTTTTTTGGTCCTAAAAATAAAATGTGGAAGTCAAAACATACATTATATCATGTTTGACATCTAATACATTGACCATAATAATCATCTGACAATTTAATACCGCAGGAAAAAGAAATCAATCAAAGAAATCCTTGCAGTACATCTTCTTTCATTTATTCGGATTTATTGGTTCTTTAACAGTTCATTTCTCTTGTTTAGGGTGCGTGGAATTTCCGTTATATTCATGATATTCATTCAGATGGCTATTTTTCATGGAAATCTAAGTACATGCAGGAAACAAAAATTAAATATGCATCCAACATAAGTAAAAGTTTGTTTAGTTTATCAAAACTGTATTACAATTTTATACAGATATGAGGGTGAAACGTCCTACACTCTCTTCTGAGATTTGCAATAACCCTACCCACTCTACGCACCCCTTGTTGTTCCTTGGTGAAAGAATCTGATACTAATATATATTCTAGTGTAAGTTCACACAAGCATGACAGAAGAAATGATAAACAAGCATAAATACACAGACTTACCAGTGTTCATTGTTTCTATAGTCTGTGAATCCCCTGTAGAAAGGAACATCATTTTCAAGCATGTTTTCTTGATACAATTCTTAATCTATTCCAATAATATTTCTTTCATGTAATAATACATCCAAGAAATTTGTTTGAACTTACCCTATTTTTTATCACAGTAGGGCCAATAAAATATAAATACTCTTTTTTCATTTACAAACAAGCCTTTGTATCTTTGTTCCACCTACTGACAAAGAAATATTAATTCGACAATATATAATTCTTTTAATTCAATTCTAAAATTCATTAATTTTATACACTCAATGCAATTTTACGATGATTTTAATACATATGCCTGAATTTGCGCAAAGCAAAGAGAAAACTTTTGAAACAATTTACAGATATTATAAAAACTATGCAAATTCATCGTTCAAATTTCCAAATTTTTTTTTGCTCAAGTTGTTTGTTTCTAATTCTTTTTTGTTATGTTTTATTTTTTTGAATTAGCGACAAATTTTTGCCACTGCTGCACTCTGCTCTGTCTGTCTGGTATCATAGGGAAAAAAAAATCATATATTGTAATGACAGTATTTTAACAACATAAAAACTTATGACTTTTCAACTTTATATACAACTATTCCCCACGATAAATTAAAGTCCAGACTTTCCGACATCGTTGACAGCTGCTTTTTCAATAAGAATGGAACTCGTAAATTTACTTACCTTGTCATTAGTCATTTGCAAAATTACTTTGTTAAAAAGCAATCTGTTTGTACACACAAGTACTCTGAAGTTGACATTAAAAAGATGCTCGAGTCTCTGATTGACAATATCTATGTGGTTTTTTGGAGACCAGGTCTTCCAACAATCTATTGGAATTCCCATGGGTACCAATTGCTCCCCGTTATTAGCAGACTTATTTTTTGTATTCATATGAAGCAGAATTTGTTAAAATATCTTTTACGTGAAAAGAAGAAAACACTTGCTGTGGCCTTCAACTCGGCATTTAGATATATCGACGACGTATTGTCAATTAACAATGGTTATTTCCATTCTTATGTCGACACGATATATCCCGGTGAGCTTGAGATAAAAGATACTACAGAGTCTGACACATCTGTTTCATATTTGGATATTTTATTAGAAATAGACGTTAAAGGTAATCTAACAACAAAGCTTTATGATAAACGTGATGACTTTAACTTTTCAATAGTCAACTTCCCTTACCTATGCAGCAATATACCCTTATCACCTGTATACGGGGTTTATATCTCTCAGTTGATTCTATACACAAGAGCATGCTCTACGTATGAACAATTTCTAAAACGAGATAAATTATTGACAAACAAGTTGATGAAACAAGAATATCAGCAGTCTCGTATAAAGTCATCATTTCGTAAGTTCTATGGTCGATACAATGACCTTGTCAGCAAATACAATCTATCATTAAGTCAAATGCTGACTGACTTTTTTCATACTAATTGTTAGGCCATTTTTTACACACTAAATTGTCGACGGATTTCCCCATTATTTCCCGATCATGACAAAGAGCATACCGTGGGAGTGACCGGTCGGCAGGGGATGCTCACTCCTCCATGGCACATGATCCCATGATGTCTTAGAGGTCCGAGTTTGCTCTGCTCCTATTTTGTAATGTTTGATGGACTTTTGAGCTCGAATACTGTTCGTTATCTCCACATGTTTCATTACCATTTTAAAAGTTATTTTTATTCGAGTGTTAACAATCTTCCTATTTTTCCAAAGAATGCTTTTATATAAGTTCTTGTAATGCATCTAACTCTCTCAGGAGGTATAAAAGAAATGAAAAGTATTATTGCATGAGAAAAAAGGGTGGAACATTGATAGAAAAATGGGTAAATGGATAAAACAGGTAATAACTGATAAAGTCAGCAGACATAGACTAGAAAGGAACAAAGTCAGAATATATGGTTCTATGAGGATGTCATCTTTTGGTGACATTATAAACGAAGGGATGGAAGGCAATATGGGCAAGGAAATGTGATGATGCCCATGGAAATGTTAAGTTTGATATAAGGTAAAAACATGAGGAAAATGAATGATCTTCATAAAGTGATATGATGGCGTTAGATTTACATGTATAAGAGATATGGGAAGCATAAAATATAAGCACTTACTTTTGTGGAGAATTTTTTTTACATATGTAATTCCTTCTGGCTTCTGTCTATTCTTCAGTCTTAGCCGCATTTGTTTAATACAAAACTCACTGCGCTGACCCAATTCATTATATACAACATAAAATGAAAATTCAAATATGACAAAATATATTAATGCACATCTTAAGACAAAGAGCAGAATGATTTGCTACTTCTTTGTCAGGTTTTTTTTCATGTTTTTCTTTCTTTATTCTTTTCCTTTGTGCAGAAATTTTAAATCGTATACTGAAACAGTTTAAGCAATTTGCAATTGCACTGAAATTCAGAAAGGTGATCAACCGAAAAATCATGAAGAACTATAAAATTATGTCAAGGTGTGCCAGACACGATTAATACAGTGCATCAAAACAATGAACTGTCCTAAAAATAAAACATCTAAGTCAAAACATACATTTTGTCAGGTTTGACTTGTTATACAACAAACATAATGATCACCCGACTAATTGGCCACCGGAAAAGGGATAAACCCTCTGCCTATTTAAACCGTTCTCGGTTCGAAATCTATGCAGTGCTTGGTCTCTCATTTCTCCGGGTTTTTTGTCCGACACTTCATTACCTTTGCTCAGGGTGAGTGGAACATTCAAGTATTTTTATTTGTTATTTTTTAAATTAATTCTTTTATAGCCATGTTTTAAAAATGGCATTCACCTTAGAAAACTACATATAGCTCTGATTTACAGTACTTGAAATTGATTTTAATACTTAGTATATACTAACTATTTTGGAGACCTTTGCCCTGAAAGATTTCATATAATTACACTAATGTGCAACTATTATTATTAATCGTATGGAGGACCTTCAAAATTTAAGTCTCGCGAAAAGATAAAATGCTAATAAAGCTTCACGAAATGCAATTAATTGATTACTCTATAGGGCAAATTTAAAGTTAAGTTCTGTTTTGAACAAACAATGTTTTGAAGCAAGAATCTCAAAAGTTTTACCAAAAAATACGTATTCTCAAATAAACATGTTATACATAATTCAAATATCAGTAGTCTAACATTTCTTTTTAGATGGTTTTCTCTCTCGTTGCCGTTTCTTGCCTTATTGCTGTGGCCAGCGCAGCAGGCTACGGGCCAGGTAATGAAATTTCACTTTGTTATACTTTCTTTGCATATTAATTTGGTTTTTTTTTTTCTTTCTTTTTTTTTAAAGACTTAAAGCAGCAACAAAAAATTATAATAAATAAATAAATAAATAAATCTTGCCACCACAACATAGCTAAACCCTTCTTTTCAGATGTTAAATATAGACACCAATTCATCTAAATAAAATATATTTTTTTATTAGGAGGAGGTATGGGAATGATGAATGGCGGTATGGGAGGAGGCATGATGAACGGCGGCATGGGTGGAGGAATGATGAACGGCGGCATGGGAGGAGGAATGATGAACGGCGGCATTGGAGGAGGAATGGGCAAAATGATGATGATGATGCCAGCAAATATGGGCATGGGAGGAGGCATGGGCTCCATGATGATGCCATCTTTGGGCGGCATGATGAATGGAGGAATGGGAGGCAGCATGGGCAAAGGTAGTATGATGATGATGCCAATGGGAATGATGAATATGATGAAAGGTGGAATGGGCGGAAATATGGGTGGAATGAACAGTATGATGATGCCAGCCAGCATGGGCGGTATGATGGGCTCTGGAGGTATGGGTGGCATGGGAAGCATGAAATGTAAGTCTTTTGTTTTTATTACCAACTTCAAGATTCATTTCTTATTTATCAAATGTCTATCACACTTTTATCCTTGAATGCATTAAAAAAAAATAATAGTTTTGAATGTTTCAGTAATCATATAATCTAATTTATTTTTTTTCCCTTCTATTACAGCCGCTTATTAGAAAAGAGATTCACTGCATTCATAATTCATCGTAAACAAAAGACCCCGAGGAGTTTTGCCTTTTTCTATGTTTTAATTAGTGAAAACTAGAAATAAATTAGTGACGCAATCAGTATATTGTTTTATTTGATTGAAGAAGACCAGTGGTTTGGAAAATATAACTTCTTTCAATTTCTTTGTATTATAATGTACTGGTCGAGGTAGCCTAGTGGTAGGGCGTCGCTTCGTGATCGGGAGGTACTGAGTTCGATTCTCATTACCAGCGCCGCGTCGAACCTAAGACGTTAACATTGGTAGTGAGACTGTCCCTTCACCAAGCACCGGCATTAGAAGTCACTGGTCTTTCAGATGAGACCTTAAAAACCGAGGTCATGGTAGACGTTGGCACTATAAGGAACCACTGCTCGATGACCCTGAGTGTTGAATAATGTCTAACTGAAGCCCTTCACCGGTATATGGTGACGTCTTTATATGAGTAAAAAATTCTTGCAAGGGATGTAAAAACATAGTTACATGTATAATTAATCATCTATTATAATGTATAAATCCCCATGACGTCTCAAACACGAAGTCAAAGGAAACTTTGAAGAAAAAATAGATTAATTCATTGAAATAAAATACTTATTTTCTCTTAGATGTGATATTTTCTATATCTTTGCATATTTTTGAAGATCTCGTTTTAATAAAATTATAGTTGATATGTTAAAATAATTTTCGCTTGAAAATTCCTATTATATTGTAACATAGGTCCTATAGCAAAATACCATTCATTACACATACTTGTAAGTAAATAAATCAAGAGACCTCGAGTGAAACCACATTACCCCCGTCTTGTTGCATTCAAACGACCAAATATACGCATCGCTTGAAACCTGTTTTAATTACACTAGTATCAAAATATCAGATTTTATTTCGTTTATGATGTACTGCTCGTGCGCTCGCTTTGTCAAATGAAAGTCGACTAAAGCCAGAATTATTATTTCTATAAACGATGTACATTGTAAACTCATTCTCACGCTTTGACTCTGTAATGAGCTAGGTTTTCGACTTTACAAAAATGCAAGTTTAACTCACTTTAAATAGGATTTTATTTAAAGAACAAAAGATTTTTACGATTCTATTGTTAAATGTATAAAAATTATAGACATTAAGTTTCATTGAATACATGAACATGATAATCAAAATTTTAAAAAAGTGTTCTCTTTACATAAATACCATAATATGAAGCAATGTATCTGCATGTAAAGAATATATCTGTGCATAATTCAACCCGAATAAGATAGAAAAATACAATTCTTATCAGTTATGCAAGAGAAGACACACCAGTCATCAAAACATTTGTTTTTATTTTACGAAAAGTAAGTATTACAAACTGACATTACTGATATCCTGCAAAAGTAGTCTGAAGATATTTTTAGAGTAAGTTTAGTTTCATGACGTCCGACAACGACACTGTCTCTCAATCTCCACTCTCTCTACCTCATACACTTATCTTGATGAGATTACCTAGAGTTAAGTATAAGGACTTAAGCCTGTCTTGTATGAACAGCTGCTTTCAATGCATATAATATTATAAATGACACTATACATAAGGAAAGATCCCCATTTGATTATGCCAGAATACTTAGCTCGCTGGAGTTCATTTTCTACCACATATGAACAACGTCACTTTTCGACATGACTGACTTTTGACACCCTGACTACAAATCGACATTTACTGTGCATCTTTCATCTCTCTGAATCTTTTTGGGTATTTAAAACAAGTACTCTGGGTGCATTTTATTTTTCTGTAGCCCGTTTAAACACTCCCTAGGTCTATAACAGTTTTTCCAGGTGCGAAACTTAATAGAGAATGTTGGAAAAAGAAACCCCTCCCCATTTTTGACGTCATTTTGAAACCCTTAATTGTTTGGAACTCCATGTAAAATTTACGATAAAATTTCATAGAACTTACGGAATTGGGTAAAAATTGCAAATTTTACGGAACAATTGTGTCGTACCACATGTCTGGATTGACAGGATTGCTCATATCAAAAGATTTTTTCTCAGTTACACTCAGGTAGAAAAAGCGTCATATTTGAGGTTGCGTTGCCTGGACATACCATTGCTTACAAAAACATTAACAATTTATTAAAAAATGAAACTTATGATTTATGGTTTACTCTATAGATAGAGATGATGCTAACTAAATGTGTTAAAATTCATTGATGTACCTAAAGCGGTTTTAATTTTATGGCGTTCGTCCATGAACTATTTGATAACCCCTCGTGGATGCAGTTTATGTCTATTCAAGTTAATTAGAATATTGTTGTCCGTAACTAAGTATCTATTTTTACAAAGAAGATGCAGTTTATGTTCATTCTTCAAGTTAATTAAAACAAACAAAAAATGATACGGAAAATTGCTTCACCTCTGGTTTCGTGGATAAAAATTAAAATTACTTATATTGCAAATTTGCAACCTCCAATTCTAATAAACCATGTGTGAGTACACTGGTCATAAAAAAAATTATAGATCTGAGTTTTGGTAAGGCTGAATTGGGTTTTATTCGATGCAAAAAAACCCTCTATTCATCCAGTACGTTTCGCGTTAAGTAACGTGTATCGATCATGTGTAACTATTCAATGTCATTTGATAAAAATTATTCGTAAAACTTTATCAAACGTCCTAATGTAAAGCATGATATCCCAATGTCATATCAAAACCATTAGAATATGCAAACATTGTACTTATATCTGCATTCACATAAAATTCTTTAGTAGTTTTAATGTTATGTGTTGCTTTAAAGAGAATTCTTAGTAAATCTGAAATCACAAAATTTTAACGTTCGACTTTTCATCACTTAATTCAACCATTCCCCACGATTAATTAAAGTCCAGGCTTTTTGACATCATAGACAGCTGCTTTATCAATAAAAATGGAACTCGTACATGTACTTTCCTTGTCAATGGTCATTTGCAAAAATATTTTGTTAAAAAGCATTCTCACTGTACACACAGGTACTCTGAAGTTAATTTTATAAAGATGCTTGAGTTTCTGATTGACAATATCTATGTAATTTTTGGAGAGCAGGTCTTTCAACAATCTGTTGGAATTCCCATGGGTACCAATTGCGCCCTCTTGTTAGCAGACCTATTTTTGTAGTTATATGAAGCAAAATTTATTCAAAAACCTTAACATGAGAAGAAGAAAACACTTACTGTGGCCTCTCGAAATTTACATATATCGTCGACGTATTATCCATTCATACGTCGACTCGATATATCCCAGTGAGCTTAAAATAAAAGATACCACAGAGTCTGACACATCTGTTTCATATTTGGATATTATACAAGAAAAAGACCTTAATGGTAACCTAACAACAAAGCTTTATGATAAATGTGATGACTTTAACTTTTCAATTGTCAACTTCCCTTACTTATGCAGCAATATACCCTTATCACCTGCATATGGGGTTTTCTCTCCCAGTTGATTCGATACGCAAGAGCATGCTTTACGTATGAACAATTTCTAAAAGAGGCAAGCTATTGACAAACAAGTTGATGAAACAACAATATCAACAGTCTCGTTTGAAGTCATCATTTTGCAAGTTTTATGGTCTATACAATGACTTTGTCAGCAAATACAATCTATCATTAAGTCAAATGTTGAATGGCGTTTTTTATACTAATTTTTAGGCCATTATTTACACACTACAGTGTCTACGGATTTTTCCTTTTCCCTCGATCATGACAAGGAGCACACAGCGGGTGTGACCGGTCGACAAAGCATGCTCACTCCTCCATGGCACCTGATCCCACCTCTGATGTTTTTAGAGGTCCGTTTTTGCTCTGCTCCCGCTTTGTATTGTCTAAATGAACTTTAAGCTTGAATACTGTTCGTTATCTCTATTTTTCATTTGAAAAATTTTATTTGTTAGAAAGGGATTCAAGCCATTAAGAGTAAACACAGATTTAGATGAAAGACAGTTTCTCTTGAGTCAAATTACTGATATTAAATAAAAATGAATATAGAAAAACAACCAAAATTATAATCATTTTCATCAATTGAAAACCTCCTTATGACATATCAGGCTATATACGAAGTGGTATCTTTACAAAATATACTTTATGTGAAATTAACTTTTTCGTAAAGATTTTCTATAGTAACTATTACTTTTACTTCAATAATACATTGAAGGGAAAAAATTATGACACTATTTGATTATTTTCTTTGATGTACATGTTTCTTTTTTGCAAAATATTATTTGTTGAAGAAACAAGTTCAAATTCTTTCATTGTAAACTGCAATAAGACATATGGTTACAACCGTGGATAAAATTTATCAATTTTGTGGTGATTTTACCTTCAATGACAATACATATCCTTTAACTGAATAAGAAAATTTGAACAACTGTCTTTGGTTGCTTATTGGAGTTAATGTACCTAAATTGTGTCAATTTTTCATACCGACAATTACGTCTAAATTATGCATTGCCAGAATATTACTAATAAATTAAAAAAAACTTTTTAAGTTAAGCCAATAAGTTAATCAATGAGTTTATTGCTTGTTTATTAGGGACTAAAGACAACAAACTATATAGAATTAGTAATTATGTCATGTATTATAATTGTGGCATTGATAGAACGTTCAGGAATGCGAAGAAATGGGTAAAAGTAATAGTTATATTCAAAATCCAAAATTAAAGTCATGCAAAAAGCATAATTTAAGAATTATATCTTAAGTTGATTGACTAGTTAAATTTCAAATGGATATATAAAAAAGACAAATCTGTTAATAGTCTATTTCTTGAAAAAAAAATTGTAAGAGAGAGAGAGTTATTTTTTCGTAATAAAAGGTTTTGTTCATGTTTTACAATATAATGCAGATGGAATGTTCGTATCAAAGTAATTAAAGTTGTAATTTTTCTTCAAAATTTATATAAGAAGCACTTGTTAGCAACACGATTTCAATGTACCCATTACACTTTTCTTTAGATCTCATGCTTGATTGGAAAATGCAGATTTGTTACACAATCAAATTAGAACTAAGCAATATAACATGCATTGACACGAAGAAACACAAATAAAATATCGTTTCAAACGATAATAAAATTATGTTAAGGTGTGTTGTGCAATGGCCCATACAAGAAATCAGAAGATTAACATGTCGTAAAAATAATATTTCAAAGTCGAACACACCTTGTGTCAAGTGTGACGTGAATTACATAAAACATAATGATCACTCGACAAATTCCCCACCGGAAAAAGACCCAATTATCTAACTATTTAAACCCATCTTGGTTCGAAGTCCCGGCAGTACTTCTCCTCTCAATTCTTCAATTTCTTCGCAGCCCTCGTTTCAAATCCTTTGCTCAAGGTAAGCGTATTTTCACTTGGTCTTCTTATTTCAGATACATGCATTTATATTTAAAAAAAAAAGATGGCTGACTTTTAATCAAAATTAAGTATGACTTTAGTGTTAATCATATTAAAGTTGAATACACATCAATTGAATATTGTTGTACAATGTATTGCTTAACTAATTCCAAGAGAATTACAAGAAACAACATGTAAAAATATGTGCCAAATACGCAAAAAGAGAATTTGCAATTTTAAAAAAATGGTATAGATTGCATGAACAAGTGAAAGTGAATAATCTTGTAATTATTTACTTTTATACAGTGTATTTTGAAGATCTTGTAATTTATTTACTTTTATATAGTTTGTTTTTATATAGTGTGTTTTAAAGATGTCGCATATTATTCCATATTTCAGATGTCTTTCTCTTTTGTAACCGTTCTTTCTCTAATCGTTGTGGCTAATGCAGCATACTACGGACCAGGTAATTAACAAATGAAAATTAAAGATAAAATTTAACTTTCATTTTCTCAACTACTTTTGTTTACTTTTCAAAACCTATTAATGAAAATGTTTAAACAAGGTAAGAAAAATAAATTTCAAATTTAATCCAAATAATTCGTTCATTTTTTCCATTCTTACAACATTTACATTAACAATATGAAATATGTGAAACAAATTATTTATTTGTAAACTTTTTTTGCTAACAAATACTTACTTTTAAAGGAGGAATGAGTAAAATGGGCGGTGGCATGGGCGGAGGTATGATGTCCAGTGGCATGGGCGGCGGCATGGGCAGAATGATGATGGGAATGGGCGGAGGAGGTATGGGCGGCATGGGAGGAATGAAGGGTATGATGATGCCCGGTAACATGGGCGGTATGATGGGCGGCGGAGGAATGGGCGGCATGGGAGGAATGGGCGGCATGGGAGGAATGGGCGGTATGAAATGTAAGTTCATTTGATTCACTACCACAACGATTTCACCACATTTCATTTAAATTTTTCCTTGTTCATGAAATATTTGCAATAAGCAAGATGTTTACTTTGATTTCATTTTCCCCCTTTTAATGTAAAATGTCTTAATCTCTGTATTCATAAAGCAAGTATGTCTAATACTAGTATTGATATATTTTTATTTTAAAGAATTTTAAAATATCATTTTACTTTTTATTTCCTTACAGCTGCCTATTATGGATAAGAATTCGCTGAAGGATTCTGTCTTCATAATCAAAGAAAGGATTTCCCCCATTGGTGATTTATGCTTCTCTATATCAGAAAATAAAAGAGATTCTATTTTATGCAGTTTTATTTATTTATATTTTGACAAAGTCTTCTTTGCATTAAAAGGATTATTCGAACTTGCGAAAGCAATGAAAAATGCTATATACAATAAACATCAGTGTAATGATCACATTTATGAACTATATACTAGTAGAAAGCATATTTTGCTCAAGGAAAAGGTTCATACTAATGGTTGTTTTTAATTAATTTTTTCTGAACAGTGAAAAAAAAAAGATTCTCTTGCACCCCAAACAATTCTTCACATCATTGTTTTTAGTGCTACATTCTCTATATGTTTTCTCTATAAGATGAGCTATTTTACTTCTAAAATGTGATGAACATTTAACTGCCCTATTCAATTTTATGTTTGCATTTCATTTAATTTTGATATCAAAGTCTCAAGTTAATCAAGTTGTATATTTAATGTTATTCCAAGACAATGTGATATACTGGTATACACTCAGGCAGATTTGTTCTTAAAATAATTGAAAATTATCTCTATGAAAGTTTACTAAAAATTACATTAAAACGGATATCTATTTTCTAAATGAATATAAACTCAATCAAGACCTAATCAGTGTACTGGAGTCTAGGGCAATGTTCTTTTCAGTTACAAAAAGGGCACATTACCTGGGGTTTCCAAATTTTTTGAGTACATAAGAATATATAGGAAAACTTCATATAAACTTTTCAAGAACAGGGATAATTTTTTCAAATCAATATGGAAGCATCATTTGAAAGCGAATTATTGAATTCGTTAACTTATCATGAAAGGTAGATTTAATTTACTCAACCTTTCACCCGGAAAGTCAGGTGCATCCATAGAATGATTTGAAAATAATAGGAGCAACCAAAGATATCTCCCTTAAGTAATACCTAAAGAAAAGTACACCCTGAATAGAATCTTAAAGGGGTCATTTTACGGGTGTTATTTTTCTTCAGTATGCTGTACAGATTTTAAGTGTGATGCTTCTTTTTCTACGGACCGTCACGGTAGCTCAGTCGGTAGAGCGCTAGCTCCGTGATCGGAAGGTCGTGTGTTTGAATCACGGCCGCGACTGACCAAAGTCGATAAAAAATAGGTAGCAACTGTTCCTTCGCCAAGCGCTCGGCACTTTGAAGTGAAAGTTGCGGGTCCTTCGGATGAGACCTTAAAAACCGAGGCCCCGTGTCACGGTAGGCGTTTGCACGATAAAGAACCCTCACTGCTCAATGACCCTGAGTGCCGAGTAAAGGTCTAAATTTGAAGCCCTTCACCGGGATATGGTGACGTTTCTATATGAGTGAAAAATTCTCGAACAGGAGTAAAACAACATACAATTAATCAATCAATCAATCTTTTTCTACATACCCGGGTCAGTTTTTATTGTTATACTTTCTTGTTAATAGTCAAATTTGATTGGTTTAAAAACATTTGTTTGTATAAAGGTACTGTTACCCTAACACGTGCGTAAACCACGCACTCCGGGTAACATTTAATAGCAACGGTTTACAATGCATGACGACTGGTAACAGTATAAAAATTGTTAATTACGCAGAATGTCTGAGCGTACGTTTCACTGTGGCTTTTTTTCCTTTTAAATGCATGCTAAATACATTCAGTATAACAAAAAAATATTACATGTTTATTTAAGACGACATGTGAAATTGTTATCCCTTGAAAATTAAACCATTGCAACATCAAGCCTCGATCAGCAATTACAATTTCACATTCTAATGCAATTGTTTTGAAAAACACTTTTTGATTGGGTGATACACTAACGTTTGAGGCAGTAAAACAAGCATTAACGAGAATGAAATCTTTTCATTGTGACGTCATAGTAGAGCGACGCAAAAACACAATGCTCCATGACGTATTCTATATAACAAATCTCAACAAAATAAGACATGGGCGTCAAACAAAATGCATATATTGCATTAGAATGGTAATAACTATCTTCTAATTTGGTATTTGCGACCGTTAATGCTGATTTAACGGTCGCATCGCAAACATCCGTTTTACCGGCTCCGCTTACGCGTCGCCGGTAAAACTCAGTTTGCGACCGTTAAATTAGCATTAACGGTCACAAATACCAAATTAGAAGATAGTTATTCCCTAAACATACCCTAAAAACATGTAAAATTTAATAATGTAGAATAATGACCAGGGGTCGTTTATTGACATCGAATATTCGACTAAGGTCATTATTTGTCTTTGAACCAGCGTATGTCGCGTACCAACTTTGCAATCCAAGGGTTTCTGATCCGAACTCAATATCTTCACAAGCTAAGGTTCTTTTTTACAACAGGGTCGCGAAGATGTTCGAAAACTGGTTTTGGCAAACATTGGGCCTTGCACTGCAGAGTACATTTTTTTTTTAATTTTCTTTATTATTATTATTATTATTATTATTATTATTATTATTATTATTATTATTTCTTAAATATTTATTTTTTGTCTTTAATTTTTTAATTGATTTATTTTTTCTGCTGATAGAATTCTCATTCTGTTTTAACAAGTTCAGGACTTTTTTTATTTAAGTTTTTGCAGGAAATAAATTAATAAGGGCCTCTGTCTTCTCTCCAATTCTACTTATAATTCTGTTGTGTTTGCACGTGATTTCATTACATAAAAATTGTTTTGATTCTTTCAGTTGTTCAAAAACTTCGTGTACACTGTATAATTTATGAATAGTCTTAAAATATGATACATCGAAATATTCCGGCCAAAACCAAAAATATCACCCTCTATAGATAACATATCATATAATTTTTTCGATTAAAAAAGATCGAAGATTGTTGTAACTTTGGAAACAGAAATTCCATCCAATATTCTCTATGCTGCAGTAAGGCTTGGAGGATAAATTTCTTTCTTAAACTTAATTATGATGGAAATAAAAACTAATTTGTATCACTCTTATGACTGTATATGCAATTTGTCTCTCCTGTAATGGTAAAAGTAAGACAGCGTCCACATTTTTTTTAAATTGCATCTTGAACACAGGATGAATATGCATTTTTTGCTTCTGTAGACCACATGTTCGTGTTTCACACAAACCACTCAAATAAACCGCCTGGCTGCGATTTAGAGTATCTCTTCCCCACAGATATGGTAATTCCCAGCCCCCAAAGAAAGGACAGTTATCAATAAGTGTTTTCAAGACCTTGCTTATACTTGCACTCTGTTATGATGAAATATGAAGATAACGAACAGTAATCAAGCTGAAAAATCATTGGAACAATACAACTGGGAGCAGAGCAAATACAGACCTCTAAAAAAGTCAAAGGTTGGGTCAGGTTTCATGGGGGAGTAAGCATCCCCTGTCGACCGGTTTCATCCGCCGTGTGCTCCTTATCATGATCGGGAAAACGGAAAAATGGCCTAACAATTTGTGTGAAAAAGGTCAGTCAACATTTGACTTAACGATATGCTGTATTTGCTAAAAAAAAAAAAAAAAAAAAAAAAAAAAAAAAAAGCCATTGTATCGACCATAGAATTTGCAAAATGTTGACTTTAAAAGAGACTGTTGATATCCTAGTATAATCAACTTATTTGTCGATAGCTTGCCTCGTTTTAGAAAATGTTCATATGTAGAACACTTTCTTGCGTATCAAATCAACTGGGATACATAAACTCCATAGGTAGGTAATAATGGTATATTGCTACATAGATAATAAAAGTTGAAGTCATCATGTTTATCATGAAGTTTTGTTGTTTTTTTTGCCATCAATATCTTTCTCTAATAAAATATCCAAATATGAAACAGATGTGTCGGACTCCTCGGTGTCTTTAATTTTGAGTTCAATGGGATATATCGAATCAACGTGGAAATGAATATGAATACTCATGTCGAATTGAAGGCCACAGCAAGATACTTCTTTTCGTATAGGAATTTTTAATAAATTCTGCTTAACAAGAGTACAAAATAGGGTCTGCTAGTAACGGAGCGCAATTAGTACCCACAGGTATTCCAACAGATTGTTTTAAGACTTGATCTTCAAAAACTACATAACATATTGTCAATCAGAAACCGAGGCACCTTTTTAATATCAACTTCGGAGTACTTGTTTGTAGTATCAGAATGTTGAATTTTTAACAAAATAATTTGGCAGATGACTAATAACAAAGTATGCTTATTTACGATTTCCATTTTTGTTGAAAAAGCAGTTGTCTTTGATGTCAAAAAGCCTGGACTTTAATTTATTGTAGGGAATGGTTATATTAAAAAAAGTTAAAAAGTCGTATGTTTTGATATTATTGATTTTGGTAAAATTTTGTGATTCAATTTTTCCAAAAGTTCCTTGGAGTTTTTTTAGTTTCTACATCCGATTAACACCACTTCTTAAATATGTTGTTGTACAGTACTCCTGAAGTTTCTCCTTCACTACTGTTAATATTTTGTCGAGGAGTAAAGAAAGATGTATGTTAGAACATTTACTAGAACCCGCTATGTATCTTTATTTCTAAAGATTTTTACGTAGTTTAGGAATCCTTTATAAGTAAGGTTATTCAAATTCAATTTGATTGTTGGGAATATTAAAAATATTTAAAACTGACATATCATTTTGAAGTATATCCTCCCTAGAAAGGAAATTATTAGTATACTTTGGATTACCACTTGCAAAATTAAATCCAAGTTCCTCTAAAATACAATTATAATAATAAGCCATGCAAACAAAGACAATGCTATTACCTGCTTTGTCAGCTGAGATCAGTACATATTGATCGTGTGGTGTATCTAATTCCTTTTTCACTTCTGAATTATTGAAGACAGAAGGATAGATGGTTTTCATATCAATCTGATACTTTTAATCCATTCTGACAAAGTATCAAAGTCATCTTTTTCATATTTGGCCTATCGCCTGGAGTAATTTTCGACAGAATTCATAATATTTGAAATTTGACGCCAGTTTAAAGATTGGGGTTCCCAAACTTTTGGTCCTTTTAAAAAGGTGATTTAAGGTCCTCATTATTTACTATTTTCAAGTCACCAGTAATGACGTGTCCAGAAGGACTATAGTTGTAGGGAGAAGAACATGAACACATAGGAGGATTATGTTTCATGTGTTCGATATCTAGGCATTGTAGAAGTTATTCTTATTTATTTATTATTTTTTCAATTTATGTATTTTTATTTATTTATTTTATTTTATTTTTTTTTGGGGGGGGGGTAAATGAAAAATTTAGAAGCAATATTCATTGAATATTTATAGGAAATACAAGGTGTGGACTTCAACTTGAAATATGGTAGAATACAAAACTCTATCCTTTTGTGATTAAGAATATTACTACTATTTACTGCATCAGTTCCTTGTTGGCAAATTTAAGTCCAAGGCACGAAAGGCTTCTCGAGCAGTATTCCCTTCCGTAAAATGTGGCGATTTAAAAAGCTTGTGATTAGCAATATTCGAATATTTTTAATATTCCCAACAACCAACATGAATTTGAATTACCATATCTATATTGGATTCCAAAACTTCATAAAAATCCTTACAAATAAAGATACATAGCGGGCTCCAATAAATGTTCTACCAAGCCTCTTTCTTTACTCCTCACTAAAATATTAACAATAGTGAATTGGTGTAAATCAGATATGGATACTTAAAAATTCCAAGGAACTTTTGGACCAAAATCAACAACATGAAAATTTACGACTTTTCAACTTTATATACAACCATTCCCCACGATAAATTAAAGTCCAGGCTTTTTGATATCACTGACAGCTGCTTTTTCAATAGAAACGGAACTCGAAAATTTACTTACCTTGTCATTGGTCATTTGCAAAATTATTTTGCAAAATTCTGATTGTACACACAAGTACTCTGAAGTTGATGTTAAAAAGATGCTTGAGTTTCTGATTGACAATATCTATATGATTTTTGAAGACCAGGTCTTCCAACAATCTGTTGGAATTCCCATGGATACCAACTGCGCCTCGTTATTAGCAGACCTAATTTTTGTATTCATATGAAGCAGAATTTGTTTAAAATCTTATACGTGAAAAGAAGAAAACACTTGCTGTGGCCTTCAACTCGACATTTAGATATATCGACCACGTATTGTCAATTAACAATGGTTATTTAAATTCTTCTGTCGATAATACATATCCCAATGAGCCTGAAATAAAAGATCCCACAGAGTCTGATACATCTGTTCTATATTTCAATATTTTACTAGAAAAAAAACGTTAATGGTAATCTAACAACCAAGCTTTATGATAAACTTGATGAGTTTAACTTTAATCGTCAACTTCCCTTACTTATGCAGCAATATACCTTCATCACCTGCATACGGGGTTTATATCTCTCAGCTGATTCGATACGAAGAGCATCTCTACGTATGAACAATTTCTAAAGTGAGGTATGTTATTGACAAACAAGTTGATAAAACAAGAATATCAGCAGTCTCGTTTAAAGTCGTCATTTCGTAAGTTCTATGGTAGATAAAATGACCTTGTCAGCAAATACAATTTATCATGAAGTCAAATGTTGACTGACGTTTTTCATACTTATTGTAAGACCATTATGTACACACCGAATTGGCAACGGATATTTCCGTTATTTCCCGATCATGACAAAGAACACACGGCGGGTGTGACCGGTCGGCAGGGGATGCTCACTCCTCCATGGCACCTGATCCCACCGCTGATGTTTCAAAGGTCCGTGTTTGCACTGCTCCAAAATTTGTATTGTTTAAAGGACTTTTGAGCTTGAATACTGTTCGTTATCTCCATACATTTCATTCATAATCACGGATCGATCCCAGCCTGTGTTCTGATGCAGAAGAATCCAAATATGGACTTTAATCAGTGCTAGTGTGGATTTTGGAATGAGGAAAGCTATTAGTATAGCAAGAAGTTGAATAAACAAATCATTGCAATCGGGTGCGCTAACCTAGCAGATTATAATGTCCTTAAAATTATTTTACCACGTAAAAATACTTATAAATATGCGAAATACTGGGGTAAAATACATCACAAACATTAAGCCGATCAATGTAGGCTTTATGAAATAACAAGAACTTGAATGATAGCATAGGCATTTAGTTAATGAAAACTAAACGATGATTTTCTAAGTCATATATAACAGAATGTCGCTTAAAACAATGGATCACTAAAGCAGGTTTGGCTATATAAACCGTTTTAAATGATTTTGCTCATGTCCTTGGCGGTTGTGAATATTATTGATGATAGTGGAATATTTTATGCCATAATTCTCTAAAAGTATCTCGATAATTAGTTAAAATTTTGTTTACTTCAGAAAATAAACTATAAACAAGTTTTCAAAGTTACTAATAAATATAAATGATTTACACCTTTGACATAAGAGAATTTTCTTCAGTCAGATAATCTAGTTTAAATTATGTGCTATTTGTTCAAATGTGTATGAATTTAAAAATTTAATTTGAATCACTGTGTACATCAGATTAAAAATTTGCAAAATAAGCAAGAAACACATCTTTATTGTGAAAAGAGTTGTTCAGAAACTTCAAAGGTTATCCTCCTGAAACTTTTCAGAAATGCAATGACGCATACCTGAAAGTTCATCCGAATTTACATCATAAATAAAACATAGTAACATGTGTTTAGGATGTCTAATTTTAACAGTAAATACGTAAAAAAGGCTTTGTTTGTTCAAATACTGTGTGGGATCTAAAGGAACCACCGTGTACTCCTGTCAGGTTACCATGTCCAACAACAAAGTCATACACAAATTTTGTCCAATCAACACCTTTGCATCAGGAAATTTATTGTATTATTTAGCTATATAAACCCATATGGAATGCCATTCCCTACAGAGTTCCATTTCTCCTATTGGAATATTCAGTCTTCCGCTTCACCAAAGGTAAGTTGATAGAATTGTGCTTTTCTTTTGCAAATTGGGGAGTACCTACCTATGATACCGTTCTTCACTGTTTCTAAGGATTTCTCTCTGTTTCAGATGGCATCTCTCCTGTGCGCTCTTTCTGCTGTGTTGGCCGTATCTATGGTCAGTGCAAGAGGTTATGGTCCAGGTTGGTTTCTTTCGATGAACATTTCAATAAAATTAAGTGTCTTCTACGAAATAATACTTTACAGCATTGAATGGAGATAAGAGACTTTTTTTCTACTTTTCATCATTGTTTGAATTGTCCATTTTTCTCTATCTAACTGGAACATTTGCTTATTTATAGGTGGAATGGGCGGAATGATGTCGGGTGGAATAGGCGGTGGAATGATGTCAATGGGAGGCATAGGATCCATGGGCGGTAGTATGGGAGGCATTGGATCCATGATGCCAATTAGTAAAATGATGGGAAGCATGGGCGGTATTGGATCTATGGGAAGCATGGGTGGAATTGGATCTATGGGCGGAATTGGATCTATGGGTGGCATGGGTGGAATTGGATCAATGGGCAGCATGGGTGGAATCGGATCAATGGGAAGCATGGGTGGAATCGGATCTATGGGCGGAATAAGATACATGAAATCTATGGGCGGCATTGGATCCATGGGCGGTATTGGATCTATGGGTGGCATGGGATCCATGGGCGGTATTGGATTTATGGGCGGCATGGGATCAATGGGCGGCATGGGATCAATGGGCGGCATCGGATCCATGGGTGGCATCGGTTCCATGGGCGGTATCGGATCCATGGGTGGCATGGGAGGTAAGTTATCAGGATAAATAGTATTTGGTATTACTTTCATTCTCATATTCATAATTTGAATTTGTTTACAAGTTGATTTTCTTTAAAGATAAGGAAATCTCAATTAAATAGAAAACAAAATTATTTAAATTTGATTTGATAGTTTTGAAATAAATATGATTATTAATATTCTGTAAAAATTTTCATTACAGGCATGGGAATGAAATGTAAGTGTCATTGTTAATATATCTTTATGCATAATAATTATAATGTAATATAGTATAATATAATAAAATAATAATATAATATAAAATAATATAAAATAATATAATATAATATAATATAATATAATATAATATAATATAATATAATATAATATAATATAATATAATATAATATAATATAATATAATACAATGCTTTTTTCTTTGTTTAGCTGGATATTAATACTCTTCAACTCTCAGGGCCACCATAAACCGTTTTCATGTTTATTTTGCTTATATGTAATAAATATTTGCAGTATCAAAATGGATTTTATTTTATATATGAACAAACTGTGGCTTAAATTATCAGTTGATGGTGGACCATCGGAAAATTGAATACAAAAAAAAATAGGAAAAACCCTTAATATAATTTTACTCAGAACAAGTGCAACAAATTCATTCTGTACTTTTGTTAATTTAATCAAAGAGTCATAATAATTTTGACAAACAGCAAAACTACTCTAACTAATTGTGACAAATGTAAAATTCACGTTCAGCCCATATTTCATTAATAGAAATTAATTTTTTATATTTCACACAGATAGAGTATGTCATGACCTTAAAGGGAACTGATTTTGGCAATGATCATGTTGCAAACTTTGCAGTATTGAACAATCAACATGGATTTAAGAACAAGCAATACTTTGAATTCTAATTCTTACGTGTACCAGTTAAATTTCCAGAAGTATTGAGTTACTTTTAAGAGAGGATAACAGAAGTCGTTTGAAGAGGCCTTCTTCATTTATTCTGATTAATTGTTTTCCAAGTTTTCTCATTATGAGGAAATGTAAAAATGTACAGCTAGGTGGCGAAATTTGGGCGCTGTCTCAGAAAAAGCGATAAAGACCATTTGCGTTGAACACAAATAATATGAATCTGATGCAACCAAATAGTTAGTAACCTTCAATGAACAAAACTAATATCAGAGGAAACTTTTTCACATTATATGTTTTGAGATCCTGCATGCAAAATCACATCTGTCTTGTTAACAATTTTACATGGAGGACCACAATTCATTTTACTTTTGTCCTTTTTAAATAAAGTCTGAAGATTGTTTTATTACTAAATTGAAAAAAAAATCAATGATTTTATTGAACGACATATGGGTTAATCTTCTAAGAAATAATCTATACTGTAACAACATTACACAAAACAACCAATTTAAGAATTATGTATCTATACACATTTTAAAATACGTTCAACCCATTTTATGTACAGTTTAGAATTCTTAATGTTATGTTTAGTTTTGAATCATTCTTAAATAAACAAATTAATTGGTAATTGTAAAAATTGCAATACAACTCATTTACTTTTTGTTGGAATGTCAATCATTTGTAATTGTTACTCATACTATAAAGCAACAGTTCAAAAATAAATTCCATTTGGTGAATAGATAAGCAACAAACTAATAAATTATTTAAATACACTACTTGTGGTAAATTTTTAAAAAGAAAATGAAGAAAAAAAAATTCAATTACTGGCAAAGAAACCGATACAAATTCAAAGGGAAACTACTATGCATTATTTTAAACAGATCAAGAATATATAAACCAAATCACAAATCCCATAGTTCCAAGATTTAGGCAAAAATTCATTTAAAAAAACTTGGCATGCCTAATTTGCGTCACGGTTTTTCATAAATAAATCACATGGATTTAAAAACAAGCAATACTTTGCATGTTAAAAATTCTAAAATATATTTCAAGCACTCTTGTTTACACCATCAGGTTAATACTAGTAATAACAGTTGACAGAATGCAACAAAACCAACTAAACGAGACCTTACTCCTGTTAAAACTATGTCAAATAGACCCCCAAAAAAATTAATAACAAATTTTTAATTTGTATCAAATATCAGGCTTCACTGCTTCTGGATCTGAAAGTTATTTTAATCAGCAAAAGGTCTATTTTCTATGTGAAAAACATCGAACTGAAGCTCAAAAAGCTTATGAGGAATAAGAGAAGAAAATTATTCCATAAATCGACGTCGAGGTACAAAATTAAACATGTCCAACGCCAACTTCAAACTGAAAAGATAGTCAAGACGTACTATTGTATCTGATAATAGTGCATTTGATTAAGTATGTAAATTCAAAAGATGAACTAAACGTATGCTTTCTACGAATGGCTGATCCAAATAAAAAGTCATAACTGCTTTAAAATCTTTAATAATCGAAAACAAAATTTTACATACTAACACCTCTATCTTTTTTTTTTTTACTTTTGCTTTAAAATTTCATTCAGAAATATACAATACTTTTTAAAATATTAATTTAAACACAACGTTAAGTCTCGTCTATCGCCAATGGATAGAAAAGGTACTGACGTTCGTTATATATGACGTTCTTCTTCGGCACTCATTTTTAGTTCATCCATAATATATTAGTCTCTCACATGAACATTTTATTCATGTACACTCCCAACTTGTGCTGGAGCGTCTAGTTCTGACATATTTCATAAAAAATATTTTAACTTTTTACATTGCATTTGCATACTGGTATTTATTACATTTTCAACAATGAAATACTGTGATTTATTCATTGAATAAAATTGATATTCCCTCACAGTGTGAAAGGATACCAAAGTGATATTCTCTCACTGTGTGAAAGGATATCAAAGTAAGTAAAATATAATTTCTGGCCTGAAATAAGATTGAGATAGTAACTAAACCATCTTGACAGAGACTAAAACTGCCAATTTCTTCCCAAATATGTTGCTTAAATTCATGTAACAATGTTTTCATCTCTCAACTGCTAAGCTATGACGTCTCAACTGCTCATCTGTGACGTCACAGCCTATTACATTGTGTTAAGAAAAGACAGGGGCAAAGGGAAAATCAAAGAAAATGTAATAAATAGAAAATTCAATGTTTTGTAGTTGGATATGGAACTTATTTCACTCGTGAGACAGGATTTTTTGATATTTTCACTCGTGCTTCGCACTCGTGAAAATATCAAAAAATCCTGTCCCACTCGTGAAATAAATTCCATATCCAACTACAAAACATTGAATATCCTCTATATGTATCGCTGTGCGTACATGTTTATCTTGAAAGCGTAGCGTCGGATTTCAGAGGCGTCGTGAAAAGGTCACACTTCCTTCTACTTAGCATCTGTTCATTTTTTGACTTCTTTTACATTGGTATTTTGAACAACTTTTGTATCTTTATAATGTTTATTATTTCCTTCATTAGTTGTCAAATGTTTTGGAAATCAACTCTGGCGTTAAGTCAGGTTCTCAAACTTTTAAACATTTCAACAGAAGAAGAAAGTGAGTGGACGATCAGTCAACTTTTAACATCACTTACTCTTGAATCTGACGATGCACATAAGATCTAAGCAAAAGGACTCAATGTAGAAATAACTTTGGTTATAAAGATTTGCAGATGAACTAAAAATGAGTTTCTTTTTTTTTTTTGGATGAGATTGACAAAACCTAAGGTTGAAAGGTTATAAAAAAGGTTTTTTTTATATTATTGAAGGACATTTTTAGACAAAAATCAGAATATACAGGGGTATAAGTATGTAAAACTGTGTTGATAATATTCGATCAATAAAGATCTTATAGCAGTTTAGGCTTTACTTTTTGGTTCAACCCTCGTAATTTTGATGAACATTCAATAAAAGTGAAGAATTCTGAAATTGAACAAGGTCGTTAACTTCATGTGACCTTTGTAACTACATGTTATTGCTTACATGCTCTATGACTGGTGTTTTATAATGAAGTCCTAGTCATTTACAAGTATTCGTAAAGGGGTACCAAATAGGACCATAAGACTCCTTTTGTCTTCATACCATTATGTTGCAGTTGGAATGGTCTTTTGCTACCATCTGGCTTGTCCAGAATTTGTCGCTAAAAATTGTTAGACTACACGATTATTGTGCAGTCCTAAATACAAAGTCTAATTTTTTAATCATTTTTGTAGTCAAGGGTTCACAAACATGTCCTTACACCTAAATGTAAAAAAGATAAAAATGGTGTTTCGGATGAATGTTCTATCATTTCTACATCTACGGTGACCAATCAACTCTTAGTTTTAAGACTATTTTCACTTTTTGGTTTCAACAGTGAACGTACTTGGGACTTACCATTGATGAAGCTTAAATGTTTGGCTGATTAAAATATGTTCTTGCACTGAATACTCTTTCTTGTCTACATTTGATCTAGATTCTTTTTTTTCATATCAGGTTTGATAAAGTCTGCATCATATTTTACACTGTCAGAGGGGTAAGTTGAAAGCTCAGCACATTCCTGAGCTACGGTAACAGATCACAGAAAAAAAGGAGCGGATCGAAATCTTTGTTTCGCGAAGATGTGTCATCAAGGATTGTCTGTAACAAATTATACATGCCCGTTTGTAGTATTACACATTTATTTGCATTTATTGTTTCACTTTTGTACATTTTGTGGAAATGTTCTCATTTATTTCTAGATATATGATTCACAAGGAAGTCCTTAAAAGAAATCCTCGTTAGTCCTATCCCTGTCCATTTTTTTTTCTTTTTGATTTTCCACTTTTAATAATTTGGTAGTGTATACATAAAAGACTTGTCGTATTAGATATGTTATGTCATGCTGAAGGATATTTGCCATATCAAAATATTGCTTTTCTTACAATTTGCTTAATGATAGAATGTCAGAAAAGAGGGTTTGCTTTTGATGATTTTGACTTGATATTTTTAAAACAACCGCAGCGAAATCGAAGATAAAAATATTAAATTAACAATCATTGAAAGCAAAGACTACAGTCCAAATGGTCACAGAAGCTCTAGTATTTATCTCTTCTACTCAATTTATCATAAATGCGTACCTTTATAAAATACATAACATTTGTTTTTCACATAAACCGTATCAGAATTATTCATCATTAATTAAAATTTAAAAGTATTTTATTAAGGAATATTTCGAAGCCTTTGTAGTTTCTTCTCATTTCCAAAGTATTCTTTATCGATATGTACCATCAATTACACTTTTTAAATACTCTGTATTTTGCAATTCAATCAGTCTTAATGTATAGAAAATACCAACATGATAAAAATTGATAAAAAGTAAACTACACTCTTATCCTTTTTTACATAGCGATGTATTTATGCATTAGAAGACATACGCAGAGCACACAGTATGACTGGCCAAACAAAATTTTGCGACCAAACTCTACTATTATGTTGTCAATTTTGAATTTACTAGATAGAGGTACTAGTAAATACAAAATTTTATCATGTTGCAAATTTTGCATTTACAGTGAACCGCCATCTAGTAATTCTAAATTGACAACATGATACCACTATTCAAAACGATCGCAGTTCCAATATAACGTCTTTTTATACTTTGTCACAAATGCATACACAAAAGTTGTAAGATTATCCTGCCTGTTTCCTTTACAATTTACAATTGAACGATCGATGCCTAATCTTTTTCTAGGTAGTCAATGGTAAAGTCTAATTTTTAATTGCATTTCTCTTTCACATAAACTGTAACAAACTTGTCAAGAATCAATTTTTGTAATTTATTAATTTATGAATATTTGAGGCCTTTTTAGTATCTTCTCATTTTCACAGTTTTCTTTATCGATATTACCATCAAGTATACTTTTAAATGATATACTCGTATGTACTTTATGACAGTTACAATCAAGTCGGTCTTAATGTTGACAATGTCTTGATAAAAAATAAACCAAACACTTAAACTTCATGTACACAGTCCTCAGTATGACTGGCCAAACGAAACATTTCACCAGAATAGTAGACTTTATCATTACTAAATACTGACTTCCAAACTTTTTCAAAAGCAGCAGTATTAGCTGACTTCCTGCCAATTATTCATCGTGTACAAACTTGGTTTTACACAGTGAGGGATGTCGGAGAACACAAATCTGCAAAGTGATCACGTTATTTCAGTCATTAAACATGTCACCTTCCTATGTGTCGAAACAACCACATTCGCAGAAAGTGCTATTATATAAGTAACCCAGGAAAAGAACCTTTCACGAGAAGTTTGTCTCCCGTCAAAATAGTTTGCAGCTGAAGGTGAGGTTATTCAAAAGATAAGATTATGCAGTTTGATTTTATTCTAAATCTAAAGTGATTTTCAACGTCTCCTTTGAAACCGCTCTTACTGGTCTATTTCTGAAATGTTTTAAGCTTATGGTGTATTAGATATTTATGATGTGCGATTCAAATATTAATAACATTTGATCTGTTCAAGTTTTTAAATTCTAATAATTCGTAGAAATGTTGAACCTAAAGGAAATATACCCTGATTTCTTCTATTCTTCTCGTGATAATTTTCATCTTTTTTCTATCGATTCATTTTTATTTCAGATGGCAACGTACATGTCTTTCATTGTTTTGTTGTCTGTGTCAGCCTTAACTTTTGTCCATGGTAAGTACTTTATATTTTAAGTTAAAGGCATTCAATTTACATTTTTTTTTATAAATAAAGATTATGCAGGGAGTATTTAATGATTGAAAACAATGTATTTTGATCTAAGAATACTATATGAAATGAACACGAAATATTGATTGATAATTTTTGCTACACATAACTTTGAATTTCCAAGATTAGTACTGAATTAATATGTATTTATTGAACATAAAGGTGATTTCTACACAAACAATTGATAATCACTTTATCTTAAATATTTTCATTAAACAGGTATCAACCTAAGTCAGAATAGTAAAAAAAAAATGAAATGAATAATTTTTAGACACTGTCTTTTAAGGAACTCTTCATCCCTTGATTGACATATTGGGGATTTTTTTTTTTAATTTAACAAAAAACCTCAGTATTTTATTTAGACAAGAAATTAATCCAAACCAATAATAATATGTACGAGACTGTAAAAACAACCCATAAATTTTCCATTAAGGTTTTCCATATAGCCGCACGGGCATGTTGGTGCTTCCTATAGGTAATAACGCTGAGGAGCCGGTTCAACCTATGATGATTATCCCATTCAAAATTGGCCAACAACCAATGATGCCAACGATGCCCATGATGCCTAAGCCCATGATGATGAACATGATGCCAATGATGAATAATAATGCCAACTCGAATTCCATGATGCCCCAACAACGAATGGAGAGACCGGAAATCAAAACAGATGCAGGTTAGTGGTATTCAGAAAAAAAGCTTTATTGCTTATATTCCTTTGAAAGTATTTGTTTCTTGCAAGAAGGAATATTTTGCTACATAGCCCATTAATATTAAAATGCAAGTTATGATGATCGAAATCAGCGAATTATAAAACTGATTTTTATATTGATTTATTCAAAATCTTTGAATACTTTCAGATACAATATTTTACAAAATACGATGATTTATATTTATAACAATTGATATTTTTTTTTTTACTTGTTTTTAGCAGGTAGAAAAACCCTGGAATTTTGAATATTAAAAGACTTTTACCTGAGCTGTTCTTTTTCACCGGAAGTGACATTAAAATATTAACTGTCCTTCACTAGTGTCTGTGATACTTTATGTAAATTTAGAATAAACATTTTTAATTTCGAAGATTCCTTAATCTTTTGCATCATGCCATTTAGGTTCTATTGCTTATAATGGATGAAACACGGAGATAACGAACAGTAATCAAGCTCAAAAGTCCATTGAAACAATAAAAACCGGGAGCAGAGCAAACACGGACTTCTAAAAACATCAGAGGTGGGATCGGGTCCCATGGAGGAGTATTTTACTGTGAATAGTCTGATCCAACAGTAATAGCTCTGGATTCCAACAACTTATTTCCAATCGTTCTGCGAGCAACATGATTAAAACAAATGGTGCTTCCTGAATATTGGAATTTGGCTAAAATTCTTTTAAAAAATGTTCATAAACAACACAATGAAGCGTGGTATATAAAATAAACTTATGAAAGCAGGCGTATTTTTCCAAGGAAAAAAAAAAACAAAAGAGGGAAAAAGAGTCTCAAGCGACGTTTTGTTAAAAAAAATTGTAACAGACATATTTTTTCTACAGATATGATTTGATGACAATATTGTATAGTTATTCGTTTTAATTTGTTATTGAAAGTTTTTTTAATTGATTAAAACATAGAGTTAAATAAAACAAAAATATTTGATAACGATTTTACTGGCTTACCTTATAAGATTATTTTTTATTTATTATTAACGATGTTTTATCGTTCATTAATGGGAATAAATTTGCTTTGGGTAAACTTAATTTATGTACAATTTGCGATCTGTTTCAAGATTGCAATCTAAGACGTATATATTTCATGCTTGATCGAAGTGCAAATGACATCAGTGTCTTAATATTTCATGGATCTTTTGTTCTTGTTATTTTGTGCAGAACACGGATTTTAACGACCGGAAATGAAATGTTCTACGATTAATGGCGTCGTGGAACATTCTAAGTTTGATGATGAATTGTATCTTTAAACACACAAGGAGATAAAACTGGCGCATTTCCTACATCAGGTGTGAACATCTTCTGACAAGAACAGTACAAAAGGCGTAACATATCTGTAGATGTTATCTCTTCGTTATCATTAGCAAAAAGCCACACTAATTACATAACACGAATTTCCAAGCTATAATTTTATTCGTAAATCATGAAACAAGACTTTACAACATGGATCATTTGTATTAAGAAAAAACATTTTAATCATGCATAAAGATTTATGTCAAAATGGAAAGAAATTACAATGTATAGTGTTATACCCTAACTAATGTGCAACAATTCGAGGGTGATCACTTAATATGGCAACGATTTTGAAGTGTAATGTTTTTGATTTGTTTGTATCAATAAATATGCTTTCCTAACAAATCGTTTAACATTAAGTCTCTAACAGTGATCAGGTTTGGATTGCCTTGTCGTTGTTTTATGATAGGGCTCAGTGGACTCAGGTTCCAGTGACGATGTTTCTGTGTCCATGTCGACATTTTCGTACTTGGATTCTTCACTGAAGAGCCAGAGAGTGTGTACGAAATTCCTGTGTGAGCTGAAAATGACATGACTTTGCATTTGATGAAAGTGTTTAAAGTTAATGTTCAATTTTTTTCTCTCCAAAATGAATATATAGAAATTGACATAAAAACTATAGTTATATAGACAACATTATTCAAATGATAAAAGATTACGACGCACAGGTTATGTATTAGTAATGAACAGATAAGATGGTAACAAAAGCATTTATTACATTTAAAAAAATGATTTATAAAAATATTTATCTAACACTTACCTGAACCTTTCGATACAATATTGAACAGAAAAAGAACCCAGAAGACAGTCACATTCGATTTCATCATTAAATCTAAAACTGAAATATTTAAATTTCTATTAATCATTTTACAGCTAAATAATCAATTATAGGTTACTAGTAACATTTATGCTCATAAAATATCATAAATCAAATTATATCTTTTCACATCTTATCGATGTCATTTCCAAGCTAATATCCTGCGTGTTAGATGTAGAATCATAAATTCTACCGAAAAAGAAAGTTTCTTTTCAGAAAGAAAAAAACTCCAGGTCATCTTGACTTTGATTCCTATCGTCCCATGTTTGCAGGGAGAATGGGTAAGGTAGCATAAGAATCTCTCTCTCCAATCTTAAATCTTAGACCTAATTTTTATTTCTGTTATTTTATCTATCCCTGGTAATTTTTAAAACCTAAAGTCTTTGTATATCTAAAATTTCGCTAAATATTGTCCCTTCTGGTACATGTATATTTTATTTTGTCGAGGAAAAAGGAAGTAAAATATGTCACAAATACAATACATGTATTTGGTGCTGCCAGAATGTATTTCATTCTAATCAAAGAATTTAATCTTTTTATTCACAACATATGAAAGAGAAGTTATATATTATAAATTGAATGTTAAATGAATATATAACATTTTAATGTGTAAATGTGTCGGTTATTTTTAAATCAAAAGACACATTACCAAAGACAGGTATCGTTAAATAATCAAGAGCTCTCATCTAAAAATCTTTTACTATTGACGGGTAATATATTTTTTTTTTAAAAAGATATACTTACAACAGAATTGTCTTCATGTGATAAAAAGTTTAATAACTTCACATTTATATAAAAAGTCTTAACAGAATCGAAAATTATACAAAACTGTAAACATGATTGATAATATTTTCAAAAGAAAAATCTTTCAAATGCTTCTTCCCTGATTAAGTTATCGTTCATTAAACTTTATGATAGAGAATTTGTCATCAGTATGAAAAAGTTTATTTGTAGGGACATGAAGAATTGTTAACAGTTCATTGAATTTTTATGATGAAAGAAATGTATGAGGATTAAGGGGGTTAGCATTCTTTAGATGTCGGTCAAAACAAACATTTTTGGTTAATGTTGACAAACTGCCCTGCCATTGTTAAGACGGTCTGAATTTTTATTGTAAGTGGAATGACTTATAGTCATTTTTCTTTGTTGTTTATCTGTGAAATTTTATATATATGCTCATCACCAATCATGCATTGTCGATCATAAAATCGTTGACAATTTCACAATTTGTCAAGTCTACTCAAATGTACAGGGCAAAGATTTTTTTTCATTGTTGTATGTCTGTCTGTGTCAAAATTTTATTCGTGCCATAACTCTGCTAATCAAACTTTAGTATGCTGGTGCTCAGGATTTAAAGTTCGTCCAGATCTTGTCTCAACATTGATGTCAAAGGGCAAAATACATTGTAAATTGACTTGATTGTTTTTAACTGTATCGACGATTACCTAATTTAAGTTGTTTCACAAGGGTCATATATCTGTTAAATGGTGGTTGGTTCACTTTCTTTGCATGAATATGTTAGTTATGCATGTGTTGTTGGGGGAGGGGGGATTTTCGTTAGTTTGTTTGCTGTTTTTGTATTCATTTTCTTCTTCTTCGTCTTTTTTTTTGTATGTTGTTTTTTAACTTCGTGATTTGGAAATATGCAAATCAAAAAAGAACAAAAAACAAAAAACAAAAAAAAAAACAACAAAAAACAAAAAAACTAAACAAAACTAAACCAAAAAAAACCCCAAACAAATCGACAGACAAACAAAAACAGAAACAAAAAAAATGCATAAAAAACAAAACAAAAACCAGACATGCCTTATCTTACGAAAAACATACATGTATTATCTCACCACTAAGCATACAATGAATTGGTGATATGAAGTTCTTCCACACGAAATA